CTCATCAATGTCACCAACAAAGACTCCAGGTTCAATATCCATCACCGTCCTGGCCTGAAGTGATTCAAGGTGACAGCCACTGATGGGGGAGCTGGATGACAGGGATCAAGCGGCCCAAGAATCAGCTCGCCCAGCCCACATGAGAAGCACATGAGATGCCCACTGGAAACAGGAGAGACGAAATTAGTAGGTCAGCTTATGCTGTTCAGATTGGACTTTTTAGGCTATTTATTTCTGTACCTACAAGCGCAGAGGTCAACTTTTCTGTTACCCACGTCAGGGCCCTTTGCTCTCATCAAAGAAACAGGGCCCCCTGGGCAACCACGGACAAGGGCCCATGTAAACAACACCCTCAAGCGCCTATCGAGGAGGGATTGAGACTTTTGGACTCTTTGGAGTTGGATTTGGGGCTCTTTTTCTCGACTATTGACGGGAAAGGAATGGCCTGGGGTAGTTAGGCTAGGTCACAAGAGAGTCATCGACATTCCATCCCACAGATTGGTGTGAACCTTCTTTTCTTCTTTTTCCCTCATCACCAACCGCTTTCGTTGGGATATTTCCATTATCTCTCCATGTCTCCTGTCGCTCATTAACCACATTTAGATAGTACCTACCTAGTCATTGTAAGTGCATGTGCAAGAGCAAGAGTTTGATTCTCGTAAACTAAACTCTTCCAACCTCTTTCTCTCTCCACCGAAGCAACTAACGCCCCTCCCCGCAGCTTTTTTGCAGCTTCGAAGTTTTGCTTGCCTTTTGCATCTCATCGACCTTTGCAGTCCCCGCAGGCCCGCAGCAGCTACCTGACTTACACCGCCCACCATCCACTTTTCACTGTACAGCATCATCCGACTTCTGCTCTGCTCATAACTCTGCATATTCTTCGCATGTTCTTTCGTGTGCGATAGGCATTGGCCGTTCATTCTTTCATCTATCTACTCCTAGGGTTCTCTGTTCTTCTTTGGGGTCTTTCTTCGTACTTGGGCGGTTTCTGAGACAGGTTCTCACTACTATTTAACGCTTCACCCAGTCGACTTTCTCGACTACCTATACAAAACCCAGAAAATATTCACCAAGTGTCAATGGCAGAAATATGGCAGCGACTCCATCTCACAGTCGCATGAAGCTTACTCCTTCCAACTCTCCGTTCCTAGGCCGTCCTTCCAGGTCCTCAAGATCGCCCATGCGTGGTCGACCCCAGGATTCTTCCAAGCTCTCCCTCAAGCGCGTTATTGGTACAACCTGTTCATCGCCAACAGGGTTTGATACCCTCTCATCTGCATTTGCATACATTGCTGGCGGTGCTGTTGTGGTGGTGGATGTTGATGGAGAAAACCACTCTCAACGGTTTTACCGAGCTAGGCCGACTGCTGTCCCTCTTTACTCTGTAGCGACCTTTCAGAACACGCCCTCGACACCTTCAGGAACACCAAAGGCGAACGATAGCCGTGGCCGTGTAGGCCCTAGATTTCCCAATTCACCGCATACGTCATCAGACTGGAACGAGTCTCCCAGTAATACATGGACGAGCCGTGAACGCATCAAGGCTGCGACATGCCTTGCTCTCAGCCGAGATGGGAAATATCTTGCTGTGGGCGAGACCGGCTATTCCCCCCGAGTTCTGGTCTTCAGTCTTCACGACACCTCTTCCGACAGCCCTCTGATATCGATTAGCGAGCATACTTATGGGGTCAATTGCGTTGCTTGGTCTGCGGACACGCAGTATCTGGCGTCAATAGGAGCCGCCAATGATGGATTTCTCTATATCTGGAAGGTTGACCCGCGCACTGGTGGGGCCAAACTCTTCAAGCAAAACCGATGCACTTCCTACGTCAAAGACATGGTCTGGGTAGGCAACTCCCTTGTCACCTTTGGAGTTCGCCATGTCAAGATGTGGAAACCTGAAGATGGACCGGCTCTTTCACCCACGAAGCAGAAGTTCTTCAACGAACAACCGGCATCTACCCCACCCTCTCAAAGGACCTTGTCGGGGCGTAACATCCTGCTTGGGTCCCTCTTAGAGGAAACCTTTACTTGCGCTGCTGTTGTCAAGAACTCCAGTCTCATCATTTGCTCAGAAACGGGCAATGTGTGTATCATGGAGGAGGATGACAAACAGATGAAGCTGCAAAAGGTCCTTAATTTGGACTTTTCTATCTCGGCGATTGCCGTCAAAGACAACGTCGCGTATGTCGGCGGCAGCCATGGCCATTTTGCTGTGCTAGATGTCGAGGCTGTATTGGATGCCCAGCCACCATCAGCATGTATCAAAGACACTACCTTTCTATCTGAAGGCCAGCTTGCTATGGGATTTCTAGCAGACAACTTTGTCACCATCGACTCACAGCAGTCCATCGACATCTGGAGCTCAGACCATGTGCCTGGCAAGGATAGTAAGGCCATGGCTAGCATTCCTATACCTGGGCACGGACAGCCCGTGACAGGCATCCAGGTTCTACAGCGACCCAACGACTTGGACGCCTCGTTTCTCACATGGACCGTCGGTGGAAATGTAACCTTCTGGACACTAGAAGGTCAAGTCAAGGCCTCAATTGATGTGCCTGTCGGAACGACCGAGCCTGAAAATGAGTTGGACCCGGTTAATCAGCTCACGTGTGCTCAGACAACAAACGACGGCAAACTGCTAATTTCTGCTGATCGCATGGGTGTCCTACGAATGACGGATATTGCAACTAAAGAGCCTGTGTTGGACATCAAGGCACATACGGCCGATTGCCGTTCTGTGAGCGTCTATGATAATGATGGCAAGTTTCTGATGGCATCATGCGGTCGAGATCGAACTGCTCAGCTCTTTCGTCGAACCGCAGATGGATCAATTGAACATTTCCAGACGCTCGAGTTCGCTGCCAAGGTCGTCCAGGTCATGGTCCCGTCCGAGGACAAGGTTCTGACCTGCTCCTTTGATCGAACACTTCAGATTCACGACATTATCACCAAAGAGGGTGACCCTGACTCAATTGCTGCCATCCCCTCGCGAGTCATCTCACTCAAGGCTTCGCCAAGCTCAATGGTCTTGGGCATGGGCCAAAGAACCGTATTTGTTTCCATGTTAGATCGAACAATTTGTCAATTTGATCTCAACACGGGACGCAAAATTTCCTGTTTCAAATGTCAAGACGAGACCCGGGGAGAATCTGTTGTTTTAGACTCGTTGTGTTTTGGACAGTGGCTCCCTAAAGATCAAGATTTCCTCCTCGGGACTTCCAACACGGATAAGTCTATCCGTTTATACGATGCTCAAACTGGCGGCTTCTTGGACAGAGAGTGGGGCCATACAGAAGCCATCAATGGTGTGTGCTTGATTGAAAATGATGACGGAAGTCGTAAGGTTGTAAGTGTTGCATCAGATGGGACAATGATGATATGGTGTTTGGATCTGGATGATCCTGTGCCTGGCACAACAAGCAGAGAACCATCACCTGCAAAGGATTCGGTTTCAGCACGGCCGCCGCTTCGCAGAGTCCTGTCCAAAGCTGAGCTGGCAGAGTTCCAGCGACCTTCGCCATCTTCTGGTCGAAAGTCCCCAGCATCAGGGCGGAAGTCGCCCCCACGAACCCTCCAACGGCGAACTTCCCGTTTCAACCTGGCCGCTAGTGTGAGATCACCTACACAAGCAGCTCCAGCTAGCCCAACCAGCACGGTGGCAGATGACACGCCGTCACGACGGCCTTCGGGCGACGTACGAACTAGTCCCCCGCCATCCCCGAAAGCCAAAGTTAAGAGACGGCCTTCTGTTTCCCAAGGGGTCCGCAAGAAGACATCCTCGTCAAACCTGCGTGGATTCGGCTCATTGAATATGGCAACAGAACAAACCTGTCGCCAGCTGAGGTCATATCGGAAGAAGCTCGCCTCTTCGGAGCCCATCACCCAAGAAAACCTAACTGAGCTGGACCAGGAGTTGCGAATGACAGCAGCAGCTCTTGGCGACCGGGCTATTCGAAGCCGGGCCATGAACGAGACGGCCCTTAGCGGCCTTTTAGATCAGTACTCAGAGAGATTGATCACATTATTAGACGAAAAGCTGCGTCTTAGCTACCAGCCAAGGTCTCCAACTGAAAAGGATGGAGACAGTCAGGACGACGAGACCCAACGCAGTGTGGATGGGTCATCGAGTTCACTTTCATCATGACATATTCCTCCCTTTTGTATACTACTACCGAACCACATCACTTTTTTTTTGTCTTTTGAGATTATGCTGGCAATGGCGTTATATGGGCTATAGATTTGATGGAACGGGTGGCTATTGAACTAGAGCAAGCATGGAGCGTATCCGGCTGCCAAGTTCTAACATGATACCATGGAGTCTGGAGTCTAACTGCTACATTGTGGGATTTACATATTTCGCTGTAACAGCCGAAATCGACGTTTTGCAACCAATCAATTGATCTTATTCATGGCTGTCTAATTACTTTATTCCCTTTCGTCAATGAAATATAGAGGTGTGATAGTGAATGTTTAGATAATTGAGAATAATAATTCCTATCCGTGTTAAAGCGCTTTACGCGCCTACAAAACCGTGTTGGTCTTCAGGGGTATCACGTGCTAAGCCAGGACTTAGCGTGTGAACACCTTGGAGAGACGCAGCCCGATTTTTCTTCCCTGCATCATCGAAAATCAACAACAGAATTCCGCGCAACATCTTCGGCGAAACTCATCACGTGATATCTTAACAGACGATCGCGAATACGAGCAAAAATTAACCACACCATCAGTTCGACGGTCGAGCGCGTTTCGCAACAAGAGGTTTTAGACGCCCAGCACCCGATGAAAGGCCTCGAGGTCGCCATAGACGGTTTTGGAGTCATTGACTAAGGTTGCCTGTACGTATTTTGATCCATAGAACCCCGGCCATGACGTAGCCGTACTTGTTTCGCGACAGACGCCTAACTGGACTTCTTCCAAACCCATAGACCGTGGCGCCAGTCCATCTACTTGCACGACGTGAAGGCCCTCTGGAAAGCTGGCGAGGTGGATCGTGGGGCATGAATCAATCAGCCGTATACACGCCCCTCGAGTCGCTGTTCCTATTCCAGTCATTGTTGACTCAAGGCGCCGACCCTGGGGCCTTCGCGCGTATCTCTGAGCAGCTCAAGGACAACCCACTCATCAAAGACGGGGCCACCTATGATCCCGCACGATTAAAGCCCGATGCGCTTCAGCGTCGTTTTCTACAACTATTTGGGGAGGAGTTGAGGGGCGACTCGGAGAAGGATACAGCCGACAATCCAGCAGCATCACCAAATACTCAAAAACGAAGACTCGAGAGCCCTCCGCTACCGACATTCAAAGATGTGTACGACAATGCCGAAAAGGTGCACTCGCTCATCCAGCGCCTTTGGCAGCAATATAGCGCTAAGATCGTTGGTCACATTCGGGAGGATGAACAAAAGATCGACGCGTTGCAGAAGGATATCCATTTCTTAGAGCGAACTGAACGAGAACGGCGTGCTAGAGCCGCAAGTCAGAACGGTACGCCTGTGCTTGCTGCTAGGGATCAGAAGGCTTCTATTCCGTCTAATGGGCCAACGCCACCTGCTGCGACGACGAGTGCGGCGACTCCTTTTCGAAAAGGACCTACACCACAGACACCGGTGCTCCCACCAAAACCTCCAGTTCCTCACAGCAATCAACCAAGCGTTGCACCGCCCAGCCACTTGCCTACTGGAACGACGCCGATAAGACCTTCTCCGTCACCAAATCCACCCAATGCTAATGGCTCGGTGCTTCAGCCTCCCCCAGGTGTTCCTCAAACTGGACCACGACCGCTGCAGACATCACAGCCTCCTAAGCAGACTCTAACACCTCGGCCGGAAGCTGGGGCCAAGCCGAAAGACGGCACTGCAGTTCCTCAAAATGCGTCGCAAGGAGCTGCTCTTAAGTGGGAGAAGCCTTATCAACCGCCACAGACTCACACGCCCCCTCCTCGACAACTTCAGTCACCTCTTGCTCAAGGGCCAATAGCTCCACCCCCGACACAGCAGAATCCACAACAACAGCAGTATTCGCAACCCCATGGACAATACCCTCAGCAGACACCGCAACAGCAGCAATGGTATCCTCAGCCAACTGCTCAGTTCTCCCCGAAGCCTGGAGCTCAGCCGCTTGCTTCCCATCCCCAAACGCCTCAGCCTGCTCAGGTTCAGCCTCGACCACAACCTGTTGCTCCGCAACCGTCTCAGGTCCAACCTCAGCAACAGGGTCAGCAACGGCCACAATCTCACATTCAACCACCTCAGCAACAACCACGCACTCCTCAGACACAGCACACGCAACAGAGTCAAAAATCACATACCCCTACGCCAGCACAACTCGCCCAGACCCAGCAGTCTCAGCAAACCCCCCAAGTCCCCATCCCTCAGCAACCAATTCCTCCTCAACAACAGCAATTCAAGCCTCGGCCGACTCCTGTAAAACCAGGACTGGCGCCGCCTCAGCATGCTGGCCAAATACCACCACCATTGCAGCCAGCGCCACCACGATCGTCGGTAGACTTGAGTGGAGGCCAGACGCTCCAGGCCCGGCCATCGTCAACCACACCTGTGCCACATCCTCGTCCTGTTCAGTCATCCCAAGGCCAAGCCCAGCATGCTCGACCGATTGTTTCAGCTTCACCAACTCCCCTTGTAGGAAGCGCAGGTGCGATAGCACCGCCCCAACAGCGCCGGCCCTCAGGTTACCAGCTCCAACAACCTCAGCACGCGTCGCCAGCAGGCTCATCTGCTTCCCAGGCCCCAAAAACAGAGAATAAGAGCCAATCTTCACAAAATGCCCCCCAGCATCCGGTACCTGGTGCTTTGGGACACATTATCCGTCAAGTCTTGAGTACTCCGGCGAAGAGGCTTGCGACACCACCTGGACCGCGCACTCCTACTTCGACCTCGGCGCAACTTCTTCTTCAAGGATTTGGAACGAAATGGGCACCGCAGTCGACTCCATCGACCCCTGGCCCTGGCCATGTGAATGCTGCTCCTCAAAGTCCGGCTTTCGAGCCGGTCAGCCCACCTTCAAAGAATGCCACTTTGCCTAGTTCTGCTGCATCTACGCCTAAACCTAAGAAGCAAGCGCCCAAGGCACTTCCAAAGATTGAACAGTCGGCGATTAAACCCCGCCGAGCTGCCTTCCCCAAGGGGAAAGACCGAAGGGTCAGCTCTACTCCTTCAATCAGTCGGTCAAGGCGAAGCCAGTCTGTCGTATCTCACACCGATGAGCAAGCGACCCAGGCTAATGAAACAGCACCTAGAATCAAGGATGAGGATGCCACACCTCGGCCTACTGAGGAGACTGGTGATACTACTGCTGACGAAAGCGTCCCTGGTCGGACCCAGATTATGACACCCGGGAGTGTCTCTTCGCGGCTCCACAAGCGAAAACGACAAGGCACACCTCCTGACCTACCCCCCGAGACTTCCCAGGTTCTATGGACTCGAGGATTTACAAAGGTGTCATCGTCTGCTCTTGATCAGATCTCGAGCCACCGAGACGCCAACATGTTTGCTACTCGACTTCGGGAGAAGGACGCGCCCAACTATCGCCAGATTGTGTTGCAGCCACAGGATATAACATCTATTCGGTCTGCTATCAAGCATGGAAACAAGGCGGCTGTTCAAGCTGCTGCAAACCTACCTGGTGGTGACCCTGGCACTGCGCATGTGTGGTTGCCTATGTCTGAAGAGCTCGTCCCGCCCAAAGGTATCATAAACAGCGCCCAACTCGAACGTGAACTGGTCCACATGTTCTGCAACGCCATCATGTACAACGCCGACCCTGATCGTGGTCCCGGACCGGCCTTTATGAAACGGTCTCAGGAAGAGGAGGAGGAGATAGTAGGCTACCGCCTCGATGAGAACGGCGTTGTGAAAAACACTCGCAGCATGTTCGTAGAGGTTGAGAAGCTACTAGGCGATTTGCGAAGCGCAGAGAAGGAACGCAGCGCACCACCGCCGTCTGCTCGCCCAGCCAGCGTCGCTACACCCGCCGAAGAAACGGGTGACGATGATGAAGATAATGGGGAGCGTGATACTGGAACTGCTAAGAGACGTCGCATTGGAGGCAGGGGCTAATCACGGACTGATGTGGATGACAGCTTTATATGCTGCTGAAAAATACAGGCAGCTTGTACTTGTTTTTATTGTTATGCCAAGCGTCTAGAATAGCTAGCTCATTGTTAATTACCACCCACCACTCAAGGCTTGCGTTAGTTAACGCCAGAGTCATACACGCATAATCTTTCATCTATCCGCTTGTGAACTGTATCAAATTGTTCCTCCAAAACCCAAACTCCTCGCTCCTTTACTAGTACATCATACCTCATGGACTGGAACAGAAATAGCTTATTCCAGCTTGGAAGCCCCTTGAGATGTGCTCGACCGATTACTTTGTGCACCCTTTTTGGAGCTAGCATCGTCATCGGCAGGCCGCTTGCGAGGCCAGTCAGGACAGATATCAATATTGTCCCTTGGGAACCACCACTCGAGGAACAGAAAGAAGAGGTAGTCTACAACACAGCAAAGGCAAAACAATTTGCCAGCCCAGATACCGCAGCCATAGTAACGTTTAAGGCGATCAATGAGAGCGAAATTCCGAATGCGACTACCGTAGCCTGAAGTATCAACACCGTAGAACTCGTCTTCTGGGATGGTTCCTGATATGCCATCATAAACACGCTCCGTGCGCATGGCGACGTTCTGCCACGAGTACATCTTTTTTACTTGTTCGTGGAATTTCTCGGTGCGAATCTTGCCGGCGCGTATTGCGCTGATTGCTTTGCTTGTGGCGAGAACGACGTCGTCTTCTTCTGGTTTGGCAAAGGTTGTCATGTGCGAAGGGAGAACTTCAGGGATACCGCCAACCGCAGTACACACGACGTAGAGCCCACAACTGGCAGCCTCGACAATGACAGTTCCAAAAGCCTCAGTGAGAGAGGGGTGGAGGTAGATGTGACCACGAACCATGACATCGCGTACTTCTTCGTGACGGATAGGGCCAAGCATTTCAACACGGTCTTGAAGGACGTTGGTTTCGATCATCTGCTCGAGATCTATGGCTTTAGGACCGGAACCTGCGATGATGAAGCGTGTGTTTGGGTGATTTTCAAGCACACGTGGAATAGAGGCGATCAGGAGATCCGTACCCTTGTTATAGAAGAGACGGGAAATGACGACAATAGTGATGGTGTCGCGGGGGCCAATTCGCTGTGATGGAGGATAGAGAGACGCTTCAGGGTTAAAGGACGTTGATAGAGGAGATGGTAACGCGGGAACATCCTTTGGGCGGAAGTTTTCAGCGACGACAGCGTTGGGTATGACCGAGACCATGACTGGGTCAAGAGATGCACGAAGCACTGTGTTTTCTTTGCTATGAAGAGTCAGAGAAAGTCGGCACCTTGAAGATTATAGACTTACCAGGTATGGCTCACACAGATACTGTGGTCGACGTCACTTAAAATGAATTTCATGAGCTTGTTGGTGAGAATGGTACCTGCGTCTGCAAATCCAAAGAGAGAGTGATCGGTGAAGACAGTTCTCAACCCCATTGTGCGAGCATGCAAGATGGCCTCGTGGCAAAGACTGCTGAGACTTCCATGGCCATGAACAATCTCAATGCGCTCACGAATACATATATTTCTGAAGATGGGGAAGAATGAGAAGACGGTGGGAAAGGTGGCGGCGCGGTAGATGACGAGGAAGGGGACGTGGTAGACCTTGACGCCGTTGGTGAGGTAGCGGATGCCCTTACGATCATCGTAGGCGTGTGTGATGATGATGACCTTGTGACCACGGTCGACGAGCTTTGTGGCGAGTTGGTAGATATGAGATTCGATGCCTCCTGGTTGCGGGAAGAAGAAGTCGCTAACCATAGCGATGTTGTATGTGCGGCGTGTCATGATGGCGGTTGAGAAAGGGGGGTTCGCCAGCCCTTTATTGATAGAGTAGTGTATCGATCAGCACTTGCTGAGACAGTGATTGATAGTGTATTGTTGAGATTGATATGCGAGAAAGAAAGTTAACGTCCTTGGTAGAGATGCATCTCACTCATAGTAATTGTCTTCTCATGTTGAACCACGTCTAAGTGAACAGGGATGAAGTAGACAAGCGTTGGATAGTGGAGCTGGCCAGCGGGATGGACGGAAAAAGATGGCGCTGAGCTTGAGAGGTATCTAAGTTCTGTATTGTGCTGTCTATTTGCGCCGATATATGCTTGAAGAACTCAAATCAGATTAATTGACCAGACAATAAATTTACAGCTATATATCTCTTATAAATTAAATTAGTTATGGCTAATTATTTAAATTTTTATTAGAATATCATCTCAATGAGCCAAGTATAACCTGGCAGATAAATTTAGCGGTGTAAGATGGCAGAAACCCGATAAGATGTCAATCCATCCAAAAATTTGGGAATTTGAAGCGACTGAGGCCCCTCCATCGCGAAATCTGGTGCAGCAATTGTCTTCGAAATAATGTTGCCCAGATACATTCCTCCCCCAAAGGGTGGAAATACATCAAATTCTACTCCTTACAATTTTGCGCCATCACCAAAAGTCGAATCCAATACCGCTCCCGCTCATGCGCCCGCCTCCAATGCCTTTGACTATGCGCGATACGTCCCTCCGAGCGCAAAGCCTGCGCCACCTCAACCTCAAGTCCCTCAAAAGCAATACTTTGACGATGAGCCCGCAGTAGCCCCCAAGAGGAAATTCGACATCACAGAAGAGGCCCAGAGTTCTGCTCAGCCAGACAGTAAAAAGTCAAAGATTGTAGAGCCAACACCAAAGGATAGCGACGAGACGCCAAAGAAGAAGAAGAAGAAGGTCAGAAGAGGCAAGCGAAGAACTGCGACTACCAACGATGATGATGACGATGAAGATGACGACGACAAGCCAGCTCAGAAGTCGCCTGCGACAAAATCTGAGTCTCAAAAGCCCGTGGAACAGCAAGAGCCGCAAGAAGAGAATCAGGTTGTTGAGGAGACTGTTGTAGCAGAGAAGGAACAGCAGAAGAAGGACAAAAAGAAAGAGAAGAAGGACAAAAAGAAAGAGAAGAAGGATAAAAAGAAGAAAGAAAAAGAGCAAAAGCAAGAACAGGAAGAGTCCAGTACCCCCACAGTCCCAGCCGAGGATCACGATGAAGACGTCCAAATGGAAGACGCTACAGAGCCCACAGAGGAACCCAAGGCTCCTTCCGAGGATCCAGTAGCAGAGGAGGAAAAGAAAGAGAAGCGAAAGGAGAAGAAGAAGAAACACAAGGAACCCCAGCCGATAGAGGAAGAAGAAGAGGATAAGGAAGAGAACAAAAGACATAGAACTGTTATGGAGCGACTGGAGAAGTCTCTCAAGCTAGCTGGTGAGATAGTTCCAGGCGAGGATGACGAAGAGGACCAGGGCGAACTTCATGGCCTTGAGCCCCTACCGCAGCCAGCACCAGTGGTTACACTCACCAACGCAAAGCCGAGCGACGACGATACTCTTCCTCCTTGGTTAGCAAAGCCTTTCCGGGTTTCGCAGGACACTCGAACACCATTCTCCAAGTTGGATGTCTTGCCTAAGGCCTGCCGTGTGTTGGAAGAAAAGGGCTTTCAAGATGCATTCGCTGTGCAAACCGCTGCCATTCCTCTCCTACTTCCCACAAGCCGACCCGGCGACGTGTGTGTTTCTGCGGCCACCGGTTCCGGAAAGACACTCGCTTATGCCTTGCCTGTTACGCGGGATATTAGCCAAGGATGCCTCACCAGGTTACGAGCGCTAGTCGTTCTGCCAACCCGAGAACTTGTCAAGCAGGCTCAAGAGACATTTGAGCTTTGCGCTAGAGCATTCGATGGTGGTGATCGAAAGAGAGTGCGTGTGGGTGTTTCTGTTGGTAGCCAGTCTTTCGAAGACGAGCAGAAGGCCTTTATGGATCAGGAGCTCCGATATGACCCTCAAGCGTACAAGAACCTGCAAGACGAGGTTCAAAAACAAAATCAGTTGAAGTTGGGTCTTTCTGCAACGGACAGCCTCGAAGATATGGAAGATGCAGACCCTCGCTTGAGCAGCAAGAACGGCTACGTGGTTGACTTTGTCTCCAAGATTGATGTTTTGATCTGTACACCCGGTCGACTCGTCGAGCATATGGAACAAACACCAGGCTTCAGTCTCGACTACGTTCGATGGCTGGTAGTCGACGAAGCCGATAAGCTTCTGGCTCAGAGCTTCCAGGGCTGGCTGGATGTAGTCATGGAAAAGTTCCGCGTTAACAAGCCTACCGCTCGAGACTTCCCAGACATCAACTACTCCGGCGTTCGCAAGATCATTCTCAGTGCCACACTCACTAGAGACTTGAGTCTTCTCAACCAGCTGGGTCTACACAGGCCACAGATGATCGTTCTCGAGAGCGATGGTGATGTCCAGATTGCTGAGCATTCTCTGCCCACGCAACTGAGGGAATACTCCATCAGAGTTCACGACACGGGTCTCAAGCCGCTCTACTTGCTCGACCTTCTCCGCAGCCAGGATATGCTCATGGCTAGTCCCGACAAGGTCCAGGGAGCTTCCAAACCTGATGAGGCTGCAGATTCAGATACCAGTTCTGATTCGAGCTCTAGCCCTGATTCCGATTCCGACTCTGACTCGGACGCAACTTCAGACACAAGCTCCGACTCAGATTCAGAGTCCGAGTCTGAGGCTAAGCCAAAGGTTTCAGGCCGATCACTCAAGTCCCATATCCCCTCTTCCCTCATCTTCACAAAGTCTAACGAGGCCGCACTACGTCTATCACGACTGCTCGTCCTCCTGGATCCTTCACTGGAATCTCACATCGGTACTCTTACATCCACAACACCAACACATATCCGTCGCAAGACAATCCGAGCTTTCTCAACAACCTCATCTCCCATCCGCCTCCTCGTTGCTTCCGATCTTGTTGCCCGTGGTATTGATCTTCCCAATCTCGACCACGTCATCAACTACGACATGCCTCCCAGCGTGGCAGGTTACGTACACAGAGTTGGTCGTACAGCACGAGCTGGCAAGTCGGGGAGCGCGTGGACGCTGGTTGGAGATGATGAGAGTTGGTTCTACAACAAAATTGGAAAGAACGCAGGTATCAAGAGAGGTCAGAAGATGGAGAGGACAAGAATTGAGGAGATGGATGAGAAGCGAGTTGAGGAGTACGAAGCTACGTTGGAGAAACTTGGACAAGAGGCCGGAAGGCGATAAAGGCGTAAAGGACATAAACTTAGCATGCTTAGGATTAATATATAGACTAAAAGCCTACATTCGGAATTTTCGCAACATGACCCCCCCTCGATTCTATGGCATTACCTGAACGCCATATGTACAAACTCATCAACATCTACCGCACATCGTGCAGATTGTATCCGGGTTTCTGGCGCCTTCACTATCTCATCAATGCATCTGTACACTGCTGTGAAATCAATCACCAGTCCAGTTGTTTCGCTCCGCAACAGATGAAGGTACAACTCTAGGGCCAGACTCGTTCACATTCAGACTTCCGTAGCCCTGGGACTCCCTTTCTGTCCGCTCAGGCTCTGCCTCTTCCTCGTCAATAACATCTCTTTCTCTATCAATCAGCAGCGGTCGGCGACTTTCGTGGCGCTGGCTTCTTTCTCCGGAACGATTTATTCCCCAGACATTGCGCCAGTTCCCGCCTTCTCTGACGACAAAAAGACCCATCATCTATACTTTTCATTAGTGCTGAATTAAACACAACACCCAACTCATCTTTTACATACCTGTATCAGTCCTACACCTAAGACAACAGCAAAATCTGCCAGTGCCATGGTCTGCAAAGCCCCTTGCCATGGTTCACGACAGGCTGTTCTCCGTCCATAAGTTGCAGCACAGTTACTCGGCGCAGTGCCAGGAAACGGATACGCCCGGTCACGGACCGAGTTCAGTCCGCAACAGTCAAATGCATCCTGAATTCTGCGTATACCGCCTGCATCGTGGGCACGAAACAAGCTCATCCATTGATTTTCCATCATGCAATTCGTTACGTCAGACGGTACCGCACGCTCGAGGAGTAGTGTTGCGAGGATAGTGGTAATGAGTGCCTGCAGGACTTGGACGACCAACGGACCAAGTTGGGCCACACGACTTGGAGAGGACTTGGTAGCGCGGCGGAAGCTAGGATAGCATGCTGTATTTAGGAATCCGACGATGGGGAGAATGATCGTGATGATGGAGACAGCCGGGGAGATGGCGAGAGAGAGGCTTGAGCTGCGAACATGAACAATTCTGTTCTCAAGTTAGTAGGTTTCAGACAACCAAGCTCATATTATACTGACACTGCGATGACCAGCAGCGCAAGGCTGAGCTATAGAGCTGGTTAACTCATGATGGAAGCTAAAATCTCGTGGAATCCTCTCACTGTCAAGTACAACACCGTGGGATGAATCATTATGCAAAGTTGCTGGCGCGATACAAAATACAAACTGATTGAAAGACGTAATGTTGGGTAGAAAGACAAAAGAAAAGATGACTTGTTCGAGGTTTCTTTATTTGTTTGGCAGCTGCGTCAATGACGAGTAACTTCCCCGCCTGGGAGGCCGACCATGGGAGGGGCCTGATTTCAGAACGGGTTGCATGATAGGCCGACTGAATCAACAATTCATCTAGTCCAATTGAATGAAAGGAAACAACTGTCTGTGAAACTTTGAATTAATTGCTATCTGTAGTGTCTCATAACAAAGAGACAGGTAGTAGAGCTATTATAGTAAATAAAAACTGAACGCAGGACAGCACAAATGAAACATTACCTAGGTAATGAGTGACATGAATCCCTGATTACAATAATCAAACACATTTCGTACATGGTTAGAAAATACATAAGAAACAAAAACCAAAGCAGCCACCAGGGCGACACAACATGAGTGAAACTATAACAACAGAGTAAATCATTATTGACCAAGTTTGAACGTATATCGTTTGTGTATGAAAGAAAAGGGGTTAGAAGAATAGAGTGTAACGAACGGCTGGAATGTTGCACAAGGAACTAATATAGCCAAACATATATGAACGATGCGACTGGGGATTGGAACAGATTGAACAAGATCTAGAATGTTAATGAAATTGTGTACTGGGCGGAATATTGTAGTCAATATTCTGTATCAACATCGTGGGCTTGAAGTCAAATTGCTGGTATGCCGTATCATCTCCCACAGAGGTGCCTGAGCTGTCGCCAGCCAGATATGTATCTGAAGAATCTGAAGACTCAGTGAACCCCAGCTGGAGCTGATTCTGGATGCCAATTTCGTTATCAAGTACGCTGAAGTCGAAATTTTCCCCATCATAGACATTGGGGTCAAAAGAGTTGAAACAGTCGAAGAGCCCAATGGTATCGGTTGCTGAAGAGGTTTCCTCGGAGTTAAGACCTGGGAAAGGGAGCAGCTCTGCAAGTATGCGAGGTAACTCTTGTAGACGCTGCATCACCTCGCCCTTGATTTGAGGTACAAAGTCACCGAATGCCTCATCTACCGTTTTGGTGACGTGGTGACGGACTGCCGGTTTTGCTTGGTCCCAGTATTCGCGCCAGTGTTCTACTTCATCAAGTTTAATGCAGGGGGTTTTGGCGCCAGGACGAGAAGAATCATAATCTTTTCCAATTGTTTAGCCGGTGTCCCCTATGGTTAGGAAAGATATGGGTATCTTATAACTTACATGGTGAAGGAATTTCAGGGGAATCGGGTTTGACATTGAACAGGATGCTATACCACTCCCTCCACTTTGTGGTGGGCGGCATTCTCAGTCTTCCCTTCAGTTTCTTCGCCTGTTCTTCGTCGTATCCATCAGAGAGATCTCGTTTAAAACCATCTGATTCTTTGACTGGACATGGTTTCTTCTCTCGTTGGTGTTTCTTCAAGGCCTCGGCCTCGTCGAAGCGGCGTAGGCATCTGAGGCACTGGTGAGGAGGCAAAGCATGCTTACGTTCTAGATGCTCCCTATAGAGGTTAGTAAATCGTAGACGGAGTTTTAAGGAGAACTTACTTTACACGTGAGATGCTAATCCATCCTGGGCCACAGCACGTTCTCTCGCTTCCGAACCTCGCAGGATCATACTGATGATAAGGGCACGCAAATCGAGGACGTGTATCCTCTTTCGTTGTTTTGGTCCGCTTGTTATCCCGCTTCCTTCTGGAACTGTCCTCGTCTTTGTCTTCGTCATTCTCGCTTTCATCCCGGCTGCTGTGGTCATTTGACCGTTTCTGGCCGGCCGAACGAGGGATTGGCTTTCCAGTCTGAACAGCGCCAGAAGAAGAACGCGATCCTGTGCTTTGATCGCACTCTTCTTCGAGTGCCTCCAGTCTTTGTTCAACACATTCCGCGATTACAGCCATCAAATTGTCAACGAGGTTCTGCTTACGTCGTTTGACTTCTTTGTTGAAGCAGTAATCCAAGTACGCCGCCGATGTGTTCGTAGGCTTGACGTCGGGTTCTTTGGTATCGGCGGCTTTCCTTCCGCCACTGATGGGTAAAGGCACGCTGAGAAGATTTGTGCAGTCTTTAGCAACCTTCAAGCGGCGACTGGGAGCGGATGGATTGGCTTGACCGCTTCTGCAGTTGATGTTAGTTACTGGTAACGCTCTTCCCAAGACATATGGAGCTTACTTAGAGGCAGGAGAACCTCGACGGCCCTGACCGCTCTCCTGGTCCTTTCTGACCTGAGATGTATTTGATCCACCAGTCGACTGTTTCTGAAAAATAAAGTCAGTATGGGTTATCTCGTGACTAAAGGGTAAGAGGCAAGTACCGGTCGTGAGTATCGATGCTCAGTGGGCTCAGGAGACTCGGAAGACCTCTTGTTTCTAGTTACAATAGCTTGTTTATCTTGGCCGGACCGAGGCATATCCGATCGCTGGTAAACCAGACGATGGGCAGGAGTGATTGAAGGGAAATTGAATTGATAGCAGAACTTGGCCAGATACTCCTTTCCAGAATGATAACTCTTTTTGAAGGCGGATTGTTTTCGATGCAAGGATATTTGACTTGCTTTGTCCACCACAGAGGGCATTATCAAAGTTCGATCAATTGCATGTTTTGTCCTGGTGTAGACGATTGCAATGGAATGTAGATATGAGGGTTGGCAGCAATGAATTGGTGTTGAAAGATAAGGAGTCGCAGGAGAAAGAGATGACAACCATTGGAATCGGAGACTTCATGGGCAAACGGGGGCTTAAATAGTTGGAAAAGAGCCTCACGATGTGCTTTCCATCTCTGGTTTCGCAATTGCGAATTCCGCAAAACCGAGTGCGACTGCTTCATGAAGATCGCTCAACGGTAGGACTCGGCTGTGGTGAGATTACAGTGAATGGGTGCAATCTAGAGACGCCATTACTGGTCAGATGGGGCGATATCGCGAGCACCATCGGTCAAGACTTGATGTACCAACTATAGGTACCTAGTCAAGTATGCAAGTAAGTACTTAGTCTCTACAATGTATGTCATGTATGACTTGCCTGTCAATGCGTCAAACTGATCTCACAAGTTGAAGGCCTCAATTTGGCGTCGACTGTAAACAAAACGATGCCTCTTTGGGCCTCCCCCACGCCTATTAGCTTGCTGCAGTAGACGAGGCGACAGCATAATGGTTCGCGAACAACATCGTCAACGCCATTCGAGTGGCTGTTCAAGACGCGACCCCCGCGTTTCAATGCGACTATCGATAGAGTCCTGCAGATAATTCATGTCGTGTCCGAATGAACCGGTTCGACCCGGTTAAGGTACCTACAGATGATGCATTAGTGGATGGGGCAAGTAGCACACGTTGTCTCAGCCGATTTGCTTCGCAGAAAGGATGCATTTTCCTATGGGTTTGGTCGTGAACGTTGCGAGTAGACATTTTTCTCTTGATTGCTTTTTCGTAATGGGGTAAATCCCTCATAAATCTGCTCTATTCATATGTGGAAACTCGGCCATTCCCCCATTTACTGAGTATACAGGCGTGACTCAGTGTGTAAATTGATCTAGATCATTATAAGCTCTTAGTTTTTGCTTGTCTTTCTTCGAGTCAGGGCAAAGTTGTAGGCATTGCGGACAATAGTTAATGGACGACGTCCCAGGTGCCCTGTTTTGAGAGCCTCTTGCTCTTACCCCCGAGATGGATGTCCTCACTCATGTTGATCATATCCATCACTGTGTCTTGCCATTCTTGTCCTGCTTGCGGGCCACAATCCCATCCACACGCTTGAAAGCTGGGAATCCCTCAAAGAAACAGTTGGTAAGCCAGAGCCACCACTGTCCAGAGAACCTCTCAACGCCATGTCTCTGGAGCTTCTTGTCAAAGAAGAAACACTCGACAGCGTGAATGCCAATGACAGGCCAGAAGATGGCGTTGACCAGCCAGTGGAAAAAGCTGGCTCCGCCAGGAAAGCCCTCGTTCAACAGCTCCCAGACACGCGAACCAGGCTGGATCCATGGCAATGACGCCTCACAGAAGAAGTAGAACAGAACAGCGCCAGTGACGAAAATCCCAAAGCCCTCTGGTGGTGTGTAGGCTGTGATGATGACATCGCTGAGACCCAGTGCCTCTCGAGCCGTGTTGGCCATTTCGATAATGCGGTCCTTCACCTCGGCCCAACTAGCGAGAGGAGGCGTGAAAGGGACAAAGTGTTCCTTCCCGTCGTCAGACTTGATAGTCATTCCATTTAGCTCAATGTCTTTGAGGGCCGGGGACGAAGCGGCCGAGGCAGAGAGGCGGGCGTAATGGCGGAGGTAATAGGATATCTCCCTGGTGTGTTCCTTGTTCATGTGCGAAATGATGCGGTTTCTGCGCACATCATCCGTGGAAGCCATTTTCACTGTCCGAGACTTTGATCTTTTGGACTGCGCAAATATAAGTGAAGGGTGAATGTTTGGTGATCGGTGAGGCATATGAGCGAGGTAGAATCCTCGGATGAAGTCGAAAGTGGACCCATGTTTTTCATGTGAAGATCGACCAGAGCCCGATCAATTAAATGCAGGAAGACACATTATTGATTTATCAAAATAAATAAAAAAATCGAATAAACTAAATAATACAGTGACAAAGAAGATTTATTTTTACTGATCCGTATGGTATCACGATGTTACTACTATTCTGACCGTCAGATATTAGAGGCAGGTGTACTTCCCGCTGGTTGCCTGGAATCCTTAGTCATCGAACAACCAAATATCAGGACGGAGCTCTTGCCAACACAAACCTCTATTCATCATATTTCGTATCTTCTATATACGTATCCAAACATGTCCATTCAGACACTTGGTGTTTCTGCTATACTCAAGGATAGTGATTATCCTTCGTACCCTCTACATTTCTGCATCGCTGTTGGTAATTTCAGGACGCTGCAATTCTTGCTCAACAAAGCATCTTTTGACACTATCAACGAATCCGATGGCAAATGGGGAGCGCCATTGTATATAGCAGTACACCTCGATAACTAAGAGGCTGTTAAAATGCTGTTGAAGGCTGGTGCTGGCCCTGTTCTGGAGCCCGACTTGCTCTTCGAAAAGTACAATACGACACCTCTAGGGGTAGCTGCCCGGTTAGGTAATATGAAGCTCTTTCTGAAGCTCTGGCAACATGTCGGCTTTGAGATATCACAACTCGATGGCTGCCTCATTGATACAGCAGTGTATGGCCAACCCTCAGCAATTGGAGTCCTGCTGGATTTGTGTCGTGAGAACTGGCCCATGAAGACTAAAGGTCTTGCTTTGAACAGAGCAGCCGAGAACTGGAAAGTCGACAATATTCGATTTCTTCTGTCTCGATGCTTCTTTGATGAGGACATGCTCGACTCTGCTTTGACTCAAGTGCCACCCAAGGTTTGTGTTAGAGACCCAACAGAATCTGAACTCTCTGCACAGTCACAGCCAATCAAACTGCTCATGACCGCTGGGTCCGATCCTAGTGCCTCCTTGCGCTATCTCTCCCGGCCACTTCTTACACAAGCTGCTGCCCACAAGCATCTCCACGAGTGTCTGGAAGCACTCCTTGACAACGGCGCGGACCCTAACGCAGTCGTGAATCCCCAAGGACAAACTGCATTGCATTACCTAGCGGTTAAAGAGCAAAAAGAGGTGCAATATTGGCCAAAGGAGGCCTTAGCTCGGCCAGAAGAGGCCAGAGAGGCTGCTTTCAGAACATTCTTCCGTTTCAACGCTTCGATTCTTCAGCAAGATGTATTTGGAAACACTCCTTTTCACTTTGCAGCATTTACATCCGACCTGAAAGCCTTGCAACTTATGCTCTCAAACTTACCTACCGAATTGGAAAGAAAGGCCGCTTTGATGTTACGGAATCACCAAGGTGAGTCGCTGCTCCATTTTTCATCTAGTGGTGCTCAAATTGATATCGTTGAATACTTGCTATCACAAGAGGTTGGTATTTCTGTTGATGAGGTTACCTTGAGGACATGGACCCCGTTTCTGAGTGCACTGGCGCCTGTGTCAACAACCCTACGGCTTGTTAAGATAAAGACAGCTCAGCTACTTGTCGATCACGACGCCAATCCAACTGTGATCACACATGGTGGCTGGACGGCGTTGCATTGTCTTGCTTTAAAACATGACCGCAATGAAGACGGTGAGTTACAGCCTTTATCGACACACTTGTGTCAGATGGTGTGCTTGTCGATAGCCGGGCGCGATTCGCTTCCGACGGTTTCGATCTCGATCTACCATGGAGGCGCCGTGACATACGAGGCATCTCATATGGCTGTTCGGAATTGCGCTATCTCGAAGACCCTAAGCTATGGGGCAGAGTCGTCTAGTCTGATCTCACACCATTACACGTTGCCGCCCGTACTGGTGCGCTCACTGCTGCAAGAGCTTTGCTCAAGCATGGAGCTGATCCTACAGCTATAGATTCAGGGGGAAACTCCCCTGCTAAATTGGCAGGTGATTCGAAATATCACCGCTGTGCCCATCCAATTGAGAATCGGGACAAGATGATTTCCCTACTAACAGAAGCAGGGGGGTCATATCAAGCAGTGTAAGTACAGCATTGTCTGAACATAGTGCCACGCCATATCTTTTCTATGCTTTTTGGTTTGTATCATACGCGTCAGCTATACAACTGGCTGGCAAATAGCAGGATAAGTACATTCCTATTCGTTCCGTTTGATCGTGAGATACTCTAGTCTATGTTTCGAAAGTTACAAATACGGTAGTCCATTTTCATTAGTCGCCAGCCTTGATGTTCTCTCTGGCAACTCCCTTCTCTGCGTCCCATTCATTATCTTCCACGCGCCTGACTGTCCTCGTCTTGACCTGAATACCAATCAAGCCGGTGAATTGGGAAATCATGGAGAATCTCTGGCCTCCTTGTATCTCTGTCCTGACATCTCCATATGTCTTGTCTCCCAGATGCAAGGCAGGTGAGAATATTTTCTTTGTACGCGATCTTGTCAACATTCCCAAGAATCCAGTACTGCGTATGGCTGTCTTCGTTGATTTAGAAGACGTCCCTCTTTTCATGGGGGTGTCGGTGCTGGTGATCAGCAACGCCGATTGATTTTGCACCTCGCTGTCGCTAGGATCCGAGTCGGCGAAGAACTGCCAGACAGGCGAGCATGCCCATAGAATCAAGACAGCAATTTCGATGTCCATCCAGATAAGTCGATCATGGTATTTCCATACCGGTTGCATTTTTGTAAAGAAGTCGACCAAAAGTTGAGCTCGAAGACCAGATACCGCAAGAGCGAATACCCCTAAAAACACTGTAAATCCGTGACTCAGCCAGGACATTATGCTTCGAGGAAATCGACTCGAGATGAGGGATATCATTGTTGCAAAAATGATAATATTCAGAAGTATGTCGATAGCACATGCTGCGTATGCTAGGGAGTCCTGTGGCAAGCATCCTCCCACTTCTTTCTCTTTCTCGTTTAGAGCCCATGCTTCCCAAGAAAATGCGATCGGCGAACATCGAAATACTCGCAGCAAGACCAGAACGACGGAGGATGCAAGTGTGAAAACAATAGTTGTGCCTGTCGCTATCATGTGGTGGTTAGAAAGAGTTGTGCGGAGACAGACGAGCAGTATCGAGACTCTCAACAGACAAGAGCAGGCTATCTCGGCTATTTCGGTCAGGTAAACAAACTGCTTTCATGTTAGAGTCTGCGTTGTAAGCTGGCATTTGATAACATACCTTGAGGGCGTCTGTGATAAACCCAGGGATTGTGCTCGAAACAATTGTGCTGTTGGTTGCAGTGTATGCTAATCGTTCACTTGTAAGTCAGGGTCCTTACGGTGTAGGTTGTGATGGCACTTACAAAGGTGAACAAGCGGGATGAACGCCGTGTATATCAACTAAAGGCTGGTTAGAATCATTCTGAGAGACTCCGAAACTCCAACTTACTCCGCAGACCGTCATCACATAGTCATCCAAAGCAAGTCGTTCATATGTAACCCAGCTCAAGTAAAGTCGAAGCCAAACAAAAGTCCATGCTGGAACCTCTGCAAGCAAGAGGATGTAATGGTCGAATCGATTGTCCTTGGGTTTCACGGCGCATGCGTTGGTATAAATTTTCGCGACTTCTACACATTGTTAATATATTTCTCTTTTCCTTCTCAAGCTCAAGCGGTCATACCGAAGCGCTCAAAATCGGAACATTGGCGCGCGATGCAATTGTCAATTTCATTCTTTAGGCTTTTGTCGTTACAAGTATCGGTGATATTCAATATCGAGTCGCGGTATAGATCGAGACATGGAGACTGGTAAAGGTCAGTAAAGCTCTTAACGCAAAGAGAAACTCGTCAACTCACAGTACAATCCGGTAAGCTTTTGAAAAGCTCAGGTCTTTCGAGACCTAACACTCCAGCAATGAGCCCTAGCGAGCAGATTGCCCATGATGTGAGCTTCATACCAATCCAGTGGCATTAGAGCTTGGCAATTTTAACAGAGTGGACACAGAAAGAAGCACGTTGAGGCTGAAATGGGTGCGAGGTAAAGAGGTTTTCTATTTTGAAATATATACAGAGTTGTCACTCCAATGCAGCAAACCCCAGATCGACGTGGACAAGGGGTCCTCGCTCTCAAATAAGGCAGGCGTCAGCTGCAGGTCGCTGTAATGAGGCTAGTTATGGCTCTGTCGGGGTCGTTACATACTTGTTTTGATATAAAGCCCCCTGCCAATATAGCATGAATAAGGTGAAGCATTGACAATCATCTCAAAATAGTGGACGTGCTCTTGCACGGGCCGACTGGTGGATCAAGTGGATTACTGTTCGCATCAAATGCTCGATCTGCCATCATATCGAGATTTCATTCGGCGATTCCGCTCTGGTTGATGAGTGAAAGTGACAGTGAGCTTCACCGAATTGAAACTCGTGGTCGACGCAAGGACGTTCCTTCAGCCTTGCCTCATGCACAACATTCGTAATCGCCATGAGGCTTCAAGGTTCAACAACAAACTTGAACACGGATCGACCTTGACTGAACCAAAGGCCAGGCTTTCTTGCTAGTCAATTAGTCTGTCCTATTATTCTGCTCTGGCGCTTTCTTGGGCAGTTGTTAGGCTGAGACTAACGCCAGAATTAGACCCCATATCGTACCACAACGCGCAGTACGCTTCATATGAAACAGCGATTCCTGGACAGTTGCAGCAGAGGGTTTGATCCGGTTGTGATTTTCTGCTGATCAAATGTCCGATGATTGAAATATGGAAGGTTGCAGTGTAGCAAACATGAGACTTCCACAAAGCTTCGATATTTCTAGTTGTTAAGCCGAGAATGCCTGTTGATCGACCATGATCAGGAGGATTATCCACTTTGAGAAGCACAATCTAAGACGTTTCCAGAACAATTCCGTTCTTCTGGAGACGTTATGAGTTGATCGCAACGGGCGAGTCAGTTTGCGGTTTCAGGCTGGAATAGCCAATCGCTCTGCTCCGTACATTACGGTTAGCTTGGAGGTTGCTAACTTCTCTAGTGGAACGGACTGTTTGCTTTTTATGTGGGTATCATTTTGATGTTTTGTTTTGAACTATCCGACTTTTCAGATAGAAGTCGCTGTGACTTATCAATCCAATGGCTGACCGAACAAAACCAGATACAACCATATCGAGCAGGTACTACCTAATACATAAGATAAGAGGTTTGTAGTTCCATCGTACTGGGCATGTCTTGTAGAGGATGGTGGCACTTCGGAGCTCCGAAAAACCTGAATGGCTGTAGTTAAGGGCAAGACGAAATGTAGTGAGAGGAACGTTCGGATTGACACATAAATCCTTTCAACAATATCAATCACATGAATTCCCTTTTCTTTTTAAACATGTCAATTGATTGATGGTAGTGTCTTCTTCGAACAGCAACTGATCACCTGACCCTCCAAGCCCAATTCGTATCTCCGCTCGGTACAAGCAAAAACTTCTCCGCAAAAGTTATCAGATGAGATTGATAAAGATTTCTCTTTTCACTTGCTAATGCCCCTCAGGATCGGCCCTCGAGCGATTTCTCCTCCTGCTCCTTCGTAACTCCGAGAGCCACCCGCATCCGCATCGGTATTCGCACAGCATTGGACCAAGCTCCGGCCTGAGCTGCTGGCATTGACTATGACTTCTTCAGACCGAAGTGAGACCCCGGACTCGGACGGTGACCGAAAGCCTGGGGCCCGAGATGACTCGAGCCAGCCCGCCCGCAAACGGCAGCGTGTCCGCCTGAGCTGTCTTGAGTGCCGGCGCCGAAAGCTATCCTGCGATCGAGGCTTTCCGTGTGAGCGTTGCATCAAAAGCGGCACGCCTGATCGCTGTAGCTATGAGTCCCGCAATGGAGAGGTTGTAAATGCCTCGTCGGGCGTCCCGCCTCCGTTTGCCCAACTCGACTCCCGCCGCTTCGTCGATCCCGCGATAGGTCTGTCCCCACGAGACCCCGAACTTATGCGCCAAGATCACGACCGAATCCGTCGATTAGAGCTTGAGATAGCTCACTTGAAGAACCAAATTACCCGACCTGGTGCGTCTTTTGATGGGAGCACCATCGCTGGCACGACTACCTCTCCCCAAACAAAAGATGATCCCAATTCGAACGCCAACGTCGAGGACCCCTCGGTCCGCGAAGTACACGAGTCCATCGAAGCTACCAACATGTCGGGCGAAAAGGGCGAGCTTCGATTCTTTCGAGGCAGAGGATTTCGTACGCGATATTTCGGCCCACACAACGCCAGTATGGCATTCGTTGAGTTGACAGGGCTGTGTCCATTCATGAAGGAGACGGCCGACGAATGGCTCCGTCCAGTCATTCTTCACGATCGTAAAGATCGGAAGAGAAGGCGCGAGGATCGTGAGAAAGTCTTTGAGGACTCCGATATGGAGCTTGAGGCACTATTGCCAAACAAAGAAGAGTCTGATGCTCTCATTGATGTTTACCTCGACCAATTCGAGCAGGTGCATCGCATTGTTCATATTCCCACTTTCAAAAGAGAATATGCGGAATACTGGACACCAGGTTCCAACAAGCGCTACGCTGCTTTCACGGCGCTGATCCTTTCCATGATGGCTGTAGCGAGCTGTGTTCACACTCATGAGAGCCTCAAGTTCATCGGCATGATGTCGAATGCTCGTCACTGGGCAGAGCGATGGATCAAGGCATGCGACGAATGGTCATCAAAGCAGAGCCAAAAGCACCGACGCCTGATTCACTATCAAGTAGCTTGCCTCCTGTACTTGGGCAAGCGAGTCAACACCATCAAAAAGAAGCGTTTCTGGACAGGCTCCGGGGCTTTGATTCAAGATGGAATTGCTGTCGGCTTGCATCGTGAGCCGAGCCATATGGCAGCCAAGATCACTGTCTTTCACCAAGAAATGCGCCGAAGAATTTGGGCAACGGTACAGGAGTTTGACATGCAGGCGTCATTTGACCACTGTCTTCCTACTCTTGTGAGCCAGTTGCATTATGATACCAATGCACCTCGCAATCTAGATGATGACGACTTTGACGAGAGTACCACTGTGCTTCCGCCATCAAAGCCTGTCAAAGAATACACGTTCTCCTCTTTTCAGCATTTGGCTCGCCAGAGTCTGCCTTTGCGCCTGGAGCTCAGTCGTCTTTTGACCGGTCCATCGTCCGAGATTGATTACGACCAAGTCATTCGATACACCAACGACTTGACCCAGGAGATCGATGCACTTCCTTCTTGGGATATGAATCTAGAAAACGTCAGAGGCAAGAAAAATCCTTTAATTGCATACACTCTGTTGCACGTTCAGTTGAGGCAATACATTATCCCCTTGCATCAACCCTACCTCAAACTTCGCAAGCAAAACTCCAAATATCAGTACTCCGAAATCATATACTATAACGCAGCGCGCGATATCGTTTTATTGCATGATAAACTTTACGAGCAAGGCGTTCGAAGCCTCAATTTCCTCCGCGAGGATGCCCTCACAACGGCCATCAACCTCTGCAGCGTTACTATGTTACAGCCGAGAGGTTCCACCAACATGATCATGATCAATTCCCATCATACACTCAAATTGATTGAGAAGTGCATTGCGATGAAAGAAGACCGTCTTTTGCGGTGTGGCAACAATGAGCCATGGGGATATTCTATTATGTGTGCAGCATTAGGATTACTTGAGGCCCACCTGGGTACCAAAGAGCCCGAGGTCGCCAAGTCAACATCAGCGGAGCGCTTTGTCAACTTGCACTATCGGCTCCTTGCTAACCAGGAACCTCCTGTGTCCGGGGAGCAACTGGCAGCCGCCATGAACGGTGTGCCACCAGGAAACATGGGACCCGGGCCTACGCCCAACATACCGCTGCATGACCGGCCAAAGGTAATGAAGCTCGACTTCCAAGGCAGGGCGTTTCCTAATATTGGTATCCAGTCGGTGACCCCTTTCTCATTTACGCCAACGATGCCCGTCGCTGTCCCGATCGACCCGAGTCAGGCCCCGTGGATGATGGGAGGGGATCCCACCCAACCCTTCAACCTGGATCCGAGTCTGGAGTTACTAGGGATAAACCTTAACGAGATTTGGGGCGAGTCCTGGGAACTGGGCTGAAAAAGAAGAAGAACAGTCTCGGGTTGGCTAATGAGTAATAATAATACCTAGCGTGGAAGTCTGTACCTCACGGAGCGATGGAAAAGTATCAGGCCGGGCGTTTTGTTTTCGGGTTTTTTAATTGTCTGTTTGATGATACCAGGTATACTGAATCACGACAATACAAGCACTCTTGGGACAAGTCTCGGCGTCAAATGCCAACGACTTCCATGGTGTCTTGGAAAAGCAACTCCTCTCCATATATATCTTGTGGGTTTGAATATTGAGCTCCTTCTTTTAACTGACGAATCTCTCTCCAGAATCATGTGCTAAAGAAATGCAACATCTAACTGCAGTGATGTGTGGTTTACTCACGCTGGCGAAGAGACATGTGGTGCACCCTCGCAAATCTACGGGTTTCAGCACTTGGCAGGCTTCGATCTTGAGTCTTAATTGAAGATGACTAGGCGACTTTGTTCGAACCACTGGCAATCGGGCAATTTTGAAGTAACATTGTTTTCGGGTGTTGGCGTGTGTTTATGATAGTGATTAGGGCCATAGGTCAATTATGCTGAAAGGACTCCCAGTACGCCAGTGATTACAATCGAGGCCATGTTAGTGAAGCAAAAAATCGGATAAAATAGGTTATACAACCATCAACATGATTAAGTCTATATCTATCAGACAATTAACGTGAAATCACGGAAGTCTTTACTCTTTCGAGGCTCCATTCTCTCGTCAATCAATAAAAACAAGTTGAGGATTTCTTAATATCGCGGCGAGATGTGTAGAAAAGACAAAAATCTCACCCTCCCATGTTAGGAAGGGTTCGACTTCATGATGTCCGCAGGCGAACATCACATTGATTCTGTTGGTCCAAGATGGATTTCTTGACACTACAGGAGCGCGATAGAAAATATGAGTGCTAATTGGTACCTATATATCCAATCAATACAGATGCTATAGTGATCATTACCCTCTAACTAGTACTCCATGATGCATGACTCTCAGCATCGATCATATCCCAAGTAGTATCAATACCAATCTACTCCATCCAAAAGCATACGACACTCTAGTCCAAATCTTTCTTGCGGACAACGATATAACCCTCGTTGATATTCCGTGGGTTGCCGTCCTCCTCATCATATACAAACTCTTCTTCCATGTCTTCCTCATCTGAGGGTTCTGATGGCTGCTCAAACGTGCCTTCGCTCCATAGAATATCTATCAAAGCGTCGGCGATGTGGTTGCCCATCCAGTCGTAGCCTTCTTTTCCCAGATGCACATGATCATCCCAGTATCTTTGGCGATCTTGTTGTGAGAGAGAATGAAATGGAATTTTGGATTTGAGGTCGAATGCGTAGCTGTTGGTTATTAGCGGCATGCACGATAAAAGATCAGGCCAGGGATGATAATGCCGCCGTATTGTGTCCTGGTTTCTCAATATATGCGCATCTACTTACTAGTTCCGGTTCTTGTTCTTGAGAATGCGTTCATTGAGCGCATTCCTTGCTGCCATGGTTCTGTCGTTATCTGCGCTGCATTCTGGGACAGTGAGGGCAAGAACTTTGGCGCCCTTGTCCCGGGCGAGGTCGTAGGTTTTCTTCAGAGACGAGAAAATTACCTCTGGAGGAATACTGAAAGCTATGTCGCTGCAGAGTTGTGAATCAGCCTTTTGTCTTCAGTGCCAATGATGTCGTCGTGCTTATATACTACTCACTTGGTGCCGCCAAGGACAATAGTCCAGTCATATATTCTCCCGCGCCCTGGTCATTTTTAGCTATGTTCGAGTTGAAAATCAACGGGATGAAAGGATGGTATACAGGCAGATTTCACTCTATTCGAGAATCGTTCAGAAGAAGCGGCGTCGCCAGGATAGCCGTTTACAACAATCTCAAAGTCCACCTCTGGAAAGGTGCCCGTGAGTCGATCCTCCAGCTTGTCAGCGTATGGGTGCGACATCATACCCTGGCAAAAATAGCCCGAGGTAAGAGAGTCGCCGAAGCATAGTATACTAAGCTTTTTGCGAGGCATAGTGATGGTTTTTCTGTGGTGTTGTTGTGATGGTCTTGTGAATAAGGTCGGAAGAAGTGGCGGGAGGGGGAATAGTGGTTGAGGTGATGGCGTAGGTTCAGTGTAAGCGGGTAGGCTACAGCGCTGTGTTCACATAGAGATGCTGGGTAGCATGGGTCATGCAAACCTTTGAGTGACCGGTTTCGAGCTTTTTCTGAAAACTTGAATCGCTTTTATGCTGAGGGATAAAGTTGTATTGTCTTTAATTCACTGCTATGTAGAAAGCTTTATTCTGCTGATGCACGTACTCGCGTGATCATTTGTTGATAGTCTTTCATGTCATTGTTCAATTAGTTGGTGACCTTTATAATACAACATCCATCAACATTGCGATGCGCACAGAAAGAAAACCCGTTTCAGACTTCTCAGTGGAATATTTCCATAGTTAGCACATCAGAAAAAAGTATACATCCATCAAGTTTGATCGTTTCACGATTGCAAATCTTCAAAATAGAGTTATCTGCAGGGTAGACTGAGTACTACGAAGGCACGTAGGTTGGTAGTCAATAAAACGTTTATCTTTAACCGCGATAGCACAACATGTTTCGCGAAAACAAAGAAATCGACTACAGATGAGTTACTTTTTAGCCTTTATACAATACCAAGAAGGTTGGGTATCTAGAATCAGGATTGTCAAGGTTATTGTATGACAAAACACGTTAACCTGATATACCAAATTTTGACCGAAGTTTATATCAACTACCGTTGGTGAGATGGCCGAGTTGGTTATGGCGCCAGGTTAAGGTTAACCTTAACACCAATTTCCTGGTGGAGCAATCCTCCTGGGTTCGAGTCCCAGTCTCATCAAAAGATCCTTTTTTTGCCATTCGTGCTGAATTGACAGTAAAGAGAGATAAGAAAAAGTTCCGTTACGCCGCCCGTGCGATGACGGAGCTTTTGCCACGACATCATAGGGAAAATTTTGAGGCTAGTTGAAGCTTCAAACTCAATCCGTACAGCTCTGGCTTGTGATGGATTGAAGCTTCATCCCCTCCAAGAAGCAATAGTTTCCCCTCAAATACAATAATAAACATCCAATTCCCTCCGCAATTATTCGTCATACCTACCAAGCTATGACCAAGTATAAGGCTGATTCCCCTGCAAAAAATTAATAATTTGTAGATAGCTTCCGGTACTGTTACTACCGGCACTTTAGAAAAGACCCACGCTTAAGTGCGGATTCTTGTGTTTTTTTTTTCATCTCTTGGTCCTATCTGCTCCTTCTTTGCCCCGCCCCCTCATCAGCTCGCTATTGCGAAATCGCTACTACCCCGCCAAACTTTTTTCCTTTTGGCCTTTCCTTACTCGCCAGGAGCCCAATCCGCACCCGAATGAGGCGCCTGTTTTCCACTTACAGCTTTTCTTCTTCCTTTTTATCTTCGTCCTCTTCTGTTTTTCGTTTTTTCTCCTCTTCATCCCCCAAAAGCTTCCCTCTTCTAGCTTCCAAGATGTCCTCTCAGCAGAAGATCGCCATCGTCTCGGTCTACGACAAGACCGGTCTGTTGGACCTGGCCAAGGGTCTTGTCCAGCAGAATGTTCGAATTCTCGCCTCTGGAGGTACCTCCAAGATGATCCGAGAGTCTGGCTTCCCTGTCGAGTAGGTGAACTCAATTGTTTATTTCATGCGACAATAAAGCTAATTGACTTTCAACAGGGACGTTTCTGCCATCACCAAGGCCCCTGAGATGCTTGCTGGTCGCGTCAAGACTCTGCACCCTGCCGTCCACGCTGGTATCCTGGCCCGTGACCTCGCCTCTGACGAGAAGGACCTTGCCGACCAGAACATCAACAAGGTTGACTACGTCATCTGCAACCTCTACCCCTTCAAGGACACTGTCGCCAAGATCAACGTCAGCATCCCCGAGGCTGTCGAGGAAATCGATATTGGTGGTGTCACTCTCATCCGCGCCGCCGCCAAGAACCACAAGCGTGTCACCATCCTCAGCGACCCCAACGACTACGCTGGCTTCCTCAAGGAGCTCGAGAAGGGCGATGTCAGCGAGAGCAGCCGCAACCGATACGCTCTCAAGGCCTTCGAGCACACTGCCGACTACGATGCCGCTATCTCCCAGTTTTTCCGCAAGGAGTACGCTGGAAATGGCGACCAGTACAGCGCTCTCCGATACGGCGCCAACCCCCACCAGAAGCCTGCTGCTGCCTACGTTTCCGAGGACAGCCTTCCCTTCAAGGTCCTCGGTGGCTCTCCTGGTTACATCAACCTCCTCGACGCCCTGAACGCCTGGCCCCTCGTTAAGGAGCTTCAAAAGGCCCTTGGCAAGCCTGCCGCCGCAAGCTTCAAGCACGTCTCCCCTGCTGGTGCTGCCATTGGTCTCCCTCTTACCGAGGAGGAGAAGAAGGTCTACTTTGTCCACGATATCGAGGGCATTGACGAGTCCAGCCTCGCCCAGGCTTACGCTCGTGCCCGTGGTGCCGATCGCATGAGCAGCTTTGGCGACATGATCGCCCTTAGCGATGTCGTTGATGTTCCTACCGCTCGCATCATCTCCAAGGAGGTCTCTGACGGTGTTATTGCCCCTGGCTACGAGGATGCCGCTCTTGAGATTCTCAAGAAGAAGAAGGGTGGCCGATACCTCGTCCTCCAGATCGACCCCGAGTACAACCCTCCCGCCACCGAGACCCGTACTGTCTACGGTATCAACCTCCAGCAGCACCGCAACGATGTTGAGATCACCCCCAAGCACTTCAGCACCATCATCACCCCTAAGGACACTGCTTCCCTCCCCGAGAGCGCTGCTCGCGACCTTACCATCGCTACCATCACTCTCAAATACACTCAGAGTAACTCTGTGTGCTACGCCTACAACGGACAGGTCGTTGGTCTCGGTGCTGGACAGCAGTCCCGAATCCACTGCACTCGTCTTGCCGGCGACAAGGCCGACAACTGGTGGATGCGATTCCACGAGCGCGTTCTCGGCATTAAATGGAAGAAGGGTACCAAGCGTCCCGACAAGAGCAACGCCATCGACCTGCTCGTCAGCGGCCAGCTTCCTAAGGATGGCCCTGAGCGTGAGGCTTTCGAGGGTGTCTTCGAGGAGGTCCCTGCTGCTTTCACTGCCGAGGAGCGTGAGGCTTGGATGAAGCAGCTCAAGAACGTTTGCGTTTCCAGTGACGCTTTCGTAAGTAACATATATCCTAATTCATCAATAATCACTAACATAGAACACAGTTCCCCTTTATTGACAACGTCTTCCGCGTGTCTCAATCAGGAGTCAAGTATGTTGCTGCCCCTGGTGGCAGCCAGAACGACGCTGCTGTCTTTGACACTGCCGAGAAGCTTGGCATTACCTTTGTTGAGCAGAGCATTCGTCTGTTCCACCACTAAGCGATACCTGATGAGAAATTTTGTTTTTTGTTGATATTTGATATGAAAATGGAACCGGAAAAGTAAAGACACGGCTTGCAGAACTTGGCATGGAAATGAGGGATTCCCAGAATTTGTGATCTTTATGGTTGCAATGTTGTATATATGATAGACTTAACGCCGCGCCCAGACGCTCACTTCAACGTGATTATGATGATTTTTGAACTATTTGTACCTTATTGTATCGCCCGTTTGTTTTGTGATTCTACCACTCCAAGGCTTTCATACGTGAGAGGGTGAGCCTGACCAAAAGTATATACTCCCTTTGCTCCATTCCGTGGTTGCTACCCTTCCAATCCCAAATGCAGATAAAAATCAAATGGATCGCAAATCGCAGCATTTTTTTATATCCCAGTCCCATTACCCCTTTATTAGTCTTCGATGTCATCATCGCTGAGCACCAATTTCTGAGCAAGCAACCCTGATACATTCCCATCCTTTATACCCGCGCGCTTCTTTCGAGGGCTCATTTCTTCAGAGGGCTTGTCTGTCGCCCACGCTTCTCCAGGTGCCATATCATCCTCCGCATCGGATTCTTCGTCTGCGGCGTTGATGCCTTTAAACGCTACTACCTTTTCAAGATCGCGGAGACGGAAAGTGGATGTCTTGCGAGCTCGGGCAACATGAGCCATGTACGGCAGACGCTCAAGGAGCATCTCGCGCCGAGCTGCGCTACCGAGTGAAAGTAGAGGAGTGTCCTGGGTCTCATCTTCCTCTTGCTTCTGTTTCTGCAGCTTCATAACAGCCTGTCGGCTCTGTTGCTTGCGTTGCATCCAGGAAGTTTCATCAGAGTTTTGTTGTGGGCGACGGAACGCTGTGGCGCCATCGGTCAGGTTCTTGGTCGCTCCATCATCGCCCTTCAGTAACTTTGTGGACCACATATCCACAAAACCCTCCAGCTCTTCCTTGGCGCGCCAGAGCTTGAGACTAGTTGGGTAGAACATCTTGAAGGCATCACTACCCTTGGACATGGACGACGACTTACGTTTGACAGGGTTGGGTAGAGAGAACAACATGCCACGAACAGCGACCTGGAATGTTATTTCGTCTTGTCGCAATACATGGCTGCCAGAGTCCGGGCTCGAGAAGCCGCCTCTACCACCGAAGAATATGTCTCTTGATGGGGAGAGGAGATCGGCTTGGGATAGGTACTCGATACAATCATTGATATAATCCATCGGTGTTGACAAGTCCATAGGATCTGTGCTCTCGCATGATAGAACGTAATTCTCATGTAACGCCGAGACGAAAGTGTGCGTGTCGGTACCAGTCTCGTCAATTAGAGTGTCCACGGAAACTTCTGACCGTTTTGGTCGTGAATGTTGCGAGAGAAAGCCCGGTAGTCTTTCAGTGGTATCATCCCGCGGAGCAAATTCATCTCGCTTGTTGTAGACCACCTTTCCAACCGCGTGGAAGATGCCCAGACTCGCTTCGCGTTGTGATATCAACTCCAGACTCTCCTCTTCACCCTGCGTAAGCTTGATAGCATCCTTCGTACCCTTGGTCTGCTTCGAAAAGGCAACCTTGTTGCCCCAATCGCCTTGTTGGTCACCTTTCAAGCAAAGAAACTCAAGCGACGAGGCGGCGTTTCTGATGTCTCCGATCTCACCGAGACGCTTCAGAACCTGGGGACCCGGGGTTTTCCTTCGTCCCGACTTCCGCGCTTCCTTTTGGACGATTAATTCGAGTGCTTTTAGGAGCAAAGATGGCGCGATGGCGTTAAACTCAATCATGCCAACCCCAGGATGCTGTAATATTTCAGGACCAAGGAGCCGATGTGCGGTGAAACTGTCAGCTGAAGCGGATGTCGTTGTAAGATGAGTCTCTGAAATGATCATGACTACTGGTGTCACGGGTCCCTGTTGAGAAGGCTTCGCAAACATGGATAGAGAGGGTGTGTTATGGGCAAGGTATTGCAGAATGGTATTGCGGAAAGATGTCAGTGCAGTCGAAGACTTTGCAAACGTGTTTGGAAACTCCTCAATGAGTATAACTCGTTTAGAATCGCTTTTTCGTGTAGCTTGCGAGCTACTTTGGGAGGATGGTAATGCCGGGACGTCTGTATCTAGCGCTCCGAATTTCCCGCCGCGACCAAGAAATTCTTCGAATTGCGCCGATGCCGAAACGAATCCCAACCCAGAGCTCCCTGCAGGATTTCTCCATTCAAGAAGTTCGTAATCCATGTCGTTCGCCAAAAGTCGCATCGTTGTCGTTTTCCCAGAACCGGCTGCACCTTTGAGGATGAGCAGACGCTGTCGCATGCGTCCTGCTAACACATCATCCAGCCATCTTCTCACATCTGATACTTTCTTCTTGTGTACGGCGAGTTCCTCCAGGTTCTGCGGCCCAAATCGTTCGGACCATGGTCGTGAATCATCGTTAGCGGTGGCAAGGGGTATTGGTTTCTGTGGTTTGATGAACTTCTGGCTAGCGCTGGGAGCGGTCGAGAATGCCGTCTGTGAATCATTTCGTAGCCTCTTTTTAGCGTGTTGACCAACCAGACTCGAAGAACTCGCTTTCTGCTCTGAAATATCATCGTCTTCTGAGATGGGATCACTGATAATATCGTCGAGGGGGACGGATCGTTTGTCCACAGCCGCTGTCTTTGCAGCTCTCTGTGCCTGATTGGAGAAAAGGGTCTTCAAGTCTGCCGTCTTTCCCTTGTCTGCTGCCTTTCCGACATCTTTCGTTCGTTTGGTACTCGGGCTCGTACTGTTGCGCTGGCTTTGATGCGCTCGACGGGGTAGACGGAGGGAGCCATTCTTGGCTGCTGGCTTGTTGGTGAGGACTTTGGGTTTTGTAGGACTTGGAGAAGCTGTAGGGGCGCGGCTTTTCGTAGAGGAACTTGGTGAGGAAAGAAGGAATTTGTTCAAGGTATTAACACGGGGCTGTTCGTCTTCGTCGTCTGAAGCCTCGACGATGTTCCGCCGCCGGCGCTTCGCGGGCGGAGCCATCAGCGCAGATGATGCATTTATAGAGGTAACATAACGGTATAAACAATACGCGATTGAGCTGAAGGAGTCGAATAGTCTGATTTTGCAGGCCCTGGTACAAGTGATGATGACGATGCGATGTTGCTGTTAAGCTGATAGCTGAGCTCTGGAGCCTGCCTTATCGTGAATTGAATTACCAGCCCCACAATGCAGCAGAGACGCAGCGACCCACTTTAATAGACACCCCCTGGAACTGAAGGTTATCGTGATTCACGAACAAAATACCTTAGTAACTAAATAGACATGATGTTATTATTATTATTGTTATTATTATTTTCGGGTTCTTCATAGGCCTCTGTGACCCGTCACTTATTCTCTCCACAGTCAATTGATAAAAGTCTGATCGAATCCCAGCGGTGGTTGTACAGTATAGCCATTCCTATTGACCTGGTATAAAAGCTACTTTCACTTCGTTTCTCATACAATCACATACCCATTGGCCCATATCCTCTCAAAACGCCGCATCAAAATGTCCAACCTTGAAAGTTGTCCACAAACGTAAGGGCTGCTAGGAGGTAGCGGTTGTGAACATCACCCCACGTCCTAGAGGCTTCCTTCAAAGCACGAATTGCTGCCACAGGTTAGATGACGTCTTTCACTCAGGATAATAAAACTTACCCTTGACATAGTGGGCATCAGTGGCCCAGTCAGAGTTCAAAGCCTTGTCCTCAACATACTTCCAACCTCGCTGTTTAGCATCGCTGTCAACGTTGTCCGGATCGGGAAGAGGCCGGCCCTTCACAATAAAGATGCCTAAGACAAGTAACCACCATTCCCGGACAAGGGTAATGTGGTATTTCTCGGGGATGAACGGAAGCAAAATTCGAACGGCATGACTTGTTGTTAGCAGATGCACAAGCATAAAATTGAATGCGTGAGTGCCTGGCTTAACTGTCGCAACGAGCAGAGCGGCCGCAGCTTCTTGGGACAACTCAAATTGCTTCAGGGCATCGTTAATCTCCCATGCGTTCCAGTATTCCAGAATGATATCCTCATGCTTGTTAAAGAGTTCTTCCATGCCGCTCAGATTGGGGCTAATGGAGTCGAATCGACTATCTTTGGCCAATTTGGTGAGAAGATCTAGTGGTGATGCCGAAGTGAAAGGCGCTTGCTTGGTATATGATGGATTGTCGAGATACTTGTGCAAAAAGTTGTACTGGACACAAGCCATCCCTAAGGCTTCCATGGCAATTTCTTTACAATCCATCTCGAAAGCATAGCCCAAGTGAATAAGCGGGTGTCCAACTATTTGAGTTAGCAATTGAACATTCGTTTCTCATATGAAAGGTGTAGTAGACGTACGGCCACCGATCAGACCATGGAACAAGGGTTCATCACCAGTGAACAAATAGTGTTGCACCTCCTGGCGCCAGTCATATTTGAAACGCATAACAAATTTGTCTTCGAAAAAGTCCACATAAGCACGCTGGTATCTCTTGTCGCCTCTGTGCTGTTCCCAGTCATCCTCACCAAGCTCAGCGGGTGAAGGTACCCATGGGTCCAATTCTCGAATTTCTTTGTCGTAGATGTCGTTCAGTTGAGAAACACTTGCTCCTAATAGATATGCCGAACTAAGGATGTGAGAGTTGTGGTTGTCGTATTGAAGATTGTGATAGACAATGGAGTAGTTGGCATGATTTGCCTTGATCAGATGCTTCAGACATCTCGCCCGTTTGTCCGGGTCTGTCTCAATGTGATGAATCTCAACTGAGGGCACGTTGATAGCCTGGCGATTAGAATAAAGCCCCAATAGTCGATTGACTACGGGCACTTGTGAGAGGATGCCAGACATGATATCGAGATGTTTTGAAGGTGATGAGATTGACAGTGTTAATGAGCAGAGAATGACAATGACGTTCAACCAAAAGCCCCAGCAGCGATCAAATTGAGCTTCCGTTGGGGCTTCCAGCGGACACTAACAAATGAAATAGCGGGGCTACTTTTCCTTTGGGGGTCGCGATGTAGTCACACCTTCCCCAATGACATGACGCGTGCACGGACCATCCATTTAATTATCAATCAGACTGAGTCGCGCCTTCTTCTCTTTAAATTCCATCACTTCACTTCACTCTTCAGCGAGTGATACTTCGAGTATGGCCTCTCAACACCCTGCAGCGATATATGCAGAACTGCTCTCTAATATTAGGCAAATATCTGTCGTGGCGTCTCTATCAGCGCCAGCAAATCCCACAACAAAAGCAGATATCTCAAATGGGGGCCGTCAACTTAACGTGGCACATCAAGGCCATACTGAGAGCATCACCCTGCCAGCACAAACGTCTGTGGCAGGAGTCTTACCTGTGGCTCAGACTGGTCGCCCAAGTCTATCATGGAGGCTTCCAGTCTCACCCGCAGAGGCAAAACCTGCACAATTCTCTTTGGAGAACCAGGCGTTACCGTGGACATCTGTTGACATAAAGACGGGCTCACCGGTAGGCTGCCGGAACTGTGGAAGCGAGTTTGTTTCTCAGGGTGCCATAAATGAATGGAAAGACCTACCAAGTGAGAATTGGGCCGAAATGATGGAGTTTTGGCACTGCCATAAACCTCATGACCATGAACACCAAGATTCTGAGTCTCTGGCCACTAAAGGTTATGGCGCCAACCATGCTATATCCGCTCAGCAGGGTGTCGGCTTTGTTGACCTGACCTCGTTCCTCTTCACGGAAACTGACTGCCGAGGCTTAAAAGTAAGTATTTTATCCAACCGCCACTGATTTTATTCTCGACTGTGCTCGACCATACCTCGAACCATTACCTCTGGGGAGAAAGAAGATGTCCATGTCGGTATTCCCAAACCTTTCAATGATTTGGCCATCGATACAACTCCCCAATATTGATGCTTTGGTCGTCCCCACCCCAATGGGCGGCTAGCCTTCTGGAAACCTTCTGTATGGAATGAGTTCCTAGGGTGATGCTGAAGACGCTGCCTCCTCCTTTCATCTAACCTCTCACAGGCATGGGAGCTTGGGGATTATTGAGAGGCATATTTCCAAGAATTTACGTGATGCCTTTTGTTCATTGGTCGTCTACTTACATGCTGCAGTATTCTTCCTCGACAATGGACGCTGGGTTCGGTTTGTCGTCTTTGGCGCTTGAGGATGACGAGAGTAACAAGTTTTTACACGTATTCTGTCGGAAATGTGCAACAGAAGTAGGTCTGTACAACGTCGCGGCATCATCTGTTACCCTGTTTAAATGGCAAATTACTTGTCAAACCAAAACTCCAGATCCCAACCCAAGCAGCCCAGAGTGTCTTGCAGCGACTCTCATGGCTACGATTTCGAGGTCGGGGTCATCCAAGTCTATCATCACGCCACACGTGCTTGGATCTGTAAAGCCTGGCTCAGCTGCTGCACGCCAGAACCTCCATCTTTGGGTGTTGAATCCAAATGTGGTATACACAGCATCTTCGACCACTGGTTGTAAGACAGCCATGAAGATACTCTACAAGCATATCGACTCGGAAGAGGGCGATAAGCTGATTACATCCATGATCTCGGACGTTCAAGAGATTACTCTACCAGAGGCAGCTATCAAAGCCGCAGAAGAATGCTTATTGGCGAGCAGTCAATTGCTGCCAGCTCAAGAACGGGCTTTTAAGGAGTGGAATGTCGGGTTGCTTGGAAGATGGGAACCTTCTTCCTGAGCAGTAAATCATAAATGGAATAGAAATCAATCATTGGTATCTTGTATACTTTCTCGTTATATCTGCCAAATGCTCAATTGCGCGATCATTATTCGCATGACATCCCACCGAACATGTATAAATAGACGCCCTTAGTGGCCGAGCTGCTTGGGTCTAAGCCCTGCTTCTCGATCCAAAATCATTCTGCGTAGTAGCTGATCAGGCGGTGCTGACATCGACATGGATTCTCTTTCTAAATACAATGTCAGTTTAAAGTTTAGGGCTGAGTAAGAAAACACTTACGAAAATAGAAGCTCTCCGTACGTAGACTCATGAAAGCTTCTATGAGAGACCGATCATCGTCAAGCAGCTTCCGTGTAGATGCGAGCCTGAAATCGGCGTATAAAGGACTGGTCACTCGGAAGATGGCCGCGTAAATGGATACTAGATAGTGATAGAAGTGCGTGCCGACTTCCAGCTTGCATTCTGGAAAACCACTGTAGTCCTCTGGTACATGACATGGGAATTGTCGAAAAGCCATGTATGTGTGGACTAGCTTTCGATACATAAGAATCAAGCACCAGAGGCTGGCCCAGAGGGCTACCGAATTGTCGGAACCAATTCCTGTAGTCCCAAAAACTAGCTTTTCCAACTCCAGGAGAACTTCTTTTTCGATGGGCTGGGAGGCTGCTTTCGAGATTTGTCCGAACTGTGTATGTAGAGCGCACGAGGGTGGTGTCATGTTGCCCCCTTCTTCAACGCATAGAATAAGCCCCAGGCGGATCTTAGTCAGGCAGTTGAGTTTGTGTACTTTGCGAACAAAGTCATGCTAAGCGGTGTTAGGTGGCGGTGCAAGCGATCACGACAGGATACTGCTTACCATTGGTAGGGGTGACTTTGATTGACTATATCTCAGGATGAAAGAATCCACAGTTTGTTGGAATCCTATGCAACGGGTTTCTTGGTGGGCGACTATTCTTTCAACCCAACCAACTAGATGACTGGGCGGAAGGAGTTGTGGCAGGGCATATCGGGCACTTTCCTGGCGGTAAGATTCGACTTGACCGCCGACTTGGTCGGTCACGACCCAGCAGCAGAACCATGGTGGCGTTGTGTTTCCATAGTAGTCCTGGACTTCGACTTCGAGAGCTGGATTGCCAGGATAATCCATTGATAACGACACTTTGCGATGAGGCCCTAAATGGGTTGTGCCAGCGATGAGCTCCTGATCGAGGAGACGTGCAGTGTAATCGATGTAGTGAAGATCTAGAGCCGTTAGACCACCTCTGATACCCGATGTAAGCCAGCGTCTGGAAACTGACCTCCAGAACTGAATCTCATCTTGGTAAGTTTCTCGCGAATGCACAAATCTCGTCCGAGGATACCAGCAGCTCTCTCACATGCCTGGCATGGCGCTCCTACACCACACTAAGAGGTCAACCTCTGCTTGATTCATTCGAGGCATACAATGTAAGTCAAATGAGATCGACATACAGATATCCTTCGGAATTTGCATCGAAAGCAAGCGCCGCTTTTTCGTACTTGGGCAACTTCCTGCCGCCTCTTTTCGTCAAAGTCCTTCCTCTTCTTCTTGATGCCGTTCGGTTTAGTAGGGTTAGAGGGAAAACATATGACGGAGTATTCGGGTATCGATGAGACACTGGAACGAATTCCCCTGCGTCTTGGCTGCGTATGTGATTGATTTAGTTCATTGCCACATTGTGCATCATCTTGTCTCTTTTGCTTGTGGTGTATCTCGTCGCTAGCGGCGGCAGGGATAACGATCTTGTCTAAACATGTCTGAGCCTGGGTTGGTTCATTTGGTGGTGTTGAAGCACCGTCACAAAGACGTTGAACATGGAGGAACTCGTCCAGGTCAACGTCATTAGGAGAGTTCGACACGGACTGAAAGATTTGCAGAGGTGCTAAATCCATTTTTAAAGAAGTTGAGAACTGAAACAGAGATGAGGTTCGTTTAAGGTATACCTCCTTCCTTCCTCGAACATTCGTGATATCCTCCATGTCCTCGCAGAAAGTGGGTCTCGGTGAGTTGAAATTTACCGTAATAGGAAAGTTTACGTCACGTGATGTTATATGTACATACAAACAAAGAAGGACCCAATCGCAAGGGTGAGTTTACCTTTGGATGAGTGAGCTTCTCGAGTCAGGTATTCCAGTACAGTCAGAGAATACCTCAGCTTTGGCTCAAAGAAGCTTGTATCACGAATGGCTGGAGAAAAGCACAACTATCAAGGGCGTGCACAGTCAGGCAGGGTCTAGGGTCTAGTTTAGTATATATAAGCACTTGTTGCTTGTGTTGTTTAAATTAAGCCGACATAGTCAATTTGATATGCGGACGCGTCGTGGCTTTGACTTGGCTGTATGTTGAGAGCCATATTAATTGCGCGGCCGACAGAGTCAAACTCGCTTTAACAATGAGGCCCACCGATTTTACTGTAACATTTCAGGCGAAGACTGATACACCGTTAATATAAAGGCATCTACCACCCGAGATATTGCTTGTGTTGTGGGTTTTTACGCGATCGCAACAACTGATAATCTTCTTTCTCCATGACAGTCGCTGGTCGGGATCCGCAGGCAGGGCCGTTTTGGGACTTGATGAGGGGGGAACAGACCGGGCTGGCTCGAGACCAGGGTGGGACGATTTTCCGGAATGTTCTATAAAAAGGTACAGTACAGTATGCAAACGCAAAAGCAGACGCAGAGACGAGATGCAGCTGCCGATGCGTCTGAATGTGGATTTTTGGTAGCCTTTTTAGTTGAGCATGCATTAACTCAAGAACTGGAGCCGAAAATACGGAGAAGAGAGGTTCAGGAGCCATTGAAATCTTGACAACTCCTCACGCTACCTTTTTTCCTTGCTGTTGTCCCTTCTGTCAATCCCTATTTTTCTGATTTGCAGGGCCAATTTCGGCTACCGCCAAGTCTCCCTCCAAGCGAACGATGAGCTAGGCCAGGGGACTAAACTATGACGCAAACCTACGATACCTTGGTGGTCTCTGTCTCTCTTAGCGTCGGGCGGTTTGGTTGTTCTTCTTCTGCCGTCTTTCAAAAAACAACCTGTCAGTTTGTGGATTGCATTGCATGGAGAGTAACCATAACGAATGCACCTCCGTTTCTGACAGATAATTCTCTGCTACCAATTATTATCGCGGCGTTAATATTTGAGCTCGGTTCCCGGTGTGGCATGCACCTTGACTCGATGACAGGTAACTTGTACTGCCTGGTCTACAGAGTACTCTGTAGCTTGTTGGCCGAATCCTTGAACTTGGTTCCTTTCTGGAGTAAAGAATGGCGACGATCATGGGCGTTGTTGGGCGCCGTACTGCTGTGCCATGCATGCAGGGCCGTAAGCCCCCTGTTTTACGGACACTTTTTTTCTCCTGTGTTCCGTTATGTGATATGTATGGCGATTCGTGTAACAGCTAATAATAAGCTAGCATGCCACAGAAAAGTCGGCCGAGTAAAGCCGGAGTAAAAAGGATAGACCACTAGGTAACGGATACTATGGAGTATGAGCCCGGTACGAACTTTCCAAGACTCACTAACGTTGGGAAATGGATTTTCGCCAACACAAGTTTGCGATTTTACCATCATGTGCAGTTGAGTCGGTCTGCAATACGAGAAGACAAGTACTTTTCCCCTAGGGTATGGGAGGAATTCCTGATGCAACCGACAAGACAGTAACGGCCCAGACGATCCATTTGTGACGCGAGATGGAAACGACCAACCAGGGCATCATGTTTCGTGAGTTGGTTTTGCAGATCGATCTTACGAGGCGACCCTCCGCCACGAGACGACGCGAAACGGGCGAGAGGGTGGGATAAAATAGCCCGACAATGAGAAACAGTGAAGAGGGAAAAAAAAGGGGGCACTGCATAATTACAGTCAGAGGGAGGGTTGAAGTAGGGGCGGATAATATTTGCCGCGTAAGTTGGGTTCTTGGGAGTTTGGTTTCTGACTGTGGTTGTCATGGTTTCTCATCTCCAATGAACATGATGACGGGTGAAGCCTATGATGTGTTTGATGTGCCGTAGCCGAAAGAGGGAGAGGGACTTGCGATGACTGGACCGATAATTGCAACTGGTTTAGGCGTTATTTTTTGACGGTAGCACGGGATGTGGCAGAGACTCCGAGGTTCCATTGCAGTTTACCCCATATGTTGATCACAGTTTGAGGAGACCAAAGAGAACCACAACGACAGACATTCAAACTTGGATTGGATAGAATTTGAGGTGATAATGGTTAAGCGCTGCGTGTGCACATATACGTACAACTTACAGATGCTAGCTTCTCATCTCTAATTTTGAGGCATAATTTGCTACACTACATGTACTACCCTCACTGCACAGTATCAGTAATTTTCAGCCCCCGTAGAAGCCTAGAAGATGAGCAAGCTGAAACTTTGAAACGGCCAAGCACTGTGAAAAACCAGGGAGCGTGGGGTCGACGGTTGGCTCTCGCTGATCTTGTCCTCGAATCCCTGACTTGCTCAATTGTGATCCTTCAGTGCTGTTACCATGTAATAATACTTGGCTTGATTCAGTCCAGTCCAGTTGAGGATGGCTGATGAACCATCAAACCTCCAAGGCACCAGACCAGATAAATGTCACTATGATGTATCTTTAAGTACTCTATTTAGGGTCCAGGACAGTTTACCATCATGATGAACCTAGTATGGAGCTCTTCAATGCTCCAATCCCGCACTGCCTACCGAAATCGGATCTTGGGGGGGGGGGTTCGCCATAGCGGAAGCTAATTGCACAAGGCAAGATGAGATATTGCCCAGGTGTTAGGTTATGTTGCATACTGTTTTTCTTCTCGGTCTTTTTGTCAATGCTAACACCGAGTTTCCTTGTCTTCACTCAGCCGCCCCCTTGTGAAGAACAGCAAAGCAAATCAACTGAGCTGGACCGACACTCGATGCTGAATAGAGAAATTCCTGAGGACAGTTGGCCAAAGCTACCCTTGAACGAGAGCATTGGTCAATGGAGATTTTCAATGCTAGTATTTCTTGCAGAATGCTTACCGTACTGTTGGTGGTACAGTACATTTTACAACAGGCCATACCTGGTACGTGCTGCGACTGCTAGTTAAATTTCAGGTATGTTTTATGCTTGTTGTGAGAAGTGAGGGAGGCACATAAGGTTGTATGTAAAATTCGAGATTCAAGATGTACATATTGGCAGATTAAACATTGAATACGAGGAACCCCTAGCAACATGGATGTCTTAAAATGCCAGGGTCCAATGTGGCTGTACATGCCGTAGTATTGATTCAACCAGCCCAGCTCAATAATAGTGGTATTACCAAGTAAGACAGGACAGGACATGCGGCTAACTTAGCTAGGCAGTTTCTGAAGTTCGTTCTAGAAACCCTCCTTGCGAATGTTTACTTGCTGACAACTATTTACTTCATACAGCCGGAACATAGCTCTCAAACAGACTAGGATTTACAGGCTGATTATCCGCTTTATTGAGATGAGGTCTCCCTTTTATTATTTCTCCTCTCGGTTTCAATCTTGGCTTTTCAGAAGCTACTCCACTCTGTCATCAGTCTCAACTCATTACGCAGACGAATAATAGATGAATGGGTGGGAGAGCCGCCTAGGCCGACCCGCTAACTGCGAGATGATGGGCGGACAGTAAAGGATTGGAAGCCTCGTTTCCGATGCCACGGATCCGTAATGAATATAGCGCGTATGCATACAGGCAGGCAGACATGGCTAGTAAGCTATATTAATAATTGTTACATACGACGCGACACAGAGTGACGAGGCGTTGGCTGATGAGGATGAGGACGAGCATGGCATGGCATTGCTGGGGCTGGAGAGAGATAGAGACATGGTAAGAGGGTAAACAATAACAACCCGTGCGAGGTGTATACATGTGTCAAACCTGGATAAAGAGCACTGTTTTAGACACGGTATATTTGTTTACGAATGTCTCAACCGTACTTCACATTCAATTTCAGGAGAAGGAAAAGAAAAGTGGTATGAAAAAGTGGCTGGATTTAGGTCCCGTTCAAGAGCACTCAGCAGCCAACGTCATTGCGTATCCACCCGCCCTCAATGGATGTCCCGAGGCCCCGAAACCTGACCCCGTTGATGCAGAGACGAGACCAGCTCACTAAAAGTAGCAGCACGCCTACCGCATACCGCCCAGGTACCAGGGGAGTACTGCCCGGAACAGCCACCCAGAGTCGAGATTTCTCAGGGCTTTTATGGGGCTCTTATGGGGGCGCTTTTAGATGCGAAGTCTCCATCTTTTTGGTTCTACTGGGGGGACTTGTCCCGGTGCAGGGAAGAGCCGTCCTAGATCTGACACGCAGCCACAGACGAGTCTACGGATCCCAATATATTAGTTAGGACTAAAACGCTAGGCTAGACCAAACTGTCTGTCACTGTTCAGTTTACTGTGCTCTTTACGTTACCTTTTTTAGTGGAAAAGGGCTTTGCCTGACTTTTTTTTTTCCTTCAGTGGTTATTGCCGATTGTTCCTGTTCCAGTGTTTGAGCTCAGGTCCCTCTTTGCTTTCCTTGTCTTGCTCTGACATAAAGAATTGCCGACCCGCTGGTCCCCTTTTACTACACTTCCTGCTCCTCTTCTTCCACCAAAAGGAAGAAAAGCTTTGAAGCTTGCTTGTTTGTTGCTTGCATTAAGCCCGTTATTTACGGATACCTCACCTTGTCCTGGCTCTGTCTGCTCTGCTCTGCTGCTTTGCCTCGCTTTCTTTCAGCAGCTACTGGCTTACTCCTTGACCCCTCCGCTTTGCCTTGTCTTGCCTTGCTTGCCTTGCCACACGCACCCTCTTTTTTGCTGCCATTCTTAGCTCACTCGCTGCATGTAACGCTGGCGTTTTTGGAGACGATCCGCTCAGGTTAAGGACAGGCACAATCAGGACTGTTGCCCATCATGACGTCGAGCAAGTCCTTTAGGGCTTCTTTAATGCCCTCCATGTTGCGATCCAACACAGACCCCGATTCCTCTACACCTTCTTTTCGCAAGAGTGTGAGAAAGTCAAACACTGCAGACCTTTCCCAGCTCCAGGGCTCAAAAATTGGTTCGTCAAAGTCCACCACAAACCTACCTCACATCGGACCCAGTGAGCAAGAAAACGCTATACAACAGAACGAACGCCCTCGTTCCGCCGAGCAAAAGACTCTTCGTAAACGCAACGATTCGGCTCCCAAGGTTTCCTTGCCAAAATCACAATCTACCACAAGCTTGGCCCCTTCAAAAAGTACGAATCGAATGTCGAGATTCTGGGGCAACCGCCTTTCGTCTTTCTTACCGTCGCTCGTCGTACCGTCAGAATCTGCAGAGTCCCCAACTCCAAAGGCTGCACCAACACCACCAGTACCTGCGGTCCCCTCCGCTCCCGCTGCCGCAGCGGCCGTTTCGCCTGCACCCACCAAATCCTCTTCTCCCACAGACACTTCGACCACTACTAATACCGCTGGCACCCCTCCCACGACTGTCGATGACAGCGCTTCGTCAACTACTCACAGCATCACTGATCCCACTGTCCGGATGCAGAACGAATACCACGACGCTATGTCATACCAGAACAACGGCAATAATCAATTTGGATCCCCACCTAGCCCAGACTCAATTCCTCTCCGCGGCAGCGACAGCATGGACGGTCAATTAAGACCCAACCCTCAAATCATGGCCCCAATTCCTCCATCCCCAGAGGTTCAGCGAGCGGCAATGAGTCCCCAAGAGCCCAACATGCCTCCTCCCCCGATTCCCACCTCTTCTTCGGAAAACTTGAGCAACGGAAGCGGAAAGCTGCGCAAAGAAAACCCTGCCTCTCGAACGAGAAGTGGCTCTCTCCAGCATGCGCCGAGCAAGTCTTACGGCGGCGGCGAGATCCAGGCTCTCAAGACCCGAACAACTTCTCCAGCTCCTGACCGCGGACGCCGGTCGTCGTCAGTCCAGTCTCCAAGCAACCGCAACAGTAACACCAAGAGCCGCATAGTTTCTACACCTCTTGCCATTAGACCCGGATCATCCAAGGGTGAAGCCAGCCAGAGCCCATCGCGGGGTCGTCTCCGAAGAAGTTGGTTGCCTGGCGGAAGATCCCGCTCCAACTCGATGGATGTTTCCAATGCAAACACCTCGACTGCCTGGGTTTTGTCCGACGATACACAAGCTGAGTACAATGCCTCGTTCCTCAAGAATGGAGAGAAGGTAAGTGACGTTACTCCCCTGTTAAAGCTTATTTTCAAAGTTAATCTTTGCGCTCAATCAGGTCCCGGAACTTTGGAACGAAAGCGGAGCTGTGCTTGTTTACCTGTACCCTAAGGGAAGCGGCCACGGGCCCTCTTTCAAGGTTCAAGAGTTTACCATCAGCTCATCTTGGCTTTTCAACGAACTCATCCAACGCGAGCGAGAGTCCCCCACGAGAAACCGCAACACGAGTTTCAGCGGCCGTCTTAGTTTGACTGCCGAAGATGCGTCCCGATATATCTCACCACCGAACTCCCCTCCCGTTCCCGAGGATGGATCAGACGACTGCTTACACCTATATCTGCCTACAGGGGCTCCTGGCCAAGAGATGAATCCCGAACTAGATCGTCTGATTGCCATCCGCAACTTGTTTGCTTTCTTGACTGGACAGCCCCTGGTTGGAACCAAGGCTAAGCCTTCCAACTTCCACGCGTTCCTTGACATTTCTGCCCTCCTTGAAGAGTATGGTTTCACCAGTTACGATGGAACCACTTTCGGAGACGCAGTCGACCTCAGTTTCGGGTTCTACATGGATCAGCACGCCCTTGCAGACTGCCGACACAGCCGAGAGAAGACGTTGGAGGCAGTGATTCTTGGTGAGCGCATGCGATCGGCAGATCTTTACAACGAAGCCTTTGCCCATGCCGCTGGCAAGTATGCGGCCATTATGGACCTCAAACTCCCTCTTTACGAGCAAATCTCACCCAAGACACGCGTAAGCTTGGAACGCGCCCATCTTGATTTGCTCAACCGACAGCACAGCGCCAACATGCATCTCGAACAATTTGACTTCCCTGCACTTTTCTCAGGCATTGCCAACTCAACTTCCATGAGCGAGCTTAGAAGTGTCCGCTTCAAGATTTGGAGGCAGTCATTCACCAAGATGCGGCACTTTGCCTTGAGCTACTACAAGACCGCGTTTGGCAATTGGCCACCCAAGGCTAGCAGCAAGAAGAACCCTTTCTCCGAGAGCGGACTTAACCGACTTGTTCTCAAGGTTTTGTATTCTGACATGTGTGCTCTTTATGACCTCCTTGTTGATCGTAACAACCGAACCTCGAGAATCATGGATGAGGTCCCTGAACTCTCTAATGATCCCGACAAGATGATTATGTCTGCCCTCCGAAACATCATGTCTGAGTTTGATCGCTCAAAGCCACCCGTTCTCCCTCCTATTCCCTACGATTGCCCTCAATTGCCCACTGCGACATCTATCTTGGAAACTTATGATACGCTGTCGCCCAAGAAGCAGGCAAAGTTCGATAAGGGCATCAAAGAGCACGAACTCATGCTTATGCTCAACAAGGCCTACAACTATGATACCAGTTCTGCCAAGGTTCCCTTCCTGGACAAGTTCAAGGAGTTCGAGCTTCGCGAGGCTAGAGGCAAGACACCTCAGGACTTTGCTGACCAGCGTATTGGTTACTGGCTGTTCCTTTATGTTGTCATCCAATCGCTCCCTGTGCTGGTTGTGGACGCTCCAGGCATGCAGTTCACAGAGGGCGTTGAGTACTTCCTTTGCGAGCCCCCCATGGGCAATCCTCCCTGGGTCCCCGATCAACAAGTCAAGAAGATGTGGTACGAGGTTGCTGGCGGAGGTGGCTTGGTCGAGCTTTCTCAGGACGCTGTTCTATTTAGTGTTGAAGCCACCTACCACCGAAGTCACTGCTGGCTCGCTGCTACCCAATGGGAGAGTGGTGGCTCAACTTCGCAGGCGCCAGACCAACCCCAAATGTCTCCTCTGCAGCCTCCCCGATCCATGTTCTTGGATAACGAAGATTTCGTTCCCACACCGCCACCCTCCTTTGGCAACGGTTATAGCACTCCTCCTTCTCCCATGGGCAGCCCTTCAGGCGCGCTACGACCTCGAACACATTCTCCTGGTGGAAACAGAGCGAACCAAGCTTGGCGATCAAGTATCGCACTGGGATTGGAACCTGTACCTCTCCAGCCCCCTAGCCCCTTCGGAGAGCGTAGCAGCTCTCTCGGAGGACGCCCTCCTAGTCTCATGATGGGATCCCGAAACTCATCTATGGCCAACCTGGCTGCCCTCGGCGGCCACTACCCTCCTCAAACAGAGTCACCACCTCCTGAGCCCACTGGCGCGACATTTGACGATATTCTGAAGCAGGAGCAGAAGAAGGAAAAGAAGAAGAGCCGATTCTTCTAAACCAATTATGTCACTTGCCAGGTTTTTCCTTTTTGAAGTTATCCGCACTGTTGTACCAGCCTTGTTGCATCGGACGTCGGATTGTTTTCTCGTGCTGTTTGTCAGAACATAACGATTTTGATCGGGGAGTGTTCCCCGAGTCGGAGTTTCACATGAGCTACTACATTCATGTTGGATTGTATCGCAGGCCATCTACTCGATTTTCCTTTCTTAATTTTTTCTTCTTTTCTTACTCCCGATCTCGTCATATACGCAGCATCACATAATTCTTTTTTCCTTTTTGGAAAGGAGATCCTGGCGGACTATTCTTTTTATAACGACTTTTAGCATGACAAAGAAAAAACAAAATCTACACAGATATGTAGTCGGGACGGAACAGGGTCATCATCATAGCTCTTTTGTTTTAGACATGGTTGATAGAGGCGATGTCAATAATTGGCCGGACGAAAAAAAAAATGTTTAATTGGTTTGACTTATTTTTGCATACAAGGCGTATAGCAAGTTGTGTTCACATAATACAAGGGGTGTGGAACGGCATAATGGCGTTTGTTCGATAATGAATTGATATAACTCTTGATTGAGTTGTTTGCCTCGATTTGAATGTGTCGTGCGTTGTGTGTATATCATGTGCATAATCCTTGTTTATAATGAGTGTCTGTTAAGTGATGACTTATTGGTTGTGCCCTTATTGTCTGCATACAAGGTTCACTTATCCATCTTGGCATATTATGTTCTCCTTGTAGGCGACCTTGATACTTGTCACCAAAATGCACTGACTGCATAGATCATATATGTAAAGATTAAAATATAGTGTTGGCTGGACGTACTCTGCATCCAATTATAGTTATTATACATTTAGTTGTAGTATATGCTATATATGCCATGAGCTCAATCTTGTATACGCCTACTTTCGAGTAGCAGGTCTTTAAATGCAAAACGCCTTTTGATGTTCCTGTTCCCGTTCCTGGGAACTTTCTATACATTGGAACCTTTGTGGTCCATTTCCGTACACATTCCATCCATAAATCGTAGCCATGTTTTCCATGGCTTCCCATTCCATGTTTATCATACTGTTGAGAGTGCTTCGCATCAGAGTGTCACCTTTTGCCAGCGGCCTCGCTCAGTGTGCCACCACCACTCCTTCTCCTTCTTATCCGCCACGATTCCCTCGCGGGAATTCCATCTTCCAGTACATCCCGCCTTACCACCTTCCAGGCTCTCACCCGCATCACTTTCGAGGTCTCTTATGTCGATCAGACCACCCTTGTCATCCGTCGTTCCGCGGTCGGGATGGAGATAGTACTTGATGGGACTTCCAACCGTGCCGATGAAGCCCGCCATGGTGAAGGTGTCGTTGAAAGTACCATCTTCTTCGATAACGTTGACGGTGAACTTTGGCTGGGATCGGGCTGCTTCGAGACGTGCTTGGGCGGCCAGGCGTGACGTGTGAAGATTTGAGTAGGGAGCACGGCGCATATCGCCAAAGGGAGATATAGGCTCTCGCTCTCGTGGAGAGGCGATGGGCGATGCGTTGGAGGATCGAAATAGGCGTGTGGGCGACATAGGACTTGTTATTGAGCTAGGTGGAGGCGTGCAAACCTCGGGTCGCTCAGTAGGTCGGAAACGATCGGAAGGGAGATCGATTCTGTCAACGGGGTAACAGAGTTCCTGGAAAATGCCATCCGGATCGTTAGGGGTACACAGAATCCTCAGAGCCGGAAAGCCTCCTGCGCCGATACTTCGAGCAAGGATATCGTCTGCAGCGTTGACGGAAGTTGAGTGGCTAGTGATGTCCCAGTGAAGCTTTCGAATAGTGTTGCTGGTTAGATACGGCATCAGCCACAGCGTGAAACTGTCGTTCTCTGGCATGGTGGGCGGGAAGGTCTGAATTAAGGAGAAGTTGACGAGGTTTCGCAGGTTGGAGAGGATGCGGGCAAGAGCAGCCAGGGAGTTCATTGGCGTGTGGCGGAGGGTGAGCTTGCGCAAAGGGGAGCTATTGGACTGCGTTGCAAATGCTGACAGGCCGGCGGTCGTAATGCCGCTGATGTGAGAGAGTGTGAGGGTCTCTAGGGGAGGGAGGGTGAGAAGACTGCAGTCGTCGAAGCTATTAGGCGGGAGGTTACACAGATGAAGGTGCTTGATGTTAGGCAGACGCTCAAGAGTTTTTGTGAGAAGTGTTTCGGGTGTGAGAGTTGCTCCAGGTAAACAGTGAACGGTGAGACTCTCAAGTTTTGACCAGTTGGCGTTGACTGACAAGAAGGTCGCTTCCTGGAAAGGCTTGAGCTCTCCCGGCATGACCAAACCGAGCTGCTGGGTATTGCCCTGGATACGCTGCTGTGTTTGATAAGGCGACGCCTGAATGAGCCAGTTCATCTCCTTTAGGTTCAACCTCGTGGACAGGGCGTGGAAGATCTTGCTGAAGGAGTGGTCATACATAGGCGACAGACCACGGAGACTCTCAAGGTTGGGACATGCCATGACCAGCGTGGCGATAAGATCCTCATACTCGGCGATTGTAGAACCCTTGGGGACTATTTCGGGAGCAGGGACTTTAAGTGTGCGGACGAGACTAGCAAGACGAGGGTTAGAGCGGAGGATACGACGGAGCATAACGACTCGAACGCCCTGAGACATCTTGAACTTCTTTTTATGGACGGCTGAATCTGCGCCTACGAGTTGGATGTTTCGGTACCTTGATGATATATTAGCGTATTGTCGTATGTATGGAAAGCATTCAACTTACAGAGCTGTTTGAGCGGGCTGGTACCACTTGCGACAAGAAACAGCGACATTGGTCGCATCTCTCATCCAGCAAGTCGCACAACTCCCGCTCTTCTCCCCAACATGGAGATTTCTCAGCTGCTCCATGATATCCGACAGTACTTTAGTAGGTAATTTGGCGAACAACTCGTTTGGCTTCATGGGCGTTCTCGTAGAAGATGAAGACAGGTTCTTGATAGGCATTGGGCGCTGGTACATGTAGTCTGGTCGCCATCTAGAGGCCGAATCGGTGGATTCCATGCTCGGTCTGTTTCCCCAAGAAGATTTCATTTGTGACGAGTTCATCGTTTCCCGAGATTGAAGTGATGCTAATGTTGAGGCTGAGATATTGGAGAGTTGTCGTGGGCGGTTGATGTTGGGTTTCGGTTGAGAGATAGCATCGCGGCTCTTTTTGGGGTCTGCCAGGGGAGTTTCGAGAACGGTATACGTGGGACGAGGGAAATCGTCAGGTGAGAAGGGGACATGATTTGTTTTTGGGGATTCGATTATTGTGCTTGTATTTGCGAGAAATGCATTGATGGCGGTTTCTTGAGCTGTGGATAGATCCTTTGGCGAGCCAAACATTGTAGGATGCACCGGGCGCACCGAGACTGTAGTGTCCTTCATTGTGGTGTCGAGCTTGAGCTGGCTTTGGAAGTGTTTGTCATTTCCTTTTCTTATTACTGGAGGAGGGCCCGCAGAGAGTCTTTTTGATCGGAGTTTGTTGGCACCAGGACGACTAATAGAGCAGCAGTGGATGTTAGTTTTGAGTGCAACATCCAAAAAGAGTAAAATGTTTTGGAAACAAAAAAGAGAGTTTGGATGTAATAGGGAGAAAAGACGGGAACAAAAGAAGGTCAAGGCAGGTAGTGCTAGAATCACACCATTTTCTTCTCTTCGGGGAATAATAATAGACCAGGACTAGGCATATTCGGCCTTATAAAACCATCCGCTTTCTACTAGATCTGACATCGATATTGTACGGGCGAACGAATCTGACAGGACGATTCATGGCTGTACCTTGGCGTTGCCTGCTATAGTGTGAGGCTGGCCATGCTGGTTCCAGGGGACAGGGCGCCACTAAGCACCAAGGAAGGGAATTTGTGGGCATGTAATTTAAAGGGTACGGGTACTGAAAGCGCTAAAGATGGCATCGAATGCGGCCAACACCACCACCAAAAAGCGACGCGTGCCGTTGATGGCGTGAGACAACCAACCAAGGTTTGGTGAAGACAGGGCAAGACATTGGAGTTTCTCTTTCCGGGGGATAATGAATTGTCAAAGACGGAAATAGCAATAGGCATCAACCATAAAAAACAAGGGGGTAAGCATAAACAATGGCGTTGTTGTATGGTATAGGAATAGGTGGTGTTGAATATGGTTATGGGGGGATGAAAATGGAAATGAAAATGAAAACTGACAAAAATAGAGATAAAAACTTACACAAGGTCACTTGATCGACGAGTGTGCTTCTTCTTTGGCGTCTGAGCTTGAGCTTGTGTCTGAGTCTGCGTCTGTACCTGTATTTGCTCTGAAGGGTGCTCGTCAATCATAGTAACAGCCCAAACATGTCTCCTAAACTCGTCTGCCTTTCTATCGTCAATAGCCGACATTGAACTTCGCCCGCGATGGAAGAACCGGTGGAAGTCTTCTCCATGATGATTGTGCTGGACTTGGAACATGGCCATTCTCTTTTGTAATACAGTATCTTGTGTCGCGCCGCGTAGATTTACTACTGATCCGAATCGATCTTTGTGGAGATTGAATGGCAAGGCAAGATCGGCAATCAACGGTAAAATAAACTGAGTTGAATTGATGGCGTTTAGAATCGAATTGAACCGAAGTATTTCGTGATAATGTGTCACCAATAGAAGTCGGCCTGCCGTCGATAATGTTCCGAGTATTGATTACTTGTCCAATAGCAACGAGAAAATAAATATAGGAAAGGACAAGTATAGGACAAGGAAGAAGGGTTGGAGAGGACGTCGGGAGCTTAAAAGAGAAAAGACGATAGATCAGGGAGAGACTGTTCTAATTCGATCTCATAATAGCCTGTCCTAAGTTCAAGGGGAGTTGATTCGACTCGTAAGGAGGGGCGGGGGGGGGAGATGGAGTTTCTCAGACACGCATGAATTTCGTACATGTATTTTAATATAATAATTTGTCGTTAATATATGTTTAAACAAGAAAGAGAAGAGGATAAACTCAATGTTCGAGAATAAATACCACTCTTAAATTGAAGAAAACCCTCAAAAATCTGGGGCTGGATCAACGTCAATAAAAAAAAATCCAACTATTTCCCCGATCGATCTCATGATGATAATGATCACATACATGGGAGGGGAAAAAACAAATACCATGTTAGTACTCCGTCAGTCCGAAGGCAAACAGTAAGAAAAATCAAGATTCAAATGGAGAACCAATAAAGACCCATAGAGCATCCCTGCTCTTTACATCTTCTTCCCCCGGCTAGCAGCTATTCCTTGCTTGCTACTGGTTAGGCCGTTTTGGATTCCTGCTTGGGCCTTGTAAGTGAAGAAAGTTATGAAGGGCTTCTCCGGCTTAGTGATGATAGGTTCTTAGGCGAATAGACCCAAAGCTGGATTAACATGGGGTAACAATAGAACTGGAAAGTAAAAGGAAAGAGAGATATTCTGACGTCTGCATTTAGTTGATCAAACTTACTCTTTTGTTACTTCCAACTGATGGGACAACTCGAAAAGAATCTAGACTAGTACCTGGTTTCTTGCATCTTGCAGCAGTAGTACGTGCAGAGGAGGAGGCGGCGGTAGACAAGGGGCCAAGCAACCAAGTCTCTCCAGCCGCTCGACCATGATCAAAAATAGCATAGGCTCTCTAACATCCCTGTTGCTGTCCTACCATAAACCCTCTGTATCACCCAATTTTCTCTTATCGCGAATACCTATGAAGTTCAACTCCATCCAGCACTGCCCAACAATCACGGATCCCATGACTTGGACTTGAAGATGGGTTCATCCAGTCGCTTTTCAATATGACCCAAGATCCAGTCTAGTCTATCTGGGCTTAGGCACTCACTCTTCTTAAGCGACCGTTTGGTGGGAGAGTTCACTAACGCGTTAGCTGCAGTAGTAAATCGGTGGCTGGCTGCCTCTTTATCGAGTACACAACTTGTAAAATACTTGGTTTTCAAGTACATAACCAACTTACAGACTTGCCGAGTATATACCAACCGCCTCAAAAACATAGTCAACAATCTTGAACATTTGCTTTTGTAACACCGGCTGATCATACCATCATTCAGTTTTGACAGCCAAGCCTGTGCAACGTTGACATGGGTCCCCAGACTTTCAACTCTTCCGATCAGAGCAGGGAACATTTTAGTACCACTACTACGTATTTCTCCTTCTTCCCCCCTTGCCCAATGCCCAACCCGAGCAGGGGAACCATAGGTAAACACAACAAAAGGATACACGAAAAAAAAACGCATTCATTGCGCAATGACGGACTTGTCTTCGCTTACAGAGTTCGAGCATAGAATCCGGAGATTTGATTATCCACAGATAATATTCCTCAAATCCTGCTGTATCCGTAAGCAGAACGGAATGACGTTAAGCATAAAGTTATGCATTTACACACTCTTTCACAAGCTACTCGCCAAGTACTTGAATGCTTGTGATTCGTAGACAACGCGTCCTTCCTACGGTTCACCGTAGAGTAGTCTAGGATAGCATATGTAGGATAACTGGAACAGAAAGATGCGTGCGCTGTCAATTCCTCTGTGGGGTCCCATCATAGCAATGAAAAAAGTAACAAACGAAAAGAAGGCCGGTAGATCTGTTCGTCTCGTACCTATTGCTAGGCCGGGTTACCTCATGGATACTATGTCGAGTCGTGGTCTCATTCTGCCGACTATCTTCTTCTCGGTTGCATCTTCTAACTCTCATGGAAACACATTACTACCTTGAATACATACATACCTCCACTACTGATGCCATACCGTTTCTTGTTGCAAAACGAAACATAAGCCGAACACAAGGATGCCCTGACGTTGATGTTTCTCATTATCCAACATGACATGTTTCCAACACGCTCTTCTCACTTTCCAACCTCGGGTTCGCCTATTCGCTTACAGAAACTAACAACCCAGTGACCCATCTTCGGCTCCAAGTTTACTGCGAGTTCACATTTCCTCGGCTGTGTGTAAGCAAGTTACTAGCTTCTTAGCCTGTGGGTACATCCAGCTCAAGTATCCGTGTACTGTAGGTATTGTATCGTTATCTTAGCCTCATCATCGCTTCATCAATGATGCCAAACTCCAAAACGCCCCCCTTCTGCAATGCACCGTTAACCAACTTTCGACTTGGTTCTCAAACTCAACTGAACACTCGCCACACCTTGGCGCGGGGAGAGATAATCTGTGGCTTTCTACAAGTGGCGCAGTTCTGCACATCCATCCTCTCACTAGGCAGTGTGTAGGCAGGGTAGGTCGATCAACATCAATCAATCCTCTGAGCCGTCGGCAAATCGCACTCTTTTTGATGGACGCGTGGCAACATCGCTTGGGTTACTTGACGAAGCTCCGCCTTCATTATGATGCCCGCCAACTGTAACTTTGTCGGATTGCGGTGTCCGCTTGAGTCTGTTCGTCATCTCAAGAGTTCCGAGAACCATCCCTGCACTGTTTGTCTTCTTTGTGGGGGAGTCATCCAATACCAACCCTTCATCAGGGTGCATGGTGCGCCCGAATCCCCTTCTGAAGATGTACTGAGGCGTGCCGAGATGTGCCATCTGACCTTCTTTGCTGAGTTCGCCTTCAACCATCGGCATTGGGTTGATTCGCGCGTTCTTGATCCAGTCGTAGATCGGACCAACATCTAGAATCGATTGCACCCGGTGGTGTTCCGCCTGCGTCATGTGCTGCTTTCGTTCCAATATCACCTCTTCTATGCTATTCTTCAACACCAATGTCTCGACAAAAACCGCCTTTTTCTGACTAATGCGACGTGCACGACCAATTGCCTGCGCTTCCACCTGTGGATTGAGCACTGGATTGATAAAGTATATTCTCGATGCCTCTCTCATGTCCAGACCAAAAGCTGCCTGTGAGATGTCCATCAGTAGAACCCTAAATCGTCAGCACTTAGTTTGGTATAGTGACTGAATAGTTACCTGAATTTCGGATTGTGATTGAATGTATTGACATATTGGGATCTCCTTTGTACGCTCAAGCCTTTGGCGTAGATAAGATGTTGTATTTGGAGCTGTTTGACGTTAGAGCTAAACTTTGACTAGATTTTGTCAACTTACAACCTCGAGCATACCCGCTAGGTACCATGCAATATTGTCGTTTTCATAGAAGATAAGTATCTTCTCATCTTCCTGGTATCTTAAAATGTTGTCAACAAGATAGGAAAGCTTGATTGACGCAGTAGCCGTTATTCTCGCTTCTTCCAGAGGCCCAAGAGCACCATCAAGAATAGCTTCGGCTTCAGGCTTTATGTCCTTCATGCCACGAGCACGTATGCTTGGGTGCTGGTCATTTCCCAGCTTAGTGTTTCCAGCCAGTGTTTGTGGGTTCTTTCCTGGGTCGTTTGATGCAAGTATGCGCTCTCTCTCGGTGACTCCTTCTTGGGCTAGCTGACCGTTGAGCAGTGAGTTGAACTTGTCAGGCTTTGACACTGATTTGTAGACGAGTTTCTGAAGGGCCACCAGCATGTTTGATGAGCTACACATGCCATCTCCCGTCTCGCCATCCAATGACCAAGACGCGCTGGAACTGTTCGGCATGCCTTTGACGAAAACCGGCATCTCATGGAATTGATTACTCAGTGTCTTGAGCTTGTTGTTTATTACGACATGGCCAAACTGTATCGCTTGCTCGAGAAGTTGACGATCTTCAGTGCTAATGGGGACTTTATTTTCCCGAAGGAACTCTTTGGCAGTCTCGACAGCTTTTACAATATCCTCCTGCGAATAGAAAGAACCACCAAAAAAGCTTGCTTGCTTGAGGTTTTGAACAACCTGCATCAATGCTTTTCGCTGTTTGGCATGGAAGAAGTAGTCCATGTCGGTTCGCTGAGATTGCACAGCATTGAAGATAATCATCATTGAAAAGATGTTGAGGGACATTTTATCTTGGTAGGAACCCTCCAAAACGACCAATCTTTCATTCACAGGAGGCAAGAGATCGCCAACTTCTGTGAGGCGGTGTCTGATGATGAGGGAGTTCAAGGTAGATCTCAAGATGTCCCAGCGACCTCGGCCAGTTGATTTGTGCTTTGGGAGCAGCAGATACGTCGTCCAATCCGCAGTAGTATCCCCGGATTCCAGAGAGGTTTTTGCCCAGGGTCGAACTTTAAGATAGAGCGCTGCAATCGCACCGATTCTCGTCAAGTCTTTCTTTTCCATCTCGAGATCAGAGTTGCTTTCACCGACGTGGGTTTCTGTCGGGGCGACATCTTCGCGGTGTACTCCGTTTGATTCCTTTGCCTTCTTTTGAGCATCAACTCCGTACAAACCATGAGATGGGGTGCCAGTCACAATCCACCGCGAGGAGAAATGTAGGGATTCCAAAGCGATCAGCATATCGCTCTTGCCACTTATTTTGGAATTGCCAAGCCTGTGTCCCTCATCAACGATGCATCGTTTGAAATGAACCTGGGATAACGGGGAGGCACCAACTCCCCCTTCTTGTCTCTTCAGTGCTTCTAGTCGAGACTGGGAGAAGAGTATCATGTCGTACTTGAGCAGATCTCTGAGAGACGGCAAGTCTTTGTATCCATCCATTACTAGAACCTTCAAACCGTCAGTGTGTTTTTTAATCTCCTGTTTCCACTGCGCCAGTAGGTTGGAAGGTACTACGACGATACTGCCATTGCTGAGATAAACTCGCTTCTTGGATAATTCAACTGCCCCAGAAGTAAGTCTTGCGGTTCGCCGTGCCTTTGGTGGCGGAATAAAGTAATAGCCAGGGTTTTCTTCGAGCGCCTTGATACATCGTATGTATTCGTGGCCTGACTGTGCTTTGCAAAGGTTGAACCAGGGTTTCCATGGAACCGAGTGTCTTGTAGCACAGGAAGCAGCCATGTCCGCTAGAGAAGCCAAGCCCTTCCGTATCGGGCCATCTCCAACGCGAAAGTGCTCGGGGGGTTGGGCTGGTAGGTCTCTCGTAGCAAGAATGAGTGCGAGGCAGATAATGGTTTTACCGGCGCCCATCTCTTCGGCGAGAATGCCACCAGCAACTCCGTCATAGTAGCGTGGATCCTTCAAAACTGTACTGGCAACTGGGTCAAAGTACCAAGTTCCGCCTTCTTGGTTCTGGATCTGAAGTAATCGAGGGTCGAGAACATGCTCCAATTGGACTTCTTTTTGCAACATCAATGCCGCCGACCTCCGTTGGTAAGGATACAGCGCTGAAGTCAAGCCTGCAACTGTGCCATTCAAAAGATTGCAGATGACTGATCTGTTATATGGATCCTCAATCAAGTCAATTGTAGGCGCAGGCGATGGGATGTTGTTAAAGAGTTGAAGAAGTGACATGCCTTCTTCCTGGTCACTGTTCAAGTTGACGGATGTGCGGACGTGTAGCCTGTCTACCCATATCGCATTTGTGTTTCCGTTCCAAGCTTCTTGAGAGTAGTTCAACTGCTCAAGGATTTTGTCTCTGGATCTGAGCAAAGAACGGTTTGACCGATCGACAGTGCGGCGCAGCGCATCGTCCGGGAGGAGGTACACCCTCAAAGTGCCTCGGTCGGAATCTTTGTGTTCGACATTGAATTCGAGCCTCACCCAGGACTTTCGGTACAGGTCCAAGTATGGTTTGATTCGTTGTATCTTTATCAATTTGGCTTCCAAATCATTTGGTAGGTAAGTGTCGTGATCGTCAATGTTCAAGTCACTTGACAAAGAGCGAAAGCTTCTCCAACCTGGAAGACCCTCCGAAGCCCAGACTTTCGATTCCGGACAGACTTCATCCTTCTCAATTGTCAAGGATCCAACGGGAATTAGAGGTGCTGTGTTGATATACATTTTGGGCAGCCTCTATCAGCGCCAGCGCTGCAGCATGTGGTAAGTCGACAGCAGAAAGGGGCGCGGCGAATTGCAATAGATTCTATCGAGTCAAGTGATGATTAATCGATTATTTTACGTTTGTGTTGTATTTCTGATGGATCGGGTTTGTGTGAGCGAGTGAGATGATAATGCTGAGAAGAGGGAAAATGATGTATGGTTGCCTTGATACAGTTTGGAACCAGTGCTCACACCGTGCGTTTACGCAAAGATGTAGTGCACTTGACAGTGTCGGAACACTGTGGGGCTGTGTTACATAACCCAATCAATCAACCCAAAAGGTATCATCACATCCCCTCACTTTGTTACTTTGGACCAGAATAAATAAAAGCATTGGCACTGCATAATCTATCACTATACATCATAGTATCTTCTGTAAAAGACTCAAAGGGCTTCAGTTCCAGTCAACTCTGCTAAGCGTTCTCACAGTATCGCAATCTGGCAAAACATCGAAAGCGCTTCTTGTTTGGAGTACAAGTTTATAACGTTCAGAATACTAAGTATTTCACTGAGTCAAGCCTTCATGTTTGTGTCGATTCCATTCGTCCACTCATCGGGATGGTTCAGGAGTGGATGGCTACAGAGTAGATGCTCTACACCATATCTCATAGTTTATCACCTCGGAATAAGTAGTCTTGAGGACACTGGCCAGTTCCCATGGCCCTTTCCAGTTTAAATAATACAGAGACTACTTGGCCAAAAAGAAACAGTAGCATGGTATATTACGAAAGGGTATTGGATTCTTTGTATTCGCTCAGTCATGGAAACGTGATCGTGATATAATGTATGTGGTTGTTGAGTTGGTGGGTCCCAAGATACCCTGTACAAAACAACGCTTTGGAATCTTGTCTGTCTTGCAAATAATTATGGATGGCAAATATCTGCGTAGTCAAGAATGGTAGATACTGCACAATGAATTAGACTGACTATGTGGTTGCAGCGTTAATGCTTCCTATACAAACACCAAGTCGCATACAATCCCATTAAGTCTATAATCTATTGTGGAGGCTAGGAGGATACCATCCATCATACTACTACGCGTACCATGCCGTGCCTTTAAATATTTATGGCATGTAACCAATCATAAAACTTCCGTATACCCAGAGCGGCAATCTATCATCGCTTTTCTATATCTTTAAACGACTACTACTATTAAGACTGGAACTATTACAAGACGCGACTGTCACTTATTAATATTATTAAGTTCGTGCACTATATTTGCAAGGTTATATTGGGCACCAGATGATATAGATCAAGTAAATGAATGAATACTAGCCATCGCTGCTATGCAAATGCCCGTCCAGGTAGGTATTCGTGCTTATGGAAATATTGCATTAACTAGGTAGCGGGTAGCAGAAAAGTTGGCCTCCTAAGTCTTAGGGTATAAAAATAAGTAGTCTAAGAACTATAGTCTAAAGAGCATAAATTGACCTACTAATTTCGTCTTTTATCTGAGGATTGAATCTCTCATTGCGATTCAGACACCGTTGGAGTTTCCACAATTCACACTCTCTCGCACCTGCGTTTTCTTCGTCCAACTACGGCTCGAACTCCAGCGGCTTTGCCACTTTTTCGTTTGTAACTCGCAGCTTTCAAAAAACTAATCGTCATTCACCATCAACCCGCGGCCGCCTCCTATCACAGCAGCTTCCGGTGATTCTTACCGCAAACACGCTCGTGAAGAATTTTCCACCGTTGTGAAGGACTTCCCCTATTAGCCTGACCACGACAGAGCAACCGAGATGACCCTCTCTTATTATGAAGACGTTGTCCCTACTCTTGCAATCCATCACTGGTGCCAGAGCAGGCGAGATTCGTCGATCCCATCAATACGGGGGCCTCGGATGTCTTCTATGGGAACATACCACCATTCATCTCGATACTAATGCGAACGTGTGTTGTGTTACTATTGATCTTTAGCATACAAAAGGTATATCGTAAGTATCATCGACGTTCGCAATGCGAGTTGGCACACCTGACTAACGACCTTCTCTTTTGCAAGTAACAATCCTAACGGCGGCACGTCTGTGGAAGTCAAAGAGTTCTCGAACCCATCCCACAACTGCCTTTGCCCCTGTCAATCTGCTTCTCTATCATGCGCTCGGGACCGAGGCCGTCGAGGGAAAATTGTGGGAGGAGTCGCGTTAGGCTTCGGAAGAGAGACTGGGCAAGCAGGTCCTATGGGCGTATCCAAAGAGACCAGTGATCTACGCTCTCAGCAGCGACAGTCAAGGGGTGTTAAAACTTGACGAGCCTTCAAATACCAACCCTGCAATCTTGGCTTTGATTGAAGCCACCAAGTGCGGGGATCCCTTACGATCAATGATATTCGTCGAGATACAGCTCGCGAGCTAGCGCATCTAAGGACTTCAACGCCGGAGTTGCTGTTGAGCAGGCTCGATTCGGACTGAGTTATTCGGAAAGAAGTATGTTGCGAAGGACCACTAGGCCAAAGTACGCAAAAATGAAAGCCCCCGTTATAAGTCTTAGAGGTACAAGAGCCTGTATCTGGTTCCTCACAAAGTGTACTGTCCGGAATTACCGAGGAGTACATCGGTGTTATCGGTGACGATGCGTGGGGGATACGTGTCAATAGCCCATTACCCCAAGCTACGAAGCATCAGATTGACTACGCTCCCATAAGGATCACGGAAGTCATGACCACAAGATACCTCGGCAAGAACATGAATCTTGTTCGCTTTACGGCGTATTACCTCGAGCTTTGCACCCAGGCCAATGATATTTCCGATGGCTATCGGGATGCCATTGACGATGTGCCACAGCTTTGCGCAACCGCCATCAAGAGATGTCGCGACTTTCACAGCAAGCCTCTGGGACGTTCTGAAAAGGTCCCCACTACCGGCCAGCGATGCTCAGTGGTCTGTGGTGTCAAGAGGAAGTTCAATTTTATGTCAGTTCTCAAGCACCACCTCAACACGGCCCTTAAAGAGCTGCAGACACTTTCCCTCACCTTCATCTCCCTGCCTTCTTCTTGTCGGTGGGCAGGTATTTCGTCCGATGCTCACAAAAAGAATTCGTCAACAAGCCTGAATGGTGCTACCTGGAAGTAAGCGACATGATTTGCCGTGTCTACGGCTTCGAGTTCGCCGTGGAGTGCTACAACAAGGAGCTTGCCAAGCATCATTACTATCACCGAAAGGTTTTGCACCTGATGCGGGAGAGCGACAAAGCCATTGCATCTTCCATGGTTGATTCGGATTTGGAGAGAAACGGATGAAGTGGCTTTATGTATTGAATATCAGACAAGGTGTGTGGGAGGGGAAGATTTAAGAAGCAACCTGGTTCTTCCATCTAGGCTGGAAGAAGTAAGATCTGGGTCAGTCTTTACTTTTCTACTGCGAGTCGAGCAAGAAAAGGCAAAGACTTGGGCATTATCGAGCACGTTGGGAGTTGGGAAAGCATGATATTGTTATACGATAAATTGAGATTAGGTTATTGCAGCATATCTCATTCCTTCAGTGATCTATCTATTAAGTCTTACCATAGGAATGAACTTTCCGGTTTAACTACAGGGATTTGTATCTGATTCCTCCGCTCTTATTGATTCTAAATTGAAAGCGCAAGCTACGAGTGCAGACTCCTTCATCTGTTGTCCAGAAACAGATCTCTCCTCACCGCAACATAGATTGACAGCCCAACAGGGGGCAAAACATTTTGTTTCGGCAATTCGTTAGAAGTATGTAGTTCATTATCTGATTTGTTAAAACGAAATTGCCTATACACTTTGCCCTGGTTTAGTGCCTGAATACACATTGCCGCTGACTTGGGGTGCCCGCTTACATGCCCGCTGACATGCGGGCCATTATAGATTTCGCAGTCTAGACTGAATCAGACGTCCAATGTTGACAGAAACACCATCGCTAGCCCAAAATATAGGGCATCATCACGGCGTTAATGGGCCAGGGGCATTTCGTTGACTGGTTTCCACAATCTAAAGTCGTCATGCTTGCCTTGAAGTTCCCAGTTATGAGCTAATGGTTTGAGATGCTTTGATTCTGTCTTGAACTATAAAGTCATCCTAGAATTTCTTCAAAGTACACCCTCAGTACTAGACCTCTATATCCCCTTTATATCTGGTCTACCTTTCCAATTCACGCAAGATGCAGCTTACCAGCCTTTCCGCCCTCACCCTATTCGCCTCATCCGCGCTTGCGGCCAGTTGCTTTGGTAACCAGTAGAAAGGCATCGCAGAATTTCAAAACGCGTACTGGGACGCTCGATCAAAGATGTGCGGCAACTCGGAATGTGGCTATCAGCAGAGCTGCACAACGCAAGCTTCCCAGACACTACAAGGACTCGCCAAAGTGACTGTCAAAGTCTCCCTAGAGCGCAAGAACACAGGTAACAAGAAGGGATTCAAGGACTGCTGGGTATGTGATCGAATCGTTGGTTTGTGGGGTAACGCTAACATCAATCGATTGGCAGGATGCTACAGGAGACATCATCGTTCAGTGTGTTCGAGGAAGTCAGCAAATGAGTGGAATATGGGAAGCCAATGGTCAGCTATACCAAATGAACGGCTGGTACGCTTGATTTTAAGGGGAGAGTAATGCCTTTCTAAGCCATAGCTCGTTACAAGGCTGTCTGTACATACTTACTTTGTGGCTACCTTTGGCATTATCACTCAATCAAGTACAGAAGGATATATAAAGCATCAATATCAGAGGCCCATAGACATGTTAAAACTTGTTATGAGGCAGCAATAGAGTTTGGTCTGATGTTAAGCTGTATGGCCTTGCTGACTGACTATTTTTATTTACACACTGTTGCGCTTCTGGGGTATTACTGTTGAGCCTACGCCTTTTCTTGTATTGTCAGTGAGTAACCATAGATCAAGCAGCAATCCGTCATGGAGTGATGATGTTCACTTTGTTGACCCAAATGAGGCGAGAGACGTCGACTGCTTCGATGACAACGTAACAAACCAACTGGAGCCCATAACTACAACAGTGACTGCCTTGGAGGTGCTTTACTATGAATCGAGTCTACCAGCAATACATTCTGTAATGACCTGGTACTCCCTGAGCCCTCCATCAAGGTATTTGGTGTCTGAGACGATCCAGGGCTTCGGAAGCGCCATGCCTGGATGGCAGGACGGTCCAGGCCGACTCCCTCAATGATGTCTACAACATAGTTGCCGACATTGGGTAAAAACTTGAAAGCATGGCCGCTTCCGCCAGTCACAACCATCAGTCCCTCCTGACCAGGTACACGATCAATAACAAAGTGGTTATCAAAAGTGTCAGTATACCAGCACAGTCTTGTGAAGGCAACATCCTTGACCTCGCGCAGAACCTCAGGAAGGTTCTGAGATACGAAGGATGCAATGGTATCCATGGCCTGTCTTGGAATTTTTGTAATCTTGCTAGACTCTGACCAACGAGTCACGGGTACGCTTCTCTCTCTGCCATCTGCCTGAACTTGAGGATTGGTGTATTTTATACCACGGTAGCCGATCTTCAGGTGGCCTTCTCCATCGACTGGAAAGCCATAAAGGCCCCCGGTGGCACCTTGCCTCATGTCATACATCCAGGTTGGGAAGTTTTGCGGTGAGAGCTGATCGAATAGTGGCGATGTTTTGGGAATCTTGAAGACGGCAACGGAGCCTGCTGTAGCTTCACAAAGACCGTCAAGCTCAGGGACAAGAAGTGCTGTTTGAGGGCCACAGGCCATGATGGTTAGCTTAGCATCGTGTGTTTTCCCGTCCTTGGTGCGAATGCCGACGACCTTTCCCCCACTTCTGGAAAATGAGACGAATGTTCCAGACGACTCATTGAGAATGAAATTGACACCATGCTTGCGAGCTTTGTAGAGCGCAAGTCGACATGCCTTGTCAGCAGCAACATGTCCGCCACTCGTATCGAGTATGCCCACCATGGACTTTCCGTTGGCTTGAGCGTGAAACTGATCGGTTTCAAAGCCGAGCGACCTGCAAGTCTGGACATCTTCAGGATCATTGGTGACAAGTTGATTTGACACGCCCAACTTCTTGGCGTTCTCGACTGTTGCTCTCTCAAATGGAAGCAGAGTCTCGCCCTCATTGAAAGATATAGCTCCGTTGTTGTAAAACACCTTGTCGCTGGATTTCATACCAGGCGGTACTTCGCCGCCCGCTATATCGGAGTTCCATTCGTTCCATAGGGCTATCGCTTCGAGCGAAAGCTCTTGGTACTCGGTCTGAGTTCCGTAAGATGATCTGATGATCTTGTTCAAGTCTTGGTATATGTCAGAGTCGGTGCATAATTGATATGTAGTTGTAGATAGTACTGACCTGCAGAGGCAGCATCGCAGCCTTTCTGGTAGGAATAGAGTCCCGTGTCGTAGTTTCTTCTATCATATACAGTTACGTTGCTGTATCCTCTCTTGGCAAGATTCAAGGCAGTGCTTAGTCCGAAAACACCAGCGCCAACAATTGCAATGGGGTCTTGCTTATGCATTTTTGTCATCATAGTTGCAGTTATCTTGGCTCAAATGTAGTATAATGTTAGTACTACTGCTTTATTTTAATTCTGCCTGTTTGACTGAAGGTTGTGTTACTGAGCCGGTCACAGGTCACTGGACTCCGCCCGCTCGCATCGGGAGTTTGCGAAGAGCTAAGCCTAGCCTTCTCCGTTTTCTGCGGAACAATGATAGGCCAACTGTGTTTATCAATTCCCGTTATCCTGGTTGGAGAAACAATGCCTAATATGGCCCGGAATCCACCGATATCGCCTAGGCTCGCCGTAACCCATTCTACCTATAGTCTCGGAAGAAACCAGATGGAACTGATTAATCGCAATTGTGGGCTTGTCCCACATCTTTGAGATAAGAAATCTGGGGTAATTGGGGTGACATTTGACCCTTGACTGCAACACCGTTACGGAGCAAGCCTAGAACGCTAACAATATTGAAAGTAGTAATATACCCTCGATAGGTCGCTGGGATGGCAAGCACCGACAAGCAAGACTATTCATTGCATTTGTCCTAACTCTATTGGAACACACTACTGATCTCTTCCATTCGTCATCAACGCTTTTGTACGCAGAGAGTATACCTACTTTTGGTCACAATGGGTTTCAGTCGACTGATCTCTGAGTCGTCTCTCGGCAAACATGTTCGCAGTATCCGCAACTCACCACCAGAGGTCATCTACAACAGGAAACTTCTCGCATCCGCTGCTCTCTATGCTATGTCGGGATTATGTATCAGTAGGTTATTATGATCAATGGATGACTGTCTCCAGGACTAACACATCGCAGCATGGGACCAAGGCTCCAGTTCAGTCGTGCCATCTCTTCCAGGGTTTTCTCAAGCTTTCGGTATCACATCTGCCACAAACCCCAAGGAAGTTGCCAACTTCATCTCGTTCGTCTACCTTACGGCCGGTGTTGGATCAGGCCTCTCCTTTTTTATCAACGATAGAATCGGACGCCTTTGGTCCCTGCGACTATACTTTTGTATCTGGATCATTGGACAGCTGATTGCGACCTTCTCTAACGGAAACAAAAGTACTCTCTACGCTGCTCGGTTCGTGTCTGGTCTTGGAATCGGTCCCCTGACCGTGACTGGCCCCATGTCGATTGTTGAAATTGCACCCACCGAGATTCGAGGGCTTCTCACAGTCTGGTTTAGCGTTGTGATGTTGCTGAGCTTGACCGTCAGTACCTTGACGGTTTATGCTTGTTTCTTACACCTCGAAGCCTCGCACTTTCAGTACCAATTGGTTTGGTTTCTCCCTACTATCATCTGTGCGATTATCATTGCCGCGAGCTTCTTCTACGTCTGCGAGTCTCCGAGGTGGCTGATGCTGGTTGGCCGCAAAGAAGAAGCCATAGAAACACTGGTTACTCTGCGAGGACTACCCGCCGATCATCCACGTGTTGCTGGGGAAATCGTAGATATTGAGCAGCAGATTCAAGCCGAGAAGTCTCACTATGGCTCCAACGGTGGATTCAAGGCCGTTCTACGAGAAACCTTCCTGGTACCCGCCAACCTTAGACGAGTTCAACAATCTTTGATATCCTACTTATTGGCTCAACTATCGGGCGCCAATTCTGTCACTAGCTATCTGGTGCCGATTCTATCTCTCATAGGGGTTAACAGTGCGAATGGCAACAGTCTCTTTTTGTCCAGCATGTACTCTTTGTCCAAGTTCTTCTACACCCTCATCGCTTCTTTCTTCTTCATTGATGCGTTGGGTCGCCGAAAGTCGCTATTCATCGGAATTGTCATCCAGCTGATCTCTGATGTCTATCTTGGTGTTTACATCAAGGCCCATAACGAAGGCTCGGTTGCACCCGGTGCTTCCACTGCAGCCATTGCAGCCATCTTCATCCATGGATTTGGCTATGCTGTTGGTATGTCACTCCTGAACTGTCTTCCAAAAAGAAAAAAGAAAAAGGAAAACTCGGCTAACTTCTCATGATAGGTCTTCTGGTGCTTCCATACGTTTTTGGCGCGGAGCTTTGGCCCAATAGCATCCGCTCCTTTGGCTCTGCGCTCTCTCAGACTTTCCATTGGCTTTTCTACTTTGGGCTTAATCGAGCAACACCTTCAATCCTCAGCAGTATGGACAACTGGGGAGCGTTCCTATTCTTTGCTGGCTGGTGTTTTATCGCATTGGTCTATGTCTTTTTCGCTGTCCCAGAGACTGCCGGATTGCCTCTCGAACGTACCGACGAACTTTTCGACTGCCCCTGGTGGCAAATTCGCTCCAAGGCCAAGTCTCTCCATGTTGGCGCAATTTCTGGACATCCCATTGACGAAGAGAAGTAAGTTTTGGGCTCATGGCGGAATTTACTGGAGCACTATGACTTACAATGGAAACTTTTAGTCCAGATAGTGACTCTCACAAGGACCAGCAAATTACATTTAGAGGTAAGCAGGAGGATAGCTAAGGCTCGAGGCTGGTTCTAGGCGTATATACGAAACCAGCAAGTGTGGTAACATCCCGAGTCAAGGCTCGACAGATAGGTTCACGATATTTGTGAGACATAGAGCAGATATAGAAGCATTGAGAAGTTATTTAAGAAATTGTTCCTATGTATAAGCCTCATGGTATCAGAAACGTCAGCCGCTAGAAGCATAAGAGACGAAATTAGTAGGCTAATTTATGTTACTTAGACTATAGTTTGTAAGCTATTTGATTTTACACCCCACGACTTAGGATTGAGGTTATGTATCATCAAGCAGATTTAACAGCAAAGAACATCGGTTTATGATGTTGTTGTGCAAGAAAGAGAAGCAATATTGCTATGAGAATGTATCGGATGAGTAAAGGCATCGAAGGTATCGCCATCTAAATTCTCCTTACCATTCACAACCCTTGCACTTAGATTCCTAAATGCCCATGGACACGTCTACTTCAGAGAACTGTCAAGATCCATTTACACAGAGGCAGGTAATCTTGTATTTTGATTCTCGTGACTATTAACAACTACAAATTAGGCTTTAAACAACCGGCGTTGACGGGACTGTTTGCTTTGCCAGTTCGGAAATAAGTCCTGATATTCTCAAAACACTCCCGCTCAGCCTTCTGGAAAGCGATATCTGTCAACCCTCCCAAGTGAGGTTGAATAATGACGCTGTCCTGCTCTAGGAACCAGGGGTCGACATTTGGTTCGTTGACTAGCACGTCGAGCCCTGCTCTAGCAATCTTGCCAGTCTTGAGCGCCACCTTGAAGGCATCTTCGTCTATAACTGCTCCGCGTGCCGTGTTGACAAGGAAGCTTCCGTCCTTCATGGCGGCAAACTCGGCTGTGCTCATCAGGCTGGTGGTCTTGTCATTGAGCGGGCAGTTGAGCGACACAACATCAGACTGTGACAGTAACTCATTTAGAGTGGTGCAGTAGGTGGCGTTGTACTGGCGCTCTACGTCGTTGGGGAGCTGGTGTCGGTTGTAATACTTGATCTTCATGTTGAAGACAGCCGCCTTCTTGGCCAGATACTGTGAAAGGCTCGTTAGCGCATGAATTATAACCGCTATTCATTTCATACCTTGCCGATGGAGCCCATGCCGACGATGCCCAGAGTCATGCCTGTAGGATCTCGCGCAGGAACAAGACTACCGGGCTCTCCTCGCCATTTCCCAGCCTTGGCCGTTCGCTCGGCTTTGGATGTGTTTCTCAAAGTGGCCAGGATTAGAAACATGGCCATGTCTGCGGTGGCTTCAGCAACCGCATCTACCGAGTTACAGAAAAGGATGTTGTTTTTAGTCATCCATTCAACATCGAACTCATTGTATCCAGCAGAAGCTGAAGTAATTATGCGGCAGTCAGTAGCTAGCGACCGGAGAAGACCCTCGTCGAATGGTTCGAAAGGCGGGGTGCCCATGCAGATGACAAAGGCATCGACTGGTCCCTTCTCCTTTATTAATTCAGGAAGACGCTTTTGAGTCTCTTGGCGATCTGTCGCGTCGAGAACCTCAAAATCATGATCCTTACTAAAAGCCTCGAGATACTCGGCACCCGCGAACTTTGGGGCGCCCAGGCTCACAACGTGAGGCTTGTTCGAAACGCGGCTTGGGGACATTGTGTAGGATTAACAGCAGTAAAATGGTGATTGGGTTTCAAAAAAATAAAAGATTGAATAGATAAATCAATCAAGAAATAGTTCGCAATTTCGATATAAATGAACAATTGCTTTATCCTCCATATCTTTCTCTTCTGTCCTTGTCCTTTGTAAACCGAGATCGGCGAACCGGATTCGTATCCCGGATCGGCCCCACAAGATCGGCAAGGAACCCTCCGTAAGGTCATGCGAGTCGGATTCTCCCGGTATTGGATGAAATGGCTAGAATGGATGTGGATGAGATCCACTGTTACCATGACAAGAACGCATTACTAACACAACTAGGCGTGTACTTACATTACCATGCCTTGCAAAGACTGAGACCGAACACCAGACGATACGTAGCCCAAGGCACAAATGAGACGCACCATGGAAAAGATCTCTTCAGATGCACCATTAGGCTTTCTCGCTGTGGAAGTCGACATCCACCGTCCTCCAGGCGATCCTTTCAACGAGAACACATGGCCATTTCCTCTCATTCGGGAAAAAGTAACAGGCACACGTGAGTCACAACTTGTTACTAACGGTGCCTACGACGATGCCTTCATTGATCAGTTCGTGGCAGCTGGGCTTAAACTTACTGAGAGAGGCGCTGTTGGCATCATTACCAGTTGCGGCTTCTTAGCGGCGGCGCAGAAAAGGTGTTTATCTCTATTTTCTCTACTCTATCCTCCTGGCACTTTGAACACATGCTGAGCCAAGTAGGTTAGCAGCACGACTGCCTATTCCTGTGGCCACCTCAGCCCTGGTGCAGATTCCAAGCCTCCAGGCCATATTTCCTGCCAATAGACCCATCGGGATTTTGACTTATGATTGTGCTAGATTGGGCAGTCTACACTTACGTGAGCTGAACATTGACCCTGACAGCGTCCGCATATGGGGACTTTCAGACAAAAGCCATCTTAGAGACATTTGCGCTCGTGGCGCCAAATACGACGCCGCTCTGCTGGAGAAGGAACTTATCGATGAAGCAAACGCTCTTGTTGCTCGGCATCCTGAAGTTGTTGCTATCGTTTTGGAATGCACAAACATGCCACCGTACGCAGATAAGATACAGGACGCGGTCCAGTTGCCAGTTTATGATGTTTATACAATGGGAAAATGGTTTTACTCCGGACTGCAACGTCGAAGCCCAACGGATTGGACGTTATAGCTATAAGGCTCTGGTACAAATCCAATCATGTAGTTTCACAAGTTAAAGGAATAAAGATGAACATGGTTGTAAAAAAAGAAGAGTTTGCCAATTACAATCGCATTCGATGGGTTTTCATGATTTCCAACCCTTTTTCGTCGCTTTGCAGCTTTGAAAAATCAACAGTATTGAAGTAAGTTAGGAGTTTAAACCGACTTATAGGTATAAGACCTAGGCCTTTAGTTAGCTCATATATAACTATAATAAAAATACGTGCAAAGACAAACAGTGAAACTGTAAAGAAAAGGGACAATAAAGTAATACTTTTCGATTGAGAGTAAACGTGGTAAAGACAGTAAAACCTAGTCGCTAATTCAAAAAGTCCCCCTTTGTCTCTGCTACTATGAGGTCGTATTCTGGCTTGAATTGCATATACATGACTTCTGGGCTACCCGTTCCATCCTTTGTATATTGTGCCTCTTCATCGCCCACAAATGTCTTTTGAAGTCCAGACGCCGCGGCGGCTTCAACCAATAACTGTGTATGGCAGGCCCTTTCCAGAGCGATGAAAAAAGCCGCTGCTTCCGCAACGGTGCCTCCTGCTGTTAGGATACCATGATTCTGTAGGATGAGATTCTTCTTGGTTGGGCCCATAGTGTCAGCCAAGCGGTTGCCTTCTTCTTTGGCAAAGACGACACCCCCAAAATTTGCATAGACGGCAAGATCGTTGTAGAACATGCAACTGTCCTGATTCAGCATTTCAATCGGACGGCCAAAGGTAGACCAAGCACGCCCATAAGGGCTGTGAAGGTGGCATGCGGCGTTGATATCGGGCCGGCGTTTGTGGATGGCAGCGTGGATGATAAATCCGGCTGTGTTGACAGGCTTATCCGCGCCGCCGATCCGTTCACCCTCTTCGTTGACATGGACCATGTCAGAAACCTTCAAGAGACCGAAATGGACGCCATAAGGGTTCAACCAGAAGGTGTTTGGTTGGACTGGATCTGCACAAGAACGGTGTCAGTCTCGAAATCTCATGGTACAGGAAATGTACAAAAATGAGGGGTCTTCTTACCCCTCAAGCTGATGTGCCCGCTTGCACCATCAGCAAATCCCAATTTCGCAAAAATGCGAAAGGCTCCCGCCATTTGCCCAAGCTGCCATGTCCTGACTTCTTCTGGGCTAACAAATTGCGGGATCTTGTGGAGCCTTTTCTTGGGCTGAGAGGTTGACAATGAGGCTGCGGATGGTTCAGCCGCCATCGTTGCTGTTGCGGTTGCGGTTGTTGTAGAAGACATGATGTGATGAGCCTTGGTGTCAGTGAGAGCCTAAAGGGTTTAGTCTCAGAATAATCTCCCCGGTCAGGTATCTTATAACAATCGAGCCAGTTGTCTTCGCATTATGGCGACCCGGTAGGCCCCGTGATTGGTGGACAAAGCCCGTTCTATCTACCCCAAGCGTGGCTCTATCACAAGATATCGTTGTCGGCAGCACCCGACATACTACACGATATAATAGCTTCATTACTGAGCATAGAGAACGAGATGGCGTCCATATATTTTCAAGCGGTGCCAATTATTGGTGTAGATATTCCAACTTCTGGTACTGGTCTCTTTACGTGTCTATTTGCACATCATCAACTTACTTCTCTATCTCTTTGTCAAAATGCATACACTGCACATCAATTCTTCGACAATCACTGCTTCTGGCAGGTCTCGGGACAATGATTTCGCAAGCCCAGAGGAGGTTCGTACAGCTTTTACATGGGCCATGTCAACCATGTACCGGAATGAAGTACCCCTCTACGGTGACTTGGTCCGAATTGTTGATGGTGTGAACGAAAGTATACTTTCTGAGCAACCCAGTTCTACAAAAGAACGTCTTCTGTCTCAAAGACTAGATGTGGAGAGACACGGAGCCATTAGACTGGGAACTCCTTACGAATTGAGAACCATCGCTCGTCTTTTTTCCATACTTGGTCTCAAGGCCGTGGGGTACTATGACCTTTCTGTTGCCGGACTGCCAATGCATGCTACTTGCTTCCGCCCGGTCGACTACAAATCGCTGGATCAGAACCCTTTCAGAGTGTTCACGACCTTGTTGAGACCTGATTTGATTACGGACCCAGACACTCGCGAGCTTGCTTCCAAATTGTTGTCAAAACGAGATATCTTCAGTCCCAATCTGTTGGATTTCATCAACAAAGCCGAGAAGAATGACCGGCTTTTGAAGATATCCAACGTGAGCGACTTCATTGCTGAAGCAATCAAGACCTTCAGCTGGAAACCAGAAGCGTTTGCATCGGAAGAAGAATACAAGCAGCTGGCCAAGAGCCATCTCATCTTGGCAGATATTGCCTCTTTTAAGAGTGCCCATATCAACCACTTAACACCCCGGACGCTGGATATCACCAGCAGCCAGCAACAAATGAAAGAAGAAGGTCTTCGGGTCAAGCATCGCATCGAAGGACCTCCCCTGCGCCAATGCCCGATCCTTCTCCGCCAGACAAGCTTCCTAGCACTGGAGGAGAGAATTCAATTTCGCAACGGCCTAGGAGCTCTGGTGGAAGGAACCCACAGGGCTCGATTTGGCGAAATTGAGGAACGAGGCGCTGCAGTGACCCCGGCAGGTAGAAAGCTTTATGATGACCTGTTGGACGCAGCAATGGAGAAATTCGGCCAGAGTTTAGATACACAGAATCCTGAAGCAATTGATGCTGCTATGGCTGAAGTATTCAGAGATTACCCTGACTCCTGGTCCGAGCTGCGGAAACAGAATCTCATTTACCGCACTTACCATCGCACAAGTAAACAAGGATACGACATATCAGGCTCTGAGTCGCTTGAAGATTTGGTGGAACAGGGTTACCTGACGGCTGAGCCTATCACTTACGAAGACTTTTTGCCTTTCTCGGCAGCAGGAATCTTCGCGTCAAATCTCGGCAACTCTCAACAAAACCGGCCTCAAGAGAAACCACTTTCTGACAAAGCGGGTTTAGAAAGTGCTTTGGGACACGTCACGCTAGATGCTGACAAACTCTACCTCGAGATTCAAAACGAGAGTATAAAGAGATGTGGTCTGTACTGCAAGCTTAATTCTTGATCTGTATGTAGTGCAACAGATGTAATCTTGTTTAAGAACTATCAAATCCCTTAAGTATTTCGTTGAGCATCTGTATCACCTTATTGAGTATCGTATCGGCTCGTGAAGTTGGGTGGTGTCTGTGAACACCGAAAGTCCACTTATACGGTTATACAGACTTTCTGTACTCAGCTTTAAGAGGCCAGAAAAAGCGGATAGTTTGCTGAGTCAGTGAGATGATCTCTCTATTACCGTACTGTATCCTAGCGAGCTAATAGCAGGCTGTTGGTATCTTGGTGGCTTAACTCCACAGGCGCTACCCATTTTCGCGAGCTGATACGTCCTACCTTGTTAGATAGAGAAATTCAAAGCTCTTGAAATCCTCCTTGGTATGAAATATTTTGGAAAAATAGCAGCTGGCAACATCGTACTGTGAGAAACGCTAGAATACAATCGCTGACTAGTTATCTTCGTTCCTTGTTCCTTGTAATAGCTCTTGTATCAACCACTCCGAATTGACTGGCATGCCGTCGGCCCCAATCTCCATCATCCATTCCTCAAGTGGTTGAGGATCAGTGGCCTGGCTTTGACCTGATTCCTGCCATCCTTGGTCATCATCGGTTGACTGATTGCCATCCCCACAGATGAGGCTAATTGTCTTTTCTGACAAAATTTCAAATATGTCTCTATAGGGTGCAGCCTTTCCCCAGCGTTCGGCAATGACGACCAATGCGGTATTGCAAGCCATGCATGTGTTGATGATATCCATCTTTCTAGCAGCGGCTCTGACTCTAGATGATTTCCAGATACAGTATAGATAGGTCAATCCTCCCAGAAAGAGAATGTGGAGTGATCCCCACGTGAACTGTAGAGACTGGCGTTGAAAGAGTCTGCGGTAGAGGACGCATATCTCTTTTGCTTTGTCTGCACAGCTCACCAGTGCTTCCTCGACCGACCCCTCTTCACCGGGAGGAGGTTTATGAGTAATCCAGTGCCTATATAGCAGGAGAATGGAATGATCATAAGCCAGGCGAAACCATTCGCGCGAGGCAAAAACAGAGAGAGGGTCGAGTCCGGGTGTATCTGGTGCATGAGGAACCTCGCTATGCCACGCTTCCAACTCTGCCCTCAACTGTTCAATCAGAGGTTTCTTGGCAACTGCCTGGCTCATTGAGGACTCGGTGATCGCCGGGTAAATATTGTTGCCGATCTTGGACCACAACCGACGTAGTTTGACTACGTGGATAGCACCCGTCATGCTCGTGGGTGGTTCCTCTGGAGACGTACGCGGGCTTTGTAACAAGCCTAGTGCATTGATTTTATCATCGTCTATATCTAATGGCAACTAACAATCGTTATCTTAGTAGGATATACAATATTTTTCAAATGCAAGATACATACCTCAGCGTCAATGCAATTATCGGGAATACCAACTGGACGGCCCAGTATGAAGGACGCCACCCGATCAATATCATAGGCTACCCAGAAACACCTTTTAGAAATCTCGGCAATAAGTGGGTTGACATTCTTCCGGTACTTTGAAGCATTTCGATGATAACCGAGCTCTATACAGTATCGGATAGCAAGGCCGGAGGATTTCCTGAAGTGTCAGAATTGACACTCATTCACGGGGCTTCAAGAGACCAACCAAAGGCTTCCTCCAGCAGGAGAACGTATTGAGTAGACTGCACATGCCAGCAAACTCTGTATAGACTCGATACTGTCAAGCTCGAGAACTGAAGGCTGATGCACAAGGGCCATGTTGTAGTATGATTCAGCTTCATCATAGTGGGCAGGGCCCAAAGCTAGAGAAGCAATTGCATAAACCTGTATACTTGTGAGAAGACAAAGAAGACCCCAAGCGAGCAAGAATTGTTACCATCCACACGAAGAACTGTGCCAGATCGCCTGCCATTGACAAATTTCCGGCAAGGTTGGCTTTGAAGCACAGGTCTTCCCAGAATTGAAATGTTGGCTGGTGAAGGAATGGATACTGGGGATGAATGTTATTGAAATATGCTTGAGATAGAGTAGCGCCAGCCTGTGGCGAGGGGAAATCGATGAGAAACGGCTGAGGAAAATCCCATGTCGACGACCCGTGTTCAAACCGGACTGAGTTTGTTTGATGAAATGGCCCAACCTTTTTGGGCAGATCCATAGCGGCGCTCACAATCCTTGAAAATGAGACAGCTGATGATGGGCCGAAATAATGAGGCTCTTTGCTAGCGGCAGTCAAACATAGTAGAGCAACGTCGGTAGATAGCTGATCAGTTGTGTCTTCCGTCTCAACGCGCGCATCTCGCTGACAGTTACCTGTAGCAGAGATTTCAACTGAAGCCGTGGTCGGGGTCGGCGCAGCAGGCGAAAGACTGGAAGCATTTTTCTCGAGGCCCATGAGATGGTCGAGAGCCACATCAGGTCTTGCCTGCTTCAGTAGGCCCTCTAGGTAAGCGACTCTGGTCTCGAGAGACTGCATGTAGTCCCTAGGCCGCAAAAGCCCTGTAGCGGGATCTTCGACGAAACATTCTTGGCGACGTCAGGACAGTGCTGCAACTTTATTTGAGAAAATTCATACCCCTTCCAGTCTTGCTGCAATTTTGGCATTTGGGAATTTGTCCGTCACACTTTTCCATGTTAGTTATGTATCACTGCAACAACAACCATAACTGGGTGGGTCAAGTCATACTTTGAGCTTTTTCTGCTTACAGCCGTTGCATGCTACCAAAGTGCGCTCTCCGATTCGTGGCCTCTTGACTGGGTTGGGATATGTTGGATGCTGCGACGCCATTCTAAAACGTGACATGTAGCGTAAACTTTTGAAGTGAAGGTAAAGTGAGAGATGCTACCGGCTGGATGGATGCGGGGTACATTTAACGAATTATCTATATGCTGGACCCGAATACACTAATGAAGATACTACCAGATAGATTACTAGTCTAGGTAGGGTACCTGTTGAATAAGCGGTGCTTATCTACCAAGCTTCAACACCTACGAATGACCATCCCCAATCGCGTAAGCGTCTAACTACATTCTTATTTATACAACAGAAAAGCGCAGTTTTATAAAATTTGTTTAGGCAAAATATTGAATGTTCACGCTCATCAACAATCCGATCGTATTAATCAACTTTATTATTCATTATTTATTATTCGTTATTTATTATTCGTTATTTATCATTCCAATTGTTCCCATCCCTGTGGTTGATTGTCCTATTTTCCTTGATTGATTAATCCTGTGGCCCAAAAACGCAAACACAGTTTGCGGACAATCAAGAAATCTCAACTGTAAAGAAGAACAAAAGAGAAAGCATGACACCGATTTGTCAAGAAAGACTCATTCGCTATTGAATATCTCCGTTGGAGGAAAGCTGCGATCTCTTTCGCATCCTGTGCCTTGATGTCTCGTGCGAGTGTTGGGCGAAGAACATCTAATGGCTGGAATTCCATAGCGCAGAAAAGAAATTCAGATGGTTTGTTGATGGCTAGCAAATGCTTGATTCTCTTCCGGGCAATGTAGGTGATATACATGCGGTTACGAGCTGCATAAGCTTGCTCCTGGAACGCATCGTGACGTTGCAAGGCTTCGTGCTCAACTTCGGTCTGCGTTCGGGTTTCTGCAAACACAATTTGCTTCGCAGAGCGATAATTGCCGCCAGCCTCCTTCCACAGAATCTTGACTTTGGAGCTCTCTGTTACACTTGGCATGTAGTAGGCGATTTGAGTTATGGCCTGTTCTCGATCGCTTGTTTCGTATGTTTTACTGCCTGTCTTCTGTGTTTTTTCTCGCTTAGGTGATAGAGAGTCGTCCTCCTTAGCCTTCCGTTTCTTTGTAGGCGAGGAGATTGGCGTAGTGTTGAACACTCGGACTTCGACCCCAACTTCTTTGACTGTCAGAGCCTGCGGGGCGCCAGGGTGCATCAATGGCGCTGTGCTTTGAGGTTCCTAGCCTCGAAATACATCGGTCCACGTGGCATGGCGGTCGCTGTCCGTGATGGTTTCGGAACGTAGCGCCTGATAAAGGTCGTCGAAAGAGTGCCGCTTCAGACCCAAAGAAGAGAGTTCCTTCTTTATATGTTCAAGTTCGAATAACATCGCTATATATAGTGGTTAGCGGTGTTACCGAATCGTAAGTCAACTGAACATACCTAGGAGATGAGGTGAAGGAAGAGGCAGAGGTAGGAGTACTCTTTCAGGGTGATTTGAAAGTAGGTAAAGAGGAGAGGGGGTAAGAGAAGTGCATGGCAAGCAGTAGAAGTAGAGTTGCTGGGGAAATTGGTGTTATCTTGTAAAGAGTTATGCTGCCTGGGCACTGTGAGGCACTGTCAATTTTATTGAGCAATGAAATTGCGTATTGTCTAAGATCATTGCCATGTGTGTTCACTTCATGTCCATCCTTGGAGATGGTCTTCCAATTGTCCCAATTGCCTCAATACGCCTTTCTTAAGATGCCCACCGCGGGTATCTCAGATCCTCATATCCGTCCCCGTATAGCAAGCTCCTCATAACTCCAAGACTCCCAAACGCCTTAACATTCACTTTGGGCGCGATGTCTCCACGATAGATCATCACTCATCTGTCAAATCAAAGGCCTCCTTCCCGTCATCGAGCTTGAAGGCTTTCCATGGTCTAGTGGTAACTGGATGTTCATCCGCCTCGTGTTTGATCCCAGAAGACTCCTGCTTGATCTGGTTTAGGTCAGCCAAATATGTCTAAATTAAAGCACAGTCCTCATCTGCTAAGCCAATGACACATTCGTTCCGCCCTCTTCCAACGGGAAAGTAACTTACATTATTGTCACGCAGTCTTTCCATTGCAAGACATCGTATCTCACTCTCCGATAGATGAGAAAGAACGTCTTCACCATCGTCGGGCACAACTGGAGGCTCTGGTGAGGGAGTTTGTGGGGTGATCAGTTCGTGTTGTAGTGCTTCTGTATCACAGATAGTCAGTTTTTGTTCCGTGCCCGTTGCCAGAAAGTATACCATACTGTGCGATCGGTAATGAAAGAAGAAGTTTCCAGCAATAACTTCATTCTCGACATTGACCATGTCAGGAATAGGAACAATAGACCCCGTCTCAGCAAAGCTAGAATCTTTCAGTTCTACGCTAGCAAGAATGGTCCATTCTATACGTACGTAGTTGTATGGCTTACTCCTTTGCCCTTCGACGCTTTCTCCGCGAAATCTTGTTGCTGCTCGGTGAGAGTTGGACAAGGACTTCCTTTGCACTGTTTCTTTGAACACTTGCTTGTTGAGATGACAACCCTGATCACTCCTAAGTCCTTGGCTCGGAAAAAATCTTCCTCAATCTTTGATTTGGAAGCAGAATCATCTATTTGAATTGTTAGTAGAAACTCTAAAACGCACTCATCTAGACATGCCTTTGGTGATAGGAGCAAATGTAAAATTCTTGACTACTCCTACTCACGCACCTGTAGAAAATAATGCGGACGATAGGTTTATGGTGATGTGCTTCTTGTTGAGTAATTCGCGCCTGTATATTCCATCATTGCCCCTCCATTCTCCATCAAGGTATATGTCCACCCAGACCGCGTCGTTGTTCCTGGGAATTTTGAAACCAGAAGAGTCTGTGACTTCGATAGCAAACTCGGCACCGGACTTGCACTCGATAGAGCAGTGTTTGATTGGTGTTGTGTCATCTGCTGTGCGAGTATGATCGATCATTTCGAAATCATCCGGGACTCCGTGTTCAGTCGCTAACTCCCCAGCGACCCGAACCCAGGCGGTGATGTGAGGAACCTCGACTAACACTGCCATAGTATTGGCGGCAGATTTGGCAACGAATGGCCCGAATGTAGGCGGTGGCGATGTTGATGTTGGTTCTGAGTGCCCAATGTAGGTTGAGGAAGAAGAGGGGAGGGAGGAAGTAGGGCCAGCGCTATGCATAAAAGTATGTAGGCAGGCAAGATTAGGCATTCAAATGATGTTGTGCATGTTAAGTGCTTGCAGCGGGCTGCTCCTGCGGCTGAAGGAAACTCCTCGTGGCCAGTGCTGATGAACTGCTGAAAGATACGCTCCTAGTTACCTAGTAAAGTGCGCGGTTAGAACAAAGAGATGCTGTTTTCCCCAATAAAATACTCACCCTACCTGGCCATCAGGTCTTTGTCTCTTCAAGAAAAAACTCGGATTGATAGGTCAAAGTTCAATAGTCGCTATAGTAGAAGTTGCCCAACACTACTAAGGTGGTCATGCCAAGTTGGATCATACAATGCCGCCTCCTCTCTCATCCCACTTCAGCATGAAACTGTCTGGTCTTGAGAACGAATTTGTACATTACCTGAAAATATCACCATCTTGGACACTATTAAAACTGACGCTGCATTAACACTGTCACACAAGTGATAAACACTAGGACTACTGCCTTGGGGCACTGTTTGTTTAGTTCCTTTCTGAATATTTCTCGTTTCCTTTTTCTTCTATTTGTTTTTCTCAACATCGCCACTTGCACCCATACGTCAATTTCTCTCCCGGATTTGAGAAATACACAGTGGGTAAGTTAGTTCATTCCTCTGTCGCCAATTGTCTGACTTGTTCAGCTGTACCCTCAGCATGAAACGGGACCCCAACGACTTTCACAACTCAGTACATCTAAGTTACTCTCATTCGATGTTCTGGTTATCTTTACAGACTGGATACTCATTCCGTGTAGCTGCCCCTCGAGTCAAGCAACAAACTTCCGGTGACTTATCAACTAAGGGAGATACCATGTACTATTCGCGAGATATATCGGGTGTTCCTATTCTTTAACTTGAATACATTGCCAATATCTCCTTCAATGCTGCGTATATCCGTGTTCCACGAGGTACCCAACACAAGCTGAACGAACTCCTCCGTGGCAGAAAAGTTTTGAAACAGCTCAGCAAGATTTAGAAGTAACTAGCACACCCAGCTCTGAGCAACGCCAACTTGAGTTGCGATTCTTGGTACATGGTGAGCTTCATAGCACCGCCGACCGGTTCGTCAAGCACGTAAGCAAACGCAAGCAGTAAGAGGAATCGAATGATCCCCTGGCGCCTGTCCTCGAACACTCACATGTTGAGAAGGCACACTCTTGGTCATGCGCCATAAGGACGCGTGCCTTGTAACCTTCGCTGTTTGTTTCCTCCTTATCTTGCTCGGTCTGGCAAAACTCTTCGACTGTGATGGTGTGAGAGGGCGAGCTAACAGTTGTTGACAGCTCCGATTGAAATACTGAAGTGGACATCGCCGAGTATCAGCATCCTTGAGGGCTTTATAAACAGCCAGCGCCGCTTCATCGTGTTCAGCGCTCGTCTTTTCAAGCATAACGCCTCCGATGGTGACGTTGCAGGGGTCGCCACTCTGGCGGTACAGATCTTCACTTCCGTCAGCCTTGACTGAAAGCAGATCTTTGTCTCGTTGAGGAGTTTGGATGATGGCGGCACGGAATACCTGAGTGGTCATGGTTGCGGTCTTCTGGTCCTGAACGGCTTGGTCACAGATCACACTTGCGCTATTGTGAAGGGGGTGCTGCTCAGCATTGAAGAAATGCATCAACTGATATCCGGCAGCGTTTGTGGGGAAGCCATCGGATCCAGGTGCTCTCTATACAAAGAAAAGCCAGAACTTTTCTTGCAGGCCACTTCTGCCGCCGCTGTTGGCAACACTTACTCCGCTGATGACAACGCTTCTGACGCCAATGATGTTGACAGTGATTCCAAGCGCTCATTCAGTGGTCACTCTGTTGACTGTATTGACTCGGGAATCCCATGTGGCTACCGAACAATGATCATCACTCGCCCGAAGGTCAAGGGTGTGTGCTGGGAAGATCACTCTACCTTATGTTTCTTTTGAGGGCGAAAGATTCCCTTGCCAGTTATATTGAACGCGCCAGCGAAGATGGCCTAGTCAAGATTTGAATTGAGATGACCTTCTCACGAGGTCATCAAGGCACAATCATTTGCAATCAACGGATTCAAGTATTCGCAGACATCAAAGCCGCATCCTCTCGAGTCAGCATGGCAAGAGGCCTACCGCTATACTCTTCGATTGAGCCAGAAGAGGCAACGAAGGTCAATCATTGAGGAGTTTCCTGGGATCGAAAACGTCGTCGAGGACAAAGCTGCCCCTGCGTTCATCCAGTCAATCATTAACGCACTACCGCTACGAATAAAAATCGCCTCACTGGTGCGAAGGAGTCTGTTGATCGACTGCATTTCGTAAGCGTTGCAGGATCGGGCAAGTCACATCTTATTGGGGTTCTGATGCTCTTCGCGGTATTTGGAAGTAGTGCATGCTGGAATTGCCAAAATGGAAATTCCGGTCCTTACAGTCTTCCCGTTCCCGCGAACAGAAATGGGCGATGCGATCAAGCACCTCCATTTTATCACGGTATTGGCCGAGAATATAGACATCCTTCTTTTAGATTGCGTCAATCATGCATTCGATCCTCATACAGCATTGCCACACGGGTTGGTCTACCTAGACAAGCCCAACAAACTTAGAATCCTCTTCATCACGAACACCAATGTTGGGATTGGAGCGTTTTTCAGGCGATTGTCACAAACCTTCAGCAGCCAGAGAATGCGGCGTGCAACCGCTGTCATTACACCGGGCATACGCGCGACGCACTATTCCAAAATGTTCCAAGTGCAGTGGCCCGCATGGTGAGCATGCTTGCCGAAAGGAAGTCAAGTACTGCCCTCCAATACGAAAACAAAACTTCCGTGAAGGCGCTCAATCAGTCTGACCCATTTCCTATCCTCGGTGGAGCGAATAGTGATGCCAATCGGGGAGATGATCAAGACGTGGGCACTACCGACCAGGGCAATGCAGAGCCTGATGACTCCAATTGCTAAGGGTAAAAGGTCGGTGGGACGGTGGAATGAATTGTGATATATACTAGAAGGTTTGCCTCAGGGTATCAGAAAAATTGGACGCTGTTAGCATAATGAACTAAACGACTAGGCCACTTTATGATATCTAGATCATACTTCTTAGGTTGTTTATTTTTGTACATTTGCTTTGACAGTACCTACCCGCCATTCAATACCACTTGGCTGGCAAATAACCACAATGAATAAACATGTGTCCTAAGACATGTTCACAGTAGAAATAAATCACAGATCCCTAGTTTCTTCATGGCATATTGGCTCATGTTAATCTCGCGACCTATTGGGGAGTAATATTGGATGTATCGGCTCTACCCCTGGAACGAGTTTTGGCACCGCTGTTGCAGTTAAGTGCATGTCCACGACTCACGTGAAAAGCCCAAGCAGTCCGAGGGTCTAGTCTCTGAGGGCTCAAGCATATCTAGGGAAAGAGATAGTCCGGGTGACAGGAGTTCCCGGGACAGCTGTGACATGTTAGCTTGGGGGTGACCATCCGGGGGGCCTCTTACCTCCCGAAGACTGCCGGTGCAACTCTTCCTTATACCCAGTCTTATTGGCCATTCCAGTGATGTATTGGGCGAAATAGACTTATTCATTACCGCTGGACCGGGCTGGGCTACTGTCCGCAACGTGGGTGTCGGGAATACAGAACCCAGTCCACCGCGTGGCATCAGCTCTCATCTACCAGTGCCCAAGCATGTTGACGTCCATTGCGGCAATACAAAGTCTGGGGTCAAGGTAGATCTACAGCACTTGCAGGAAGTAGACGTCGTCTGACACATCTAACCACACACCCAAAGCTCACAAGAACGGAGCCGTGTCCGCCCCAGATTGAATCGGTCCCTAGTCGGGGATGAGGAGAAACACTTGCGGCCCCGGATGTGGGGTAACCGCATGCGCACTGAGAGGCCTAAACAGCGGTAGCAGTGATCATTAATCTAGCGGGGTAAAGAAGCAAAAACTGGGGTAGCGGACCCGTAGTCTAACTCCAGATGCCGCAATGTTGAAGGGTGCGGATGAATGAGCTTGGGTGATGTCTTGTTGGAATCGGGACTTGCGGCAGGTCCAGGACAATGTCTGAGGATCTCCAATCTCAACAATTGCGGCTCCAGGGTCTTGTGTGGAGCGCATGGCCTGTCATGTTGCTTTATCTAGACTGCGGTTGGGACAAGTACGTAGCGAGATGAGGCTGGGTTGCAAGTTGGAGTTGTCCGCACTCGAATGAGATTGTTGGACATGTAAGATTGTCGTGTTTAGGGGCTAATAAACATGCCGGTTCGAATTTTGAGCAAATTCACTGTCTTTGTTGTACTTTGTGAGTCTGTTGATGATCATCTAGGTTCGGGTACCTTGATCTTGGGGTTAGACTATCTAGCCCCATGATGGATATACCTGAGCTATGACTTTTGCTTGGTCACTAGGCCTAGGTAACATACTTGGAATGGTAGATCATTTTTAGAGTCTACAAGAACCTATGGGGTCATGTATCAACGCATTGATGGTAAAAGAATGAGATGAAGTCTATTGATGATGTCTGTTGTTGGATACCAGCACCAAAATGAGGCACATCATGCCATAACAACAGAAATGATTGGTCAGATGGAATCTGGAATACGAATCGGTCAAGTGCAAATGCTTGACCTTGTGATTGAGCTCTGATGTCGGTTGAGAGTCTAGAGTCGAGAGTCGAGAGTCTGGGGGATGTTCAGAGACTGAAGTCGCTACGGAAGCGGGGTGTGAGTGTGAGTGGGGCCGTCCCCGCCTTTGCCGGCGAGGCGGAGACGGAGACGCAGCGGAGCCGCAATTGCCTTTTGTCTCTCCCCTCTCAGGTAAGGTCTCGAAATAAAAGACAGGGCAGGACAAGACAAGGCAAGTCTGCGGGTCCGCGAAGCCAAAGCCAAAACTAAAGACAACACGAGGCTTTACTCTTTTTTGACTTTCAACATTTGTTCGGTCATAGGGAACGTCACTGGTAGCGGGGAAACTAGACAGAATGAGGAACATGAGCAGAGAATACCCTCACTCCAGACTAGGGTGAACGGCTCTTCCCCAGGAATTTGGAGAGCCGCTCACTTTGCCTGAATGTTAGGTTTGAAGGGCAATAGGTAGTGTTACAGTTAGACGCCCCCCTTAGCAGGGTCATTTCATGCGGGGTCAAAGTCACTGCAGTTCGAGATGTTCGCTATCCTTTACGCCGAAGACGAAGACCCTCTTTCTACTGGTCTCATAGCAACCATTAGCTACTGTAGAAATTAAAATTTTGAATAATATTGGTAATAGCTGTGGAGGCGAAAAGATATCCTTGTTGATGAGTTTTAATGTACGAGAAAGGAAAGTGTGATGTATCTGTTTGACGGTAGACGTGAAGATCTTAATTGCCCCACCAGTGTACAATCTAGACTACATTGTTTGTGCCACCAGAACAACTCTCGAAGTAACTGCCAGGAGAATGGAATCAATCTAGTCCATCAAGGTACTGCGCCGTTTTGTCATTCTCACACGCGGCTGTGGCTTTTCTTGGGGGCGGTCAAAAGCGGTTCCGAAGCAGTGAATCAACATCTCACCCATTCGAATTGCCTGTAATGTAATACCCCATGTTGTTAGTCTAAATTATCGAATGATTTCCCCAGACCGAGCAAGGATTCAACTGCACTGTAGATATCGCTTGGCCATGCAGATGGTTAAGATCCATTACCCTAGACACCATCATGACCACCAAAATGGACAAAAGGAACCTGTAATGATCGCATGTCTACAAGAAATGCGCTAGCGATGGGATTGGTCACCCTTGACCCTGAAGAAGGGTTCGGGATAATAACGTATGGTTCGATCACGATGTGGCTGCGGTTCACTGTAGAATGTCGTTGATTAGAGTTGATCAGCACCGACTGCACTGTAACTGTAACAGGCTACGACTTAAAATGCGGCACTCTGTTTGATACGGCATTATTAGCAAATAGCACCGACTATTTAGTCGTAGTTCAAGGATGAACTGTCCAAGCTTTGGAGACTTGATGTTCCATTGCCGCCCATGCATTATTAGTTTACAGATGGCGGTACGACAGTGAAAGAGCATGTCCCTACCTAGAGTGCCTGGGATTGTCGGCTCCGGGGTTCTGCATGCATCATTGATAGCTTGATTTGTCAGAGATGGTGGTGGTGGTGCTATGCAACCTGCTAATTCAGATGTATTACAGCACTGTTTGTATCTCTCTCTTCAGAAAAGACAAATATTCACAGCACTCGAGTTCCACCAAAAGCTTTGACATGTCGTACTCAAGCTATTTTCTGACGCATGAGTCGAGTAAAGCCTTGACACGTCTCGAAAGGGACCCTTTAAAAGCTCTGACAACTTCAAAATCCGCACTTTTTTACTATTTACTGTTAAGCTTGACCTCTTTAGTAGAGATCCCCTCCTTAAAACTCCATCAACGTGTCTATCCATTGGCCACTGGTGGGTTCCCTGTGGGGTAAGCTTTTCAAGGTCTGGTGACGGGCTTCGGGTCTTTGCTTTCTATCGGCTCTTTTGATTTGTAGATTTACCAGATCTCTTATCCACTTTGGCGGGGGAAAAAGATGGTTGTGGAATCAAAGGGTAGCTACCGGGTTCTATGAACAGAATCAGAAGCTAGATCCGTAAACCAACCAGACAGATAGGTAGATAGGGATAAAGAAAATGCCAGATAACAGTGCCATTTGTTGAAGAAGTGCCAGATTGTTGTTTGCTTTTTGTCGGCATGCATGCTATGTACATATATGTAGTACCGCATCTATATCCCTGTAATGCCCCGCGCTTCAGTTCACTTCTATCTGAGAACAGACAGTTCTGTCCATGTCTATCTCATCATTGGGGTTGTACCGGCTTAGAGGAGACTCTTACCATTGAGCCGTTCCGAACCTATTCACTGTAGATACAGCTCCAAAAGCCGAGACAGTTACGTGACGTTTCGACTACTAACCACATCTGTTGGTGCAGCAGCCGCCATACAATCTTGTTCCACCTCCGCCACTACGGCAGCCCAATAATTACAGTACAATGCTCCGCAAAGGTCCTCTCTTCGGGGGACCCATTCTTTCTTCCGGATGCCGTCCGTCCGCTCACGCCGCTCTACTCTTGTCGCCGCCGCCGCAAATCTGAGCGAACCACTGAGAGGTTAACCGTTCAATTGAATGGACCACAACCCACATGGTCCCCTAGAAAAACAAGCTACAGCTGTACGTACCTCCCTGTACCTTGCTTCGCACTGCAACTAAAAGCACCTTGAGACGTGTGAGGCGAGGCTGTTGCGGGGAAAGTTGGCGTCACTCAACACTAACACCCCCCTCTCCCCTCCACCACCTCCACCGAGGTTCACGTATCACACCCCCCCTTCACAACTGTAGTGCTTTCATTCTCCCACCCAAAAACCGAAAAACCCCGCGTCGTTCTCAAGAATAAATACTCTGCTTTCTGTCGTCGATATTTCCAATTCTCTCCTCCAGATCATCTCTCTCATCCACAACTCTCATCTTCTCTTTCATATAAATCTCCTCACCTTTGATACCCCAATACCCCCCTCTCTTTATATCACATAACATACTATACACAATGGCTCTCACCGTCGAGCTGTCCACTCCTGTTACTGGTACCTACCAGCAGCCCATTGGCCTGTAAGCTACCACCCTGAGTAACCTAAATCAAAATCTCTTGGAAAATACTAACACATATCCTAGCTTCATCGGCGGCAAGTGGGTTGAGGGTGTCGACAAGGGAAAATTTGAAGTTATCAACCCCTCCACCGAGGAGGTCATCACCTCCGTCTGCGAGGGTACCGAAAAGGATATCGACCTGGCTGTCACCGCTGCCCGCAAGGCTTTCGATGGCGAGTGGAAGCAGACTACTCCCCAGGCTCGAGGCAACCTCCTCCTCAAGCTTGCCGACCTCGCCGAGAAGAACCTCGACCTCCTCGCCGCTGTTGAGTCTCTCGACAACGGAAAGTCCATCACCAACGCTCGTGGCGATGTCGGTGCTGTTGTTGGCTGCCTTCGATACTACGGTGGTTGGGCCGACAAGATTGAGGGCAAGACCATCGATATTGCTCCCGAGATGTTCCACTACACCCGATCCGAGCCTGTAAGTTATCATGCATATCGACATGCACTATCCCAATGCTAATCTCATTCATAGATCGGTGTCTGCGGTCAGATTATCCCCTGGAACTTCCCCCTTCTCATGCTGGCATGGAAGATTGGACCTGCTCTGGCCACTGGTAACACTATCGTCATGAAGACTGCTGAGCAGACTCCTCTCTCCGCTCTTGTCTTCACTCAGTTCATCGAGCAGGCTGGTTTCCCTGCCGGTGTCTTCAACCTTGTCTCCGGTTACGGCAAGACTGCCGGTGCCGCCCTCTCCTCTCACATGGACGTTGACAAGATCGCCTTCACTGGTTCCACCGTCATTGGCCGACAGATCATGAAGGCTGCTGCTTCTTCCAACCTCAAGAAGGTCACCCTCGAGCTTGGTGGCAAGTCCCCCAACATCGTCTTCGAGGACGCTGACATCGAGGAGGCCATTAACTGGGTCAACTTCGGTATCTACTACAACCACGGCCAGTGCTGCTGTGCCGGTACCCGTATCTTCGTCCAGGAGTCCATCTACGACAAGTTCCTCGCTGCCTTCAAGAAGCGAGCTGAGGAGAACAAGGTTGGCGACCCCTTCAACGAGGAGACCTTCCAGGGTCCCCAGGTCTCTCAGCTCCAGTACGACCGTATCATGGGCTACATCAAGGCCGGTAAGGACGAGGGCGCCACTGTTGAGACTGGTGGTGAGCGTCTCGGTGACAAGGGTTACTTCATCAAGCCCACCATCTTCTCCAACGTCCGCCCCGACATGAAGATCATGCAGGAGGAGATTTTCGGCCCTGTCTGCGCTATTTCCAAGTTTAAGGACGAGGCTGAGGTCATTGACCTTGCCCACGACACCGCTTACGGTCTCGCTGCCGCTGTTCACACCAAGAACCTCAACACAGCCCTCCGCGTTTCCAACGCTCTCAAGGCCGGCACAGTCTGGGTGAACTGCTATAACATGCTTCACCATCAGGTAAGAATCAGATACCCAACGCTCAGAATAACTACTAATCGATACATAGCTTCCCTTTGGAGGGTACAAAGAGAGCGGAATTGGACGAGAACTCGGCGAGGCAGCCCTCGCCAACTACACACAGAACAAGTCTGTTGCCATCAAGCTGTACTAAACATAGCAAAGCGAATTGTGGGGACTTGGGAAGGAAATATGGGCGGCGTTGTAACTGCATGATCAATCTGTATATGATTCCACTTTAGTTTTACGTATTTGATGAAGAAATGTTAAAGAAATCGTCAAAAACTGTCCGATATCATGATCTGTGAGGTTGGTGTTTTTGTGTTTTGGTCCAGTTACCCGATTAGGAAATGCGCGCACGGGTCATCCCGCCGGGCCACAATAACGAAAAGCTTAATGTCTACACGAAGGAGCAATTGTCATGAATCAATTTGTTTTACTGACTGAAATTAATCTGATGCTGTCTTTCATAGATCACCATGGAGTTGTGTCGCCGCATCACTTTGGCGCCAAGACCAACGGGCGACAATACCCCGATGCCCCCACTCGGTGTAATTACCACCGAGATGTATTCAGCACTAAAGAATAGCAAAGTCGACGAGAATATTGAGGGGCCCCGTTGATTTACATCGCCAGTGATCACCCAACCCTTTGGATTGAAAAGCGCAATTGGGACGAGAGTTACCAGTTCTCCCATGGTAAAGGCTTCATCTATCAACACGAGCTCGAGGTCGAAGTGGGAACGGAACTGGAAGTCCGCGGCAGCAGTTGTTATGGACAAAACAACACCTTCGAACTGGAGCAAATACTGCACGAAGAGTTCTTTGATCCATGCTTTTAAAATGGAGAAGTATTCCTCTTCAAGCTGTTCGCCATGTTGGATCCGTGCCAAAAGTTCGTTCAGGGCCCCAAATCTCTCGGGTTTCTGGCTCAGGTATTCTAGAGCAACACTGCACAGGGATCCGTCGTTGTTGTGGCGATACTTGGCTTCGCGGAGACCATCTCGGGTCTCTTGGGTTTGGATGGAGATGCGCGTAACTGTAGTCTGAGGAATGAACTGGTCCATCAGAGCACTCAGCTCCTGTTCCGCCTCAAGTTTGTCCAACTGGCCATTGGCAGGAATACCTCTATTAGAGGCCGAGCTAATTTCTCTATTCACGGAGTACAGTCTCATGACCTGGAAGTGAGAACTGGTTTCAATTCCGAGGTTGTCAAGTCTCTGCTTGAGGCGATTGTAGAAAGCTTCAAGCCCGACATTGTTGTCCAAGACATACATGAATTCTGCCTTCAAGGACCCTTGCTGGTTGATAGCGTCGACTGTGTCATGGATACCATAGAACATGTAAAGAATCATGAATTCCAGTAGGTAGGGCTTTCCACTCCCAGCGACGCCAGGGATGAAGTGAAGACCGGCGTTCGTGTTACGCATGTTGCATATAGCCATTCTCATGTCAGGGTCCATGTGTTTGAAGATACCGGCAAGGTATTTGAATCCCTTGTTTTCAACGATTCTCATGATTCCAGGAAGCTCGCTGAGGAGGTTGGTAGGTTCGGGAAGGGGAGTGAAGCCCAGAAGGTACCCATACGCTTCGAGGCTTCTTGGGGATGGCGGTGGACTAACGCTTGGAGTATGGTTTAGAGCGTCGATTGCGAGTGACTCTCCTCTGAGTGGCTTTACTGAGAAATCCACCTTCAAGCGGACGATGGTTGCGTTGGTCGTTTGACAGAGATGATCGAAGAAGGCGCGAGTTGTTTCCGAATCCTCGGGCTTGATGAAATCAACTCCAAGACAAGTGGCTATCGGCAATCCCTCGTCGCCGACGTTTGCGCTCTTGTTGATAGGCGCTCTCACTGCGAAAACATGGTACTTGGAGTGGAGGTTAGGGATTTGGAGACCGATGCGCGTCGCACTGAACCAGACCTCTTTGTCATTGGTATTGCCATTGCCTGTGCCTGGCACTGCGAGATCGGGGTGATCTAAGAGCGATTCTATGGTGAGAAGACGCTTTTGGATGAGTTCATATTTTTGGTTGTCATTGTTGTACTCGTCATAGGCAAAAACTATAAGTTCCTTTGTCTCTTGAGCAGTGAGTCCACGCTGGAGATAGTCGCGGGATTCCTCGTTGACAGACGACATAGGGTCCGGATGGCCTTGTGTGTGCAACAAGGCAGTGTACATTGCAGAACAAGCCTCTTCCTGTTGGTTGCCATCCAAGACAACTTCCGCTTTGCCACCCGAATTGCGAGTACTAGTAGAATAGATGGCATCGGGGAAAGACACTTTGCAAGCTTCGCCAATCTGTGGCATCGAACGATGATCTTCGGCAGGATCGTAAATGAGAAGATACTTGAAGCCACGCGTGTGCTTGAGCTGAAAACCAAACATTGAGAATGTTCCATCACTCAGCTGTTCCGCACGTACCCACTGAATGCTGTCATTGTAGTGTGACTAGCACATGCTGTACAACAGATATTGGCCCTGTGCAGCGAATGTATAGAGCCGGAGACCATGCACATCGGAGGGCCATGATGCTGATCCAGGTAAAGGGCAGTGGCCAAGGTTCATTTGGCAGACCTGAGGGGAATGGGCGAAGTATCGGGATAGAGGAGAGGCAGCCCTGTCCTGATCCTTACGGCTGTTGATAAGATTTCGCAGAACAGAAACATGATGAGCAACATGCAGTGTGAACAGCATAGTAATAGTGACAGGGTCGCGAGACTTGAGCATTGTCGCGATGTCAAAGAGTTGGCCAGATAGAGATATAGCCCCGATACTTCGCAGCTTCTGCAGAGTTTGGGGCGATATGCTGACGGCCACACGATTGGCAGTGAGCCGGAGCTCGGCAGCTGTGGTAGTCTTGTCTTGGGCGCCATTGGAGAATCGAGCGACAGCCACGGTTGGATCGGGTATTAAATTGGTCTCGATTTGGTCGAGATGGTAAGCCCAGATCAAGATGTGTCCCACTTCGTCGTTCTCAAGGCCGGGCCCGTGAACTTAAAGGCCGATACGGACAAAGGCATGGTCATTGACAGCAGCATAGCCAGTAATCGAAGTATCTAACGAATTCTTGCCCTGTGATTGATCGATGTACTTGCAGTATTCCACACTTGGTGCGCTGATTGGCGTCTCACCAATACACAGGTACCCGTGAAAGGTTTTGGTCCAAGACCCAGAATCCATGTTCTTGCTAAAAGGATACAAGTTAGCAAATGGGATATGCAATGATAAAGCCCATAAGAGGGCTTACTCCATCTGATTTCAATCGGAGGTGCAAGTGGTGATGGTAAGAGAAGAGGAGAAAGAGAAGAGACAAGAGAAAGAATTCAGAAGTAGAATAAATAAACAATGGCTCCAGGCAGTAGCAGCTGGCAGTCCGGTTCTGCCACCTGCATGGCAGTGCCAACGAGTATTAGGGTGCAAACTGCCACAAAGTAGTAGAGCGACTCCTGAACACAAGTCTAAAGTTTGCACCTTCAAGAAACCCTTTGTGTACTCAAGGTCAATTGTTGCATGAAAGAGGGCCTCTTCTGTGTCTGGATGCAGACAGGTGTGCCTCCACTAAAGGTATTGATTGCCTTCATACATATTTAGTTGGTGAATATGACCAATTTTGCCCCCATTGATTGTCTGCAATAAGCTGGAAACTGCCTTCATGATTAAGACATCCCACAATAAGGTCCCATTCTGAAGACCGTTTTACAACATGGCTTTGATCATAGTGCGGACGATATCACTTGCCCCAGTGTTTGCTTCTTCTAGAATGCTCCTTGTTTTCCCTCTCGAACCAAAGTTTGAAGAGTGTTATCTGAAAGAGATTGGTCAGTTCTAAGCTTGGCAAAACTCGATTCGGAAGATATAGATAGCAAGAGAGGGTAAGTAGACGGAGGGAAATAAGGGGCATTGCAGCGCAAATGACTTACTCAGATGCGCATCATCATGACTGCCGATGTTGAATCCTTTGTAACGAAAGGTCAAATTATTCTTCATGGTGGAGAGATTGATTTGAAAGCATTCGAGCGATATGGAGCCATTTTCACCAGACCACAAAAACAGGGTTTCAGGTCTTTGGGACGACCTTCGGTGACGATTGTGAGAAACACTTGGGTGCCATGCTCAGCCTACTTCTTGATGATATGGTGTGCAGAACAAACGACAACAGCTTTGCTGTGAGGAAAGATGCGGTCCTGTCTGTGTGCGTCATAATTGTTGATAGCCTTGGAATTGCAGCAGTCAGATCTCTGTCCAGTTCAACGAGTTCATGGTTGGCTCCTTTGCCACTCTTATCTTTCCAAGAACGCAAATATCCCTCATTCATAGTTGAGGGTGATACCGAGGAACACATGCGCACCAGCACGGCGGGCTAGGCCATTCGTCTCTGAAGGGGTGTATCTGATCAATTTACCAACTGCAGTATGGGTTTCAAGAAGCCAGCGCTTGCGCAATACAGGATGTTTAAGAGCGTCTAACCTTGATGCCCATCCAGTGAAAACGCCGTCAACAAACCCAGCTGTCGATAGCATCATCAATAAAGGTGGACAAGTCGGCTTCATCGACATGTCTCTATGACATTACCAAAGGGCAAGACTTCTATCTTGTTTTTAAAGACAGTGGTCTTAAACTTAAAGCCGAGTCATCCTTCGAGTCTGGTCTTGCTCCCAACCCCAACAGCCTACACTTTCCCTATGGCAATGAGTAAGTTACTCCATAACATTGAAATTTGAACTCAATGCTGAAGAACCACCCAGCTGGCAGGTGTATGGATGTATTTGGGGGTAATGAGGGATAGATTCCCATCTTTATTCTTTCCAAAGACAGCGAGTCGCCGGTTCTGCTGTTTCAGGAAAGACTCAGACACTGTCGCTTGTCACCCTTCTTTACACGTAACGATTTGGCAAGTCTTATGGCATGGCTGCTACACACTTTGCCACCACCAACCTTGGCCGCCGCACCTACCAACTCGGTGTTATCATATCATCACTAAGAAGCAGCGCAAGGCCAATCCTCAATACAAGCGAACCATCCCTCTCGTAGTTCGTGGCTACGATGGTCGTACAGAAGCAAAGGGTGTTATTCATATCATATCATCAGAAAGGACGAGACTTCATCGTCCGTAACATACAAGCAGCGGCAAACCGACGTCATACGCTGGAACATGTCACTAGCTGAATGGTTTCTCAAGATCGTCCAATTTGCAGACTGGGGCTTACATGAGCTTAATGACCCAGTTCTCTTCAAGCTTCGTGAGGAGGTACAAAATGAAGATGTGTACTCTGAGCTGCGACGCTTCATCACTTTCAAGACCTTCAAACGTCCCACTGAGACCTCTACTGATGTCACTATTAACATCGACCCTCGATACGAGCAGGAGGCCCGGAATGAAGCCATCAAGCAGATTACGGCTATCCAAGAGGGTATTCTCAAGACAGCCGGACTTATCTGTACCACGCCAATCGCCGGAGCCCGAAACCCGTACACGCAGCTTCATAAAACCGCTCGTGCGGTCATGACTGATGAAGCAGGAGCAATGAGTGTAAGTGAAGCTCGATGGTGATCGGCCCATATCTGCGCCCACTGATTATTGCTGGGGACGAGGGGCAGCCTTCACCTACAGTCATGCTCACAACTCGGAAATAAGGCGACAATTTCAGGAACGCCTTCTATCTTTTTTAGTCGAATCTCCATCCTCGGCTACTTCAGGCGAACGAGAATGTCTTATTTTGTTCTGTAGGGGGTGCTGGGGGTATCAGGCAGATTGATATATCTAAGCTTAGACTAAACCCTTAGATTATTTACATTTTGTACCCTAACGGTTGATACTAATGTCGTCTGGACGTGGCCCAGGCATATTTGTAAATTCAATTGTATTTCCCAAATTGATATCCACAATGTAAGAAGTGCCTACTTAGATAAGAAAGGGAAGGAGACAGACTCATTTAGTATCTCTCACGTGTTCTGCTCTGATGCATGTCTCGCATCAAAGCAGGAGCACATGACTTTCCTGTCTCTGATTCGCTAGTCGCTGCTCAAGAAGGAAGGCGTGGCGGGTCATTCCTTCTGTTTCAACATTTAAGCGAGTCGGCATCGACGTTTCAATTTGACAACGGCCGGAGTTGTTTCTCGGCCCCACCATCGGAACGGGACACCGAGTGCTTAAATTTGATTTGGGTGGACAACAAGCCTCTCACGATGTCAACGGTTCTTAATATCTAGCAGAATTAAAAGTAAAATTTAAGTGATTATATGTCATCAGTCGTATTCTAGATGCTAGTTGTGCTTAGATGTGGCAACTGTAAAACACATAAAATCCATTGAAACCTCCAGTACCGGGTGAACTATAAGACTTGAGAGTTTGTTCCTGAATGTGTCTCTTGATGCTATCTCATTCTGTCCCTCCATCAGTCGTCCCGGGCTGACAATGACGAACGGCAATGTGAGATATTGCCCTTATATTATACCCCTGTCAATACGCCCGCACGTCCCACCTCAAATCTGGACGAACTAAGCACACTCCAAGTTAGAATATTGACAAATTAGGTGCTGACACTCAAAAAGGAAAGGCCAAGAGGAATCAGGTTTCTTTATCATGACAACTCTTGCGATAGTTTTGAATATCAGGACGAGTTGTACAATTGACTGATGCCTGTGTTCTGATGGAGGACATCTAGGTTTCTGTGAGACGACCTCCCAGGGTCACCTACAATAGTATAACAAGAAAACTGTGTATTGAATTGACAGTCGAAACTCTTATTGACTATTCGAGATATCTAAACTGCAAAAAGAAGCTAATTGGGCGCCTCAGCTTTAACATATTGTACCTTTTCACTTGGACGTGCATAAACACCAAAGGAAGCATCACGGAGGTTTTGGTAGCTCAACAACGAATTGACCCAACAATACTAGCTTCTCTCTGGCTCCCAACTTTCTATCGATAAACTTTTCGCCTCTCTCCTCCCACAAACATATTGGTAGACACTATACCCGTGATCTGGGCCTGCTAGCAACTCGTAGCGTTGACCCAGACTCAATTCAAGAGTTCGTTTTTCGGTGAGACCAGGGTCATTCATTGGTCAATGGTTTGCAAAAAGAGGGGAATTTTGAGAGATGCAACCAATCAATACCCTGGTTCTCACCGATTTGTTCATGAGGAGTGATGGTGTAAGTGAGCAAGTCCACCATGAGCCTCCTTTGAGGCCGAATTATAACTCTCTGGTGCCAGGACGTGTCTCTGAATCGCTCGAATCTTGCACGCAAGCATCAGGCACATTGGAACTTTTCACCTTATCGTCTTCTGACAAGTATTTGCTGCGTGCTTCAATTCGCCCAGCGCATGAGATCAAGGTTCCACCAAGATACCTCCTCGTGACTTACACCGAATACAGTACATTACATTACATTACATTGCAGTTCTCAAGATGGATAAAGGAGGTGTTTCTGCTTCTTTTTGGCCCAGGGACTTGTCCCAGATAGGTCAAGAAAACGCGCGTGTTTCCACCCTCGAGGGGCTGGAGTACGAGGAGTTCGATACATATTTTGACTACAACAAGCTCTACTCTGATTCCACTCAAACCCAGGAGCACTTAGCAGCTTCTAACCCCCTTCATTCAACCCACCGGGAACCTTCCCCGTTCGCCGTTGACTTTCAATACTTCTTTGATCACCTCTCAATTGGGAGAGACGAGGCCAGGTACTCAAATATGACCCCTGGCCTGAACCTGGACGATGGGATCACCACATCCGAGTCCATGGGTCAGACCCCACCGGGACTCGTCAGAGGTGGTAGTACCTCTCCTTCGTCTCCCTCGTCTCCCTCAGGCTCTCTCTCTTTCGACGGCGTAGACGATGTTCGTCGACGTCCTCGACACAGTCTTCGAGAGGTTCGGGCCCAGGATGATAAATGGACCTACCCTCAGGCCGTCTCCAGCAAGCATGTCCCAAGGGGATATGGGTATCCGCCTCAGGTTCATGTCCGCGAGTCGTCCTCTCGCCGCTCCAGCCACAGCAGCAAGACATACTCCCCTCCTTCATCGACCTCTGGTGTCAAGCGTCAGCGATCTGTGGAGAAGAGGTCCAGGCACCTCTCTGATCCTGACCAGACAGCCGACGTTCGCAAGAGTGGAGCATGCCTTCCCTGCCGTATCTCAAAGACTCGCGTAAGATAACCACCCAATGCCTATACAAGGTTGTTGTCCCTCTGAAGCATAAACTGAGCCAATCCAGTGTCAAGACTGTGGCGTCTGTCCCTTTTGCCGTAAGGCGTTCCCAGACGACGCACACCTTGTCTGTACCCGTAGGACCCCTGCGGTTGCTCCGCCTGTGATTCGTCACATAGCCGGTATGTCGAACAACCCCCCTGGTTCCCCAATATCCCATGTGAGACATGTACACTGAGACATATCGCTTCCAGATGTTTGGTCCCCCGACCCTGCCGAGGAGAGGCGTGTGGTCGACAACGAGCCTCGTTTTCCCACCGCCAAGCCCAAAGACATCCTCATCTACTTTGCTCGCGATGCAGAGTCTCCTTACCTTCGTGCCTCTGTCCAGGCCTATCATTCCAAGTACGGTGTTGATGAGAGCCCAAGGAACGCTGCTTTCGAACGCGACAGATTCCCCAGCTATGCAGAGCTCCAGCGTTGGGTCGAGGCCCAAATCAGGCGCGAACGTAGCTCCAGATTCGAACATGCAGTGCAAAACTTTTTGCTCTCATATTACGAAGAGGGCCAGGGACTTCCAAAGGTAAAACTCGCAACCCATCCTTACTCGCCCTTACAGTGTGCAGTATGACTAACATGCGGGTAGCACAACCTCGTCTCCAAAGTTCACACTATGAACTGCTTCTTCAGGATCTGGAAAGCTCCACGCTTCACCTGCTGCAGCTCGTCCAATAAGATTTCTCAGGTTCCCTTCACTGTCCAGGCTGAGTTGAGACGCATTGCATGGAGCGCACTTGTGTCCCACGAGCATGACATCCTCAAGCTACTTGAGGATGTTTTGGCTCAACAAGATTCGCTCAAAGCTCAAGAGAAGATGGCAGTATGGGCAAGCTTATGGCAACTCATGTTGATGTACAGAGACTTGATCGTTGCTCACGATGGATATTTCTCTCGAAACCCCAGTGCTAAGCAAGATCAAAATACCGGTAAGGCATTCCGAAACATTGTTCCAGCCTTGTTACTAACGAATGTCAGTTGGCGCCTTTGAGAACCTGCACAACAACTTCTTCCCTTTGATTGCTATGTTTTACCATTGCCAATTCAAGACTCCCAAGAGGATGGAAATGTCTATGGATTGGCTCAAGGACTACCCTTCTCATGCACGACACAGCTCCAAGCTCCGACAGGTCTCCCAGGATATGATGGATGCTAAGAGGGAATTCTGTAAGTATACGCTACCTCGTTCACGCTGGATACACTGCTGACTTACTGCCAGATGAGAGAGTTCAGCGATCGACGCACAAGGTCGATGAGCGACTATGCACCTTCGTGGTCAACCACGAAATGAAGAAGATTTCGACAAAGAGACGCCCTCGAAGTAGCACCAAGAACAAGGGCGCATGATGTTGCCAAGTCATCGCAACCATCACGTCCAGTCATTACAGGAAAGTGATTTGCACAACAGAAAATGAGAAATCAGTAAAAAAAACATATGGAAAAGCAACAAAACAAAACAAAAAAGGGTTTAAATAGTCTGTTTTTTTTTATGATGATAACGAACACAACGACGTTCGCTGTAATAGGAATGCCGGATCTGGATCAAAGCAAAAGCATGGATGTATTTGGGAGCGCATCATGACAGCAGGCTCACTTGGGCAGTGATCTTGAATCTTGGCTTCTTTCCCCCGTTCTTTTTAGCTGTTTTCTCCACTCTATCAGCGAGGTCTTCTAGACTGACACCTGCTATGTTGGCGGAGGCGACTCCGATCGTTAATACGATTCTGTCTTTCTTGTCATCTGCTTTCTTGAGATGTGCTCGTATGCTGTATGACTGTTAGGTAATATGATCTTGGTGGGACAATAGCAGGTGAACACTTACCTGATGGCATTCTTGACCTCATCTGCAGTCCTCGGGGCGATCGGTAGAACCATTGCCAGAAGCCCAGCTATAGCACCAACGTATGAAGCCCAGAAAGAGGCGTCATCATGCTGGCTCGCGAGAAGTGCACAGAGGCTTTGGTGAAGTTGAGAGTCTGGGCCGTTCAGGTGACCACCCCATCTAGCCGAGGTTGAAATCGCCAAAAGGGCTCTTCCAGTGTGTGAGAGGCCGGGAGCTTCGGCGTCTCGGGTGACTGCATGATGCAGTGCGAATGATGAGTTAATATCCGTGTCATGCCCCTGGCGAGTCCAAATATCTCGTGCAAAAAGAACATCCAAGCCAGGGATTAGAACATTTGGCACAGCAGAGAGGTCTGCCCTTTGAGGTATTGCGTCTTTCAGCGTCTTCACTACGGTTTCGAACACAGGCTTCTCTTCCATCGTAACACTGGAAAGAACATTGAGGGGGTTGGACTCTCGCACTGCGACAGGAAGCTTCATCATAAGAGCACCCTGTCGGTTCGAGCCACCGCAGAATGTGACGTTTCCAATATTGGGCACTGTGGCAAGTAAAGCCTCAATGACAGTAGCAATTGCGGGAAACTGCTGACGGCGGCGCTTTGAAAGTCCGAATATGCGATCGTCATTTTCTTCATTGATGCGACGCATGTGTCTCACTTGACAGAACAGGGTCCCTGGAGCCGTATAACCATTAGTAAAAGGAATTGGATAGGGGCTCACTGGATCTTGGTGCATAAGCATGCTGCCATAACCGCGAAAGCCACCGCCACACATGTAAACGTTCACACGGGAGCCCTTGCCGTGAGAGGCTTTGATGGCTTCAAGCGCAGGGAACCGGGAGCATAGATTTGCGTATGCCTGTTGCATACCGACCTGGAGCTTGGAGATCTCAGAGGCTTGGACATCGGCTGGTTGCTCGTGCAGCACACGGATCAATCTTGCAGCTCCAAACGGCAGACTCACACCAGCCCGGGCGGCGTCGATCTCGTAGTTGGGCTTGCTGGTATCAACCCACGTCATCTGCACGCTGCCGCCCCCGAGATCCAGGAACAGTGCGCCACCTTCAACGCCGACGAGACCGCTTCGTGAGCCCATGACAGCACCAAAAAGGGTTTCTACAGCGGGCTCCAGGATGCTCACTTTAAGACCATTAGTTACAGAAGCGATAGTATCAAGCATTTCGGCCGCATTGTCAGCACGACGCATGGCCTCTGTGGCTAGGATGGTAATATGCCTTGCGGGTACTCCATGCCGCACAGCAAGCTGATGGAAACGCTCCAGGGTCTCGGAGACAGCAGTGATAGTTTCAGGCAGAAACACTAGACCTCTTGAGGTGGCCTTGAGTGCATCAAACAGTGAGATAGCAGCTCGAGTTGCATAGATTGGGCGAAGAAGACGTGTAAATGGGGGCGCCAAAGAGGTGATTGAGAATCGAATGCCATTGCTGGAGAACAATTAGATAATGAAGCGCAGCATTTCGGTTTTTGTGTGAAGGTATATATACCTTCCCATATCAACTATGGCATATAGTTGGCTTTCACCTTGAGGGTTCCATGGCGTAAGAGTCTGCGACAGATTGTCGAGAGTGACAATGTCGGGCGCATTTGAGGCCATGGCCAGTCTTTGCAGTGAGGTAGTTTGATGCTTGGGGACAGAAGATGAAGCACGTCTGTAGTATATGAGGAGCCTGCAGCATAGATGATGCAGCATGCGTGTGCTGTGTAAGTTACTCTCTACTTGAGAATGAATCCAATAGGTGAGTTAACTTATTAAGGTAAGTTTGGTTGGGCTGGCAGAAGAAGCTTGGCGGTATCCTCATGACTGCGGGGTTTAGTATTATCGGGTCCCGTCTCCACTCCCCGTGACGGCGCCGTATTACCCGGGACAGTTACTATTCTTGTCTCGAATTGATAGCAGTAACCGTAGAAGCTCAGGAGTACAATTATTCTTGGCTCAGTGATACGGCTGAATATGATTGCTTCCCAACGTGCTACAATACTGATACATCTAATGATACAACACCTGTATTTGATAGAATAGCCTGAGGCATCTTGTTGATCATTGTTTACATTGGAGGTAACTACTTTGCATTCATAATTCAGTGACGAAATTCATGCTATAATCTAATGAAATTGTGATACGTGACGAGCCCATATAATCTATGCCGTCAAGATACAGATAAGAGCTCAGTGGAATCAAGAGGTAGTAAAGAGCCCTCGTAGATGATACAATTTCTTCTGCAGGTTTTCTAGTCATCTCATGAACCGCTCAGTACAGTCAGTTGCTGGTGGTCTGTCTAGTGATGTACTGACTTACCGTTGTATGAGATATGAAGAAAAAAGGCTACGACAGAAACTACAACATTGACGGCAAACAATAGGATAAGATAGGACTGATCAATATAACCTAAATAGTACTAGCGTTCTGTACAAAACCGTTGTCGTCCCTTACACTGGAAGCGGGTAGGCATCTTCATGCGATACATGGCATACTCAATTGGGCTTATTGTGGCACGTCAGATCTACCTAATTTCTGTATGGCCAAGTAGTTTATCGGCATTCACTTCTCTTGAGTGTGATGTGTTTCGTAGGTCCGACCGGAAATGACATCAGCATCAGTTAGGTTGTTCATGGAATATTGGCAGCTCAAGTCATCCCAGTATCTAAGCTTATCTTTTTGGGGCGATGCGGTCATACAGTATCAGAGCTTAGCTATACCACTATAGTAGGGTAGGAACGATGAAATCAGCACATAGGCAGTTAGCGAAAACACAGTGTTCCATCCACTTCCTTTCTAGGCCGAATCTTTAACACACTCTGACTTTTGATTCGATAAGTCTTTGTGAGGAGTATTGGAAGAGCAGCCACCCTAGAGCCTGGACACACAATGCAGTTCACCCATTCCTATTAAACTGGATAAAATCCCCATGCTTTGGCAGACGACATGCATACCTGCTGCATATCTAAACCAATTACGGGACAGGATACCTACATAGTCACTGTACATCATGCGTGTTCTCGTCTTGATTCTCTGGGAAAGTAGTACAGGACTGAGATAGATTGAATGGTATGATTCCAGCATATGAAACCTTTCCATAACTGACAAGAAGAGACCTTTTCTGATTGGTCCAGTCATTATGACGCGTTGAACGCGATTTGTTTTTCGCGTCTGTCTACCAGCCACCTTCCTTGTTTTTTTATTTATTTTCTAAATGTTAGTTTTAGGTAGGAGGTACCTAGCTTCTTTCCAAGGTTTCCACCGAGAGGCCCAAAACATGGTTCTGGGAAGGAGCTACCCAGCTGAATGAAGGTGAGGCCAGTCTACACCTTTTTAACGTGGAACATAGAACCGGAAGTCACAATGGGGTTGTGGGTTTATTTCCATGGATGTTTTGAGTTGTTTACATGTACATGCCCTCTAGCGATAGCGTGCTCTGTACAGTAGCGTCATGCTGACCCAGTCCTCCAATCATTGTTTGCCCCTCATTCACTCGTGTCACTCCAACTTACTTTATTGACTATTTTCTACATAAAGAGTATTCAAACAAATAACAAACCAGAACCAACCCCCATTCCAGGATCAACAAAATGCATGCGAGTGCGGGCAGGCGTCCGGTTGTGCTATGCTATACCTCTCCCTTGCGCTACACTATGCTACTCTTGCTCTAGGTTCTCTTCTCTGTGCTGTCTCTCATTCTTGCCGCCGGCCTGCAGCTTCGACCCGGGGCTTCGACAGGGGTCGAAACGTGCTGGCTTTGAATCTTGTGCGAGCTGTCTCCTCGTTGGAGCGTCACATCATGCTGCTATCTTTTAGCTCTCGAAGCATACACCCCCTCGTCTTTCGCTCCCATCCAAGCATTCATCGTCGACTTTCTCTTTGCAGATGCACACGCTGGCCACAATAAGTGGTGCCCAACTTCAGCTTTTAGCCAACGGGGAGCTTGGAAAGTCTGGGTTATTTGTGTCTCACCAAAAGGCTCGGTTTTTTTTTTAATATCATAACAAACAAACATGACTTGGAGCGCGTTTCGACAAACGTCGGTTCCATGCTCGTCATCAATCAATACCATACTCTGTCCTTTGAAGAATCCAATATCAATTTCAATTCTTTCAAACGAGACAAATTTTCATTGCCTCTGATTGTTCCATGTGTGACAGATACTCGGCTATTATTCACGTTTGTCGACCTATCTGCAACCTCTCCCATCACACCCAAGAGGCTAGCCATACGCCGCATCTCTATGCGAGGTCCCGAGCAAGTCTCAGTCAATACTGGACCAAAGGCCGGCCGCCTGGAGCAGACCGCCCTGACCCAGAGCAAAGGAAATATACTTGAATACCAAACGCACCTAGCCACTGCTCATCATTCACAAAAAGCCTACGACAATTAATGGGGAAGATCCCTCCAAGCAAACGAGCACCACAACTTACAATACTGCGCACAGCACGTTTTTTTCCTGCCTACGTACCTACAATAGTGAGGTACGCAGGGTCTCAGTCGGTTGTTCTCTTGTGCCATTCCATCACATGGTCTCGATCACCTTAGGATCATCAATCCCCTTCTAAAGACCTATCACAGTTATTTCTTTGGCCAGGGTCCCTGCTCATTATCGCACAACGTGCCCTCGTTGCCCACTGACCGCTGCTTGACCTATTCCTTGTCACAGAGGCTGCCGGGGTTGATTTAGACAAGGGCTTCGCACTAGCACGTCGCTTGTTGGGGTTTACTACGCTGCTAAAGTGCTCACCATCGTCAAGGGATTTACCTAGTGGACCTTGAGAAGCTCGTGAGAACCGTACAGGTCAAGACACGATCAAAATACAGCACAGCGTGTCGGATAGCATTACGTTACATCGTGGCCTACTCTGGTACGAGTCCCGCAACTTTGTTCCCTGCTTCGACCTTGCTGAGGCAGCGTTGAAGAAACACGACAACCTCGAAGCCAGTCGGCATCCAGCGAACAAGCATCTGTACAGCTGGACTGCCAGGTACTGTACCTACCTCGACTGCAGCGTTCGCGCCACCCGCTGTTCGCTGTCGACCCACATCCATGATCTTGACCAGTGTCCTTGTCACATTTCTCTGCCCTGGCTGAGACTAGACACCAAACGGAAGAGACGTACTGGACCTAGCGAGCCGCCCGTCCATTCCCAGCTGCCCTGCTCCCCACTCACCTCCCGGTTGAGCAACTTGGCTTGCCCGTTCATACATAGCGCACACTCCCGCCCACCACACCCACGTTAACTTGGTCGCTTCTCCCTCCTCCTCCTCACCTTTACCTTTCCCCATTACAGTCGCTCGTTTGCGCCCAATCCACCCTTCGCCTTTTTGTGGTTATTGTGCTTTGCGCCGTCTGTCGGTCGCGCAAGCTCAGCCTGCTCGCTACTTGTCCATTCGAATATTATCAATTGCGAAAGCGCGTCGAACGAGACCTTGCCCGCTGTTATTGGTTTGCGATCGAAAGTCCACAAATCCCGCGGTGGTGATAACAACAACAAAACGGCCAATACTTCGCAGATGACGAAAACAATTTTGACGACGACTCTCAACCGATAGTCATTTTTCTTGACCACTTATCTGCATTCTGCATACCGAGCTCAGCACGCACTTGGATCTTTGCCGAATTTCCTTGCCTGCGCACAATCCCCGCGATAGTATCGCTAGGCGCACAAAACAAACAGTCAAATCGCACATCGTCGCGCTTGCGCACTTGGCCTGACTCTGAACTCCGCGATAGTCAAACTTACCGATCGAAGTCGCCCATAACTCTTATCGAGGATTTTCCACTAAACGCCTCTCGACTTTCATATTACGCCCCGACCAGATCTAAGACACTACTGTCGCATTCCGAAACATCTGTGTCGACTCATTTTGCGCTCGACTCGCTCCCGGTTTCCGAGTCTTTTATCTTCCACGAGTATTTATACTGGGACCTCAGACTATACGCGACTTGAAAGCGCATTCACGTTTGTTGTGATTCGCCATGTCGCACATTCAATCGCTAGCGGCCCCTTGGTCGAGAAGCGCACGTCGCGAAGATATTCCCAGAACACCAGAGCCTAATTTGAATAGCGAAACTCTCCCACCATCGCCACCCCGCCCCCGTTTTCGAATCAAGAGGAGAAACGCATCAAACCTTAATGCGCCAACTGAGCAGTTTCTCGCGTCAGTCGCTGCCGCAGACATCCCTATTCCCAGCATCGAGGAGCCTCGCGTACTTGATGAAGAGATGACAGAAACACTTTACCCTATTTCGCACTTGAACGAGTTGACGGGGATGCCTTTTACACCACATGATGCCCCCGATCGCATGTTTTCGCCCCCCAAAACTCCTGCTCCCAATGCCTTGCCGACTCTGTCCCCAAAGCAGTACCCAAACTGGTCCATCGACTCTACTCTTAGTAGCCTCGACTCCAGTCCTGATTATGAGTCCAGCCGGCCGTCAACTGCTCATTCGACCCACACAAGCGCTTCTTTGTTAAGCTACTTTTCTATCAGCTCAGAAGATTTGAGCCAGTATGCCAGCCCGGAAAACGAGAAGGCCGATATCCCAGATGACGTATCAACTGCCGACGACAACAGTAAAACCTTGAAGCCAGCCAAGAAGGAGGTCTCAAGAGAAACAATACGAAGAGCGCCCTGGACGAAGTCTATGAACCAGCACTTGTGGTCTACATATATGATGTATCTGCAAGATCCGAAAGTCACACCTTTCCGTATTGGCAAGAGCGGTATTCCTCCTCATGGAGTTTGCCTACGCGTTGCTCGCGAGTCAAGAAGGAGCTGGAAAGGATCCAAGGCTCAGGGAAAAGTTGACATCGGAAGTGGCAGCATTACTCCCACACAAGGAGCTGCCGGTCCGTACGTTCAGTGGCCGCACACCTGCGCAGCTACCCGAGCCCAACTTCGAGAACTTTGCAAGATGGATGCCAGGTCTAAGACGCGAGGCTCCCAGTACAAAGCACCTAGCCCAGCCCCATTTAAGAAATCTGCGGTTCGCTATCGGAACCGTCGTACTGTACCGGCGCGCTCCCCATCCGTCTTCTCTGGTCAAGATATGGCCATCTCGTTGGCAGTTAGCACATCGGACTCTATGCAATTACATGGCCCTCTAGCCCAATTGACCAACTCGAAATCTGAACCTCGAAACGATGAACTTTCATTGCCACCACCAAACAATGAGACATTGGAGCCGCCAGAGTTGGCTCGCCCTCAACTGGCGTCTCCTTTTGGAGCTCGAAGCTATGGGCCTAGCTCATCAAGCTCGCTACCCTCAAGTTTTGTTGTGGATTCAAAGCTACAGAGACAAACTCACACTGGCGGCCCGCGCCGTGGCTTGATGTCACCGGTCCGACTTACACGAAGCCGATCAACCCACAAGCGTCGACCCAACCATTTGGAGACCCGGAAGATTAAGCGACCCAGTCTCGGTTCCGACCTGTGGGTTGACCCGGCCTCGCTTATCGATCTGTCAGCCACTCAGGATCAATTTACGCCTCAAACTGAGCCTGAGATCAACGCTGACGTCGTTGTCCCACGCAAGAACCTTCAGCAGCTATTCGAAGCTTCACAACACCCACCTGCTGAACAGCAGACACTAGCACCCCCAATCACAGAGATGCCCCCTCGACTAGGCTCCCCTTTCGCGCTTGGAGGATCTAGCTTTTCTTTCCCGAACCGCCTGTCGCATGGGACCGTGCCTGATCCCGATGCTAATCGCCGGCCCTTTGCTACAGTTCAACAATCGAGCGAAAGCAACACTGGGGTTACCCGCGCTTCGTTAGCAAGCCGACTGGCCTACATTGACGAAAGGCTTAAGGATTTCCGCCGTCGAGATAAACCACGCCGACGATCCGAGTCACCACTCTAACCCCGCACAGCCGATTCCCCCCTTGTACATTTGCCAGCCTTTATGTCGCTTGACGAGTTTTATGAGTCCACGGACACACACTGCACTTTTTGGTCGAATCCTATGATGGGACCACGACCCATTGTTTACATGATGCATCTAGACGGCAGTTGTCTATCTGGCGATAGTGTTTATCTCCATGATCCTCTCCGACTTTTACGCTTTGCTTTACTTTTCTTATAAGTGGGAAACACCCACATTTGCTCGATCGCGTTTGCTCATACGCGTTTCGACTCGACACTCACTCGACAACAAATATGTCAATTTTCTTTCGATCCTATCTTTTGATGAGAGAAAGGGTTTTCCTTTCTCTTTTTTCTTTGTCAATAACTCATGATGATATGATGGAACGAACAGCACGCAGGCTAAACAGAGCCTTACGTTTGCCGTGTTTTTACTTTTGGAGTTGAGTGATGAGAGACATGATGTACTAGCTTGCGAGCTGGACCATGGTGAGGTACCAGCTCGGACGAATGGCATGATGGAACTTAATATCCATAGAACGAGCAATGATCTGAATGATAAAAAACAAATTTTATAAAATCGAGTCCGTTCTACGTAAATTACTTTCACATTCTAGTTGGTACTAGAAAGTTGGCTTCTAAACCAGGGTACAAAATGAACAGCCTAAGAAGTCGTCTAAGTAGCATAAAGTCTGAACTAAGAACAATAGCTTAAACTGACCTACTAATTTCGCCTCCTGTACTTCCAGCGGGCGAATTTTCTGATACACTGAGGATATTGTACATGCACGCGATGTGTGCAAGATGAGGTTTATGTAAAAGAGTCCATGGTCTTTGATTGTGTATCTTGACAGGTTTACTCTTTGTAATGTACATTAAATACTAATTTACAGAGAATATTATCATGTTATGAGACTCGCTTGTCTGTCAGCTCTCTCCGGGAGAACCAAGTAATTTGTAGATAGGGAAAGAAAATATGTAGGAAAACCGGTAGAACAACCAGTATCGTCGACTGACGAAGGCCCATGTCACGGACATGAGGCGTTTATGTTAAAAGGGCCCTGAACCTCCCAACGCCAAGCGTCATTGATGTGCTCAACAGGAAAGGGATGTTGATCTGAGCTCTCCACTGTGTTTTGTTTCAGGGGAGATACTCAGACACCATTCCTGGAGTCACACTCGGCATGTTTTATACCGACAGGGTGATGATGATGATGATGATGATGATGATGATGATGATCCAAGTTGATCAAAGGTCACCACCGCCCCCTTGTCGGATTGACCTTTCAGTTGCTGTTTTTGGAGAAATTCGTTCTCCCTTCATGTTTTAAGCGTACTTGAGATCGACCTCACATGCTTGATCGCCTTCGAAATTTCGTCATCATCGTCCTCTTCGATATCCGAGTCTGCTGGCCCGGAGAAGAGCGGCCTGGGGACAACGTCACGATACTTCCGGTTGGGAGCAGATAATCCGTTAGACTCTGGACTTCGCTCTTTGGATTGCCGACGAACACGGTAGTGTTTTGTTGAGCCAGACTCATGAGGGCATCGGCGCTCGCCGACACTTGAGCGATGTGAGTGAAAGGAGCATTGGCGGAAACCAAAGGCACGCTCATCATTACGAAGGCGGTTGGCTGGAATGCGCAGTTGTGGGTTCTTGAAGCGAATGTCGAGCCCGGAAAGTCGCATCTTCTCCATATGGATATCGTAGTCAGTAGCAAATTCTGGGAGCTGTTCAAGCAGATCACTGAATCGAGTGGGTTCTGATGTTGCAGATTCTTCTTGAGGGTCAAATGTCAGACGCGGTCCGCCAGTGAAAGAGAATGCAACCATGGCAACAGCCCATCGCCGAAGTCGAATAGCGGCAAGGTCTTCGCATTCGGTATAAAGGAATCTGATGAGTCCCGAGGGAACATCCCAGTCGCAGCGGAGGTAGAGATCCTGGATGGCGTCCATGGCAAGGTCTTGAAGGCGGTAGAGACCAAGGCGAGATGCAAAGAGATGTAGCCGAATCAGACACCAATGGATATCCTGACAGGCCTCAGAGCCTGCATCATGAGCATTTGAGATCATCTCCTCGAGGTGTGGACGAAAGCGGAGGCCGAGGTGAACCCAATCGACAAAGAGGCTGAACATGGAAGATGATTCGCGGGGAAGCCATAGTGAGATAGATTTTGAACTTGATGGGTCTCCGAAGCGCTCGGCAAAGAATGGCGAGGTAGCGCAAATCAACCGCTTGTTGACCTTGAAGCGGTGTTGCTTAGGGCCAATCAGCAATATTGCCATTGGCTCTGATGGAGGTTGTGAATGCGCAGGCGATGGCATTGGCGAAGAGATAGTTGACTTTTGCGATGAACTGAGATTTAGACGGCTATGGCTGTCTATGAAACGGCCAAAGCTGGAGGGACTGAAGAGAGGAGCCATGATCGTCGCAGACGTTCCTGGGCAGTGTTGATAATAGGGTATAAGAGTTTCAGTAGAGGACGAGACCCAAGAAGAAACAAAAACAGAAAGAGAAAGAGGGTGTTGAGGGAGTAGAAACAAATATAAAACTAAACCAGACTATGCGCGGAAAGAGAGGTGCTGGGCCGGCCAGTTGTGAGCAAAACAAACCAAGAGGAGAAGTTGAAACTGAAGAGCCGTCAGCTGGAGTGGCTCATGGGAGGATTATCAACCCGTCTGGGGAGAAGAGAAAGACGTTCTCTGACAGTTCTCGCTTGAGCCCCTGGCAGAAAGCGCAAGGATGTCAAAAGTCGGCCAATGATAGCGCCACCAGCAGCACCAAAGTTGGCTGTTAGCGAGTTTCAAGGCGATCATTTGGGCACGTCCTAGCCTTGTAGCTTCTAGCGTTCCAGGCCTCCTGGTGGCGATAGCTCAAAGACCCTTGGCCCAGTTTCAAAAGGTTGGATCCAAAACGGGCCCCTCCCCTGGTTGCGGATAATCCATCCACTCAGAATGAAGGCCCTTGCATCACCATCGACGCTTGTCACACTTGCGCACAGACCGCATCTGCATCTGCGCAGCGCTTCCGGCCGTCATAGGTCGGAGTTCCTGACCTCCGCACCCGCTTAGGCGCCTGGCTAGCCAGTTGAATGACGAGATAGGGATGAGAAGGGAAAGACTCCTGAAGGAGGCGAACGTGGATCGACTTTTGTTTGCTTGCGGTAACCTCGCGTGGCCATCTGCTAACCCTATCTTGTTCCTGCGTCGAATCGTATCGGACAATCGGAAGTCTTGGCCTTGCTCGACAAGGTTGAACCGGAAATTCTTTGAGAAGCGCGCCCCACGAAAGGGTCAATGGCCGACATAGGAGGAAATGAGGATCCATGAGATGCGCTGGTTATCATGAGTAAGGTGATACAGCACCGTCACGATACGAGAACAACCAGATTTAGAACAAAGACGAGATGTAAAAATAAGAACATTATATCATTTGTTTCTAAAAAGAAACCCTTCTTTGCTTCTTTGACTGTTTCGAACAAGGCTTTTGTTACCGTAGAGTATGAACGGTTCAAGAAGGCCATACTGGAAAAACCTCCACTAAACATACCCTTGTCGTTCTCTTTACACCAGACCGGAACAGGGAGTCTCCTCCTTCCCGCTCACGTTTTTATTTTTATTTTTACAAAAGGCAGGTGAGTTAGTTTATTAGTTGGCGGTTGCAGATGGCACGAGCTTGAAGCCTATTATGTCTACCTCTTCCTCCCAACTAAAACACCAATCGCATGTTGAGATGTTGATACTTAAACCTTAAGATGATATCATGACTGCAAACAGATATTTGGATGTTCATGGGCCCATATACAAATACTCTACGGTTAATGTGTACCTATTCTATCAGTTATCTATCGACCATGAAACAGTTATGGTCTTAACATGGCCGAGCGGCAGGAAACTTTGATAAATCAAACGCCTTTAATTTTCCACGCCATGTGGCACTACCCTCATGTTTCAACATTCGTCACGCGTTGAAGACCTTGGAAAATGATTACGCCTGTTATGTTGATGTGATACTCATTGAGTCCAAGCTAACGCCCCATCTACCTTGGTGCTGAGATGCGCCGTGAGATGAATGCACCCGAAGCTGTCGGGTGATGAACTGCGATGATTTCAAGTGAGTATGTTGAGCTGGGCCCGGATCAAACTCCAAAAACCTAGTTTTCACGGCAGCACCTCTGCTTCAAACCGTTTCACTTTTCTTATCTTGCCCCGTTGATTTTCCCATCAATAGCCAGGTTCCAATCGACCTGCTTCTTGTTTACCGATCCCCATCAACACCTTAATTTAACTCCTTTTCCCCATGCATGCTCCAAACCTGGTGCCTTGATGCTTCCATGCTTCAATATACGGGGTATCAAATCAAGCAAACCCAAACGCCGTTCCCATGCTTATTAATTCGCGAGATTAGTCAAGAGTGGCTGGAATATCACCATCGTCGTCGCTGTCACTGTCGCTGTCTGAATCAGAGTCGTCATCGTCAAGTGACATGGGATCGTCGTGAGTCCCTCTCACAGCTGCCCCAGCCCGGTTTGAAGGCCAGGATGGTCTGGGAGCAGATGACTTCTGGGGCGTGTACCGTGGCTGGGGCGGATACAGATGCGCTGTAGGATCAGTAAGCTCTGCAGTCGCTTGTGATCCAGATAAACCACCACCCATCTCCGCCCTGGAGACTCTCTTCTGTGGGCGCTCTTGGTTGCCATTTGTTCCAATTGCTGATGGGGCCGCTTCCATATCATCGGTCCGAGGCCTTTTCTTCGGATGAGATTCGCGGTCAACAACAGGAGTTCCATTTGTCGGCGTTCCCCCGCCTCTTGGACTGTGGAAAAGTCTGGCCTCCTCGGCCTCGATCTCGTCTCGAGTGCGTCTTTCGCGCAGACGAATGCCAAACTTCTTACGGGTCGTGCTTTGTTTTGTGTTGTAAGAATTCTTCAGGCTCGCCAGGCGCTTTTGTCTCTCCGGTTCGGCGAGATGCTGCGCCTCCCTCATGAGGCCTCCGTATTTCTCTTCAGCATCCTTCATGATGGCGCTGAATTCTCTGTGCTGGTCGGGTGTAAGATGCGCATACGGATCGCGCTGAGGAGTGCTGGATGACTGAGTTGGCGTGGCCAAAGCTGCATGATGCACAGTTGATGGTGCTTTTGCTTGAGCTCGAGGAGTCATCAATGAATGAGCAGCACGGTAATGTGTCTTTTTTCCATGTGTACGGAAGTACTCAATTAGATTGAGCATTTTCTGGCGAATCTCTTGATTATGCTCTCCACAGACCTCAGACTTCTCGTGGTACAGTAACCCGCCGCTGCTGCCGAACCTGCACCCACAAAGGAGGCATATGTCTCTTCCCGCCTGGTCGGTCGGACGAATCTTGTAGCAAGCGCCCTTCTTCTTATGCTATCTCTTGTTAGAAAGAAAATCACGAATCTGTCTAGACGAACTTACGTAACTAAGGGCCGTCGAGGAGGCACACGGCCAGCCACAATTGCACCACACGAGTTCCTTCGGACCCATAGGAAGGTCGGAAGGCGACGAAACCTTTGCGGGTGGTGCTCGGGTGGGAGGGTGTGCCATCGGCGGCTGAGGCTGAGGCTGAGGCTGCTGTAGCTGCTGTGAAGGAATGACTCGAGGCTGGTAGTGCCGCACATGCAATGTTTCATTTGCGGGAGGCATTGTAGATGGCGTGAGTACCGAGTCCATAGATGTAATAACTTGCTCATCATGCTCCCGGACAATGTCCCGGAGATTGTAGCCTAGACGCTCAGCGCGCGCCAAGGCGTTAACAAGCTGCCGTGCTGATATTGTCTCAAGGCGCCTAGCAAGAATTCTGTCGAGGAACTGCGGACCGGCACGAGCAAGAATCGAGTCCGCCAACTCGTCAACGTCAGAAGGGCTGAGATGGCCCACAAGCTCGTGCTTTGCTTTCTGAACAAGATTAGCACCAAAATCCTCGACAGCCTTGCCAATGGTCTCAGAAGATGCTTGGTGCATGGTTGCATTCAGCTGACAGGGATGGTTAGTAACGTGAAGACATGAGGTAAAGAGTCAACTTACCAAAAAAGCAATATGGTACTGAGAACCCATAATGGACTTTTCCCATCTGTCACGAATGGCTTGTCGAACGACTGTCGCAGGTACCCTGTCAACCAAAGCAATCAAGGCCTGGTAGTCATTCAAGAATTCCTTAGTAGGCTGATTGCGCTGTGCTTCTGGTGACAAGTGTGCCCGCAACGGAGTTTGTGCATCATTTCCATTCTGCATTGCGTGCGGTTGCGAAGGTCTCTGATACGATGTGCCAGGCTGCATGGGTGATGAACGGTGCTGTCCAGGTGGCATGGAAGAACGCGATTGTGCTTGCGAAGCACTGGGTGCTTGCCTCTGGGTCGTTGCGTAGTTGGGCAACGGTACCGGGGTTTGCGAAGATACATATGTATGCGAAGGTTGCGCAGGACTGTTTGCGCCATTCATTGCGCCAGGTCCAGCGTTTGCCGCAATGTTCCTTTTCCGAGATTCCTCCGAGATCATCCTAGCAAAGGGGTCGCGCTGCTCTTTTGACGTTCCGGAATTTTGAAAGGATGCAACAAGTTTATCCAGAGCTGGCGTTGATGGTGATGTCGATAGATCAGGTATCATCATCGATTGTGGCTAATGGAAAAATAAAATGCTTCCCTGATGACCAGGGTATTGGGCAAAGAAGAAATAAAAAAGGGGAGATGGATGACAAGCCGAGCAGAAGCGGGCGGCAAGTAAGTGAGTGAGTGCTCTCACGGTCGCATGAAATTCGCCGCGCCTCCCCTTCTCGATACCTTCAAGACGCGTTCAGGCACTTGCTTGCACGCTAGTGGGCTGAGCAGGTTAGTAGGTGCTCCGTTGTTCAAGATGCGTCAAGGTAGCTATTAGATTTATAAAAAACTACTAGCGTGTAAACTACACTAGCGCAGCCTGCAGTTAGTACTATCTATCTAATTAGTGCGGATGCCTTGAATCTGAGGCCTTATTAGCTTAGAAGTTAAAAGGCTACCTTTTAATTTTGGGTAATAAAAGTATTAAAAAACCTGCTTGTTAATATTAATAAATTCTATCTTACTCCTCTTTTATAAAAATATAAATTAATAGCGGCAATAATTAATGCATCTATTAATACATTTTAGAGTCCAGACAAACTACTATACTCTATCAATTGCATTAAGTCTATCCAAATAAGTTGTCCAGACAACATACGTATTCTGGAAAGCATCTTATAAACTCCTTTTCAACGTGCACAGACGCAAGCTATTAATGACACATTCTTTGTCAGCCTAATAAGCTTCTACACTTGGCATAGCTAATAGCATGTAAAATATAACTAGGCCTTTTTTGCGCACGTACACGGACTAAGTTTGTCATAACTCTTTGTTTAATTCATACTTGGTATCTTGTTCCATACTCCACAGTGGCTGTCAAAAACCCATCCGTACTTCAAAGTGTCATGAAGCCCTAAACGCCTTATCATAACAGTAAGCGTTAGCCGTGAAGCTCAATTTCCATCGAGTAGCCCTTTAAGTAAATATGTCGTGTGTCCTTTCCACCTCTTTTGTTTGCGTTGATCTTTTAATAAGGTTCGCCAATCGCCGCCAGCAACGTCTTCCTGTAGTCGCCCGAAGTCTCACCATAAATGCGCTTGCCGAGACTCTTGCCATAACGTTGCTGGTAGGCGCCCTTTACATTGTTCAAGGTGTTGCGATCCCAGTGACAGCGGATGGTTCGAGATACGAGAAGATGATCCTTTGTTCCCATGCCGGCCATTGAGTCCTCGAGCAGCTTGGCTGCATGCATGTACTTGTCTGTGGCGTTGCGTAATTGGAAGAGGAGAGCGTCTTCCATGTGGCCAGAGAATTCCTGCTTCTGCATTAGGAGAATGACTCGATTGAGGGACGAGATATGACTTACGCTCTTGATAACCTTTTCGAGGTCCTTGTTGAACTTTTGCTTGTAGGTGTGTGCGATGGCACGGATTTGGTTATCGTTTCTTGTGCTCATAATACTGCACACAAGAATCTCGTCCGTACCCATCTTGCCTTCAGTGGCTTTATAGATTTGCATGACATCGTCCTCGACTTGTCGGGGGTCGACTGGTGCGGAGTCCTCGGCTCTTGTAGCACCAAGAACAATCATGAAGTGTCGCTCAGTCTTCATGCTCAAATCGCCCTTGACTATATCCTCGAGCTTGTCATGGAAAGTGTGGTAGTACGCGCTCTTAATGGCCTTGAGATCCGCATTTGACCGCCCGAGTAGAACGTCGTTTAGAACAATTTCCTTTGTTCCAGGGCCAGACATGGCATCGTGTAGAGCGTGAACGTCAGACAGGAGCGGGCCACGGGCTAGTGAGACCAAAGCCTTCTCAAACCACGAACTAGTCTCACTCTGAATATCGGCAATTAGGCTGCGACGGTGCTTGCGCTCGTATGCTTGTCGAATTGTGTCAATCTGCAGAGGATCCTTGTTTGCAAGAATGGCGATCAATGCCTTCTCATCAGTTCCAAAACCCTTCATGGCCTTTCGCAGGCCGTCAGCGTCAGGTTCGCCGTTCCATTGAATGATCTGAGGTGGTCCGTAGCCCATCGAGGGAGGAGTAGGCTGAACTGGTGGTGCGCCATACTGCTGAGGAGGAGGCGCGCCGTACTGTCCCGGTGGAGGACCTGGCGGCGCAGGAGAGTGGTGGCCGTACGGCTGCTGCTGAGGAGGGGGAGCTCCATAATGGCCTTGCAGAGGTCCAGGAGGTGCGCCGTAGTGTTGTGGAGGAGGTTGTTGCTGGTAGCCACCATAAGGTTGTTGAGGTGGAGGAGGTCCGCCATGAGGAGGGTAGTGACCCTGCGGTTGCTGATATCCGCCTTGCTGGGAAGGATACTGCCCCGGAGAAGGTTGTTGATAACCGCCATATGGCTGTTGTTGAGGGGGATATTGACCATAACCTTGGGGCGGCGGCGGTTCTAGAGGCGTTCAAGTCAGATTTGTTGTCGCAAAGTGTATATATGGGTACTTACGGCCGTAGGGGGCACCATAACCTTGGTAAGACATAGCGTTGGAACTGCTTGTATGTGTATCTGAGTTTGTTTGTAATATGTGATGCGATTTCAATGTTCTACTGCGGGGTGATGTCAGGGAAACGAATTGGCTATTATAAGCGGAGTAGGTAGATGGTAGGAAACTGGAAAGCTGAGCCCAAAGTGGCACTCGGGTCTCTCTTATTAATACCTTAACTCCGACACAGGATAAGACCTGATTTCCTTGGGGCTTAAAGAAGAGACGCGCCTGCAGTACTCAGCCTTGGAGGCGCTGCGCTGCACTACATTAATGATGGATGGCGATCCAAGTGGGCTGAGGCGGAGCATCAGCAACAGCCAAGTCCGAAGGATCGAATGGAAACGTCATTTGCACCACACAAAAGCTCTTAATAAGTCTTTGCCCCCGGTTTTCAATAGCCTTATGAGGGGCACTTTTAATTAACGTCTGGTCAATGCTGCCGAGACTCGCTCGCTCATCTGCCATGCAGGACACGAACATGCAGACATGCAAGCATTAGGATGACAGGACAGTAGAAGCAGAAACAAGAATGCCTGACCCGCTTCTGCAACAGGGAAACCCAGGCTCTAGATAATGGATGCGGAGTTATTTCTAGTCAAGTATTCCCAGTAGAATGGCAACCAGTCGAGGCTGAGTGTTGACATTGCGTGGGGAAACAAGAAGCTTGCCAAGCTTGCGAGTCGTCATCGCATTCATCACACGCTTAGAAGGAAACTCAGTGGTCACGAGTCGTTTTCTGTTTGTTCAGCCCAGCTCTGTTTCTAGGGTGGCATTTAGTTATTAGACTTTTGAAGTTAATGGATTAGAAACTAGAAACTTATTAATCTCTTATATGTATATCTTTCACAGCAATGTGTATAATGAGATAATACTTAACATTTTAATACTTTAATGTTAATAATCATCTCAAGAAATGGTTATGATCTCATAGAATCAATTATTCCCAAAAGTCTACTCATTGAGAACCTTGATTCTTAGAGGTTACCGCGTTTGGACAGACCCAGCAGCCATACTGTGATGTATCAAGCGCCACTTCACAGCCACAGACACGCAAGTCGACTTCATCATTTCTATCTCAAAAAGGGCACGACAAAAGGGATGTAGAGTAAGGGAAACGAACAAACCGGAGTAGACTCCGGCAGTCGCACTAGCAATGACAGCCTCTACTTATTGATCTCCAATCCGGAGAGCCGCTCCCTCATATGCTTTCGCAACTCACGGATGCTACCAAGATTAAGATCGGGCCATCGCTGAATACTCAACCAATCAGAGGTCTTCCTTAGCCGTAGCGGGTGGTTGGTGAACCTCGCTCGCTACAACCCGCCTGGTCCGTCAACGTTCGAGCCCCTAAAGCCCCCGATTGTTCCTGGATGTTAGTGCGCCCCAACCACCACAAATTCACGTATTAGGCATTTGGTTCCTACCTCCTAAGCAGGGAGTACAGAGTTCACCAGCCATCTCATTTGTAATGGAACAACTGCCTCCCAATAAAACTGCATTTTCCCTTAACAAGTGGCCAGGCTGTTATGTCTCTTGCTCTCACTCTTTATCTCGTGAATCAGTAATTGTCTTGTTTTTCATTCTCATCAGCGACCTACAGTAAAGCGCACTTGCGAATCACTCTCTATCAATGGTCACTTGTTAGTTACCAGTGCCAGCAGCTGCAAGCACATAAAAACAGAATCACGACCAGGCACATCCATTCTTTTACTCTTCACAGCAGTTTCTCAACCCCCTTCTCTGGATCGGAGAAACAAAAACACAAACAAAACATCTCTAGCAAAATAGCCTCGTTAAGATGCGCGGATACATCCCCCTTCTTCTGGCTCTTTCTGCCTCTTGCACAACCGTTGCTGCGCTTCCCAAGCCCAGAATGCAACTTCGCGACAGTGCAAGCAAGCCGAAATACTCAGTTGTTCCTCTGGAGCCTGGCAATGATGATCCCTCCTCAGATGGCACTGGAGGCGAAGATGGAAATGGCGGCAGCGGCAGCGGCAGTGAAGATGAGAATGGAGGTGACGTCGTGACAGTCATCCAAACAGTGGTTCAGACACGAAAACCCGTCACTCAGGTCATCACGCAAACAGGGAAGCCTAGCATCATTACAGTGCCTGGAAAGACTATCACCAAGGCTGTTCCCACTACTGTTTCCATCATCAACCTGGACGACCAGCCAGTTGTCACCCAGACAGTCACTATTTCTCATCCCAGCGCGTCCACGTCCAAAAAGTCAGGAAAGCCAACAGCCACAAAGGAGCCAGAAACTGCCGAAAGTCAAGCAGTGACGACAGCCCAGGAACCATCCGATTCTTTGACCTCTGCTGCTGCTCCGGGTGTGACCTCCCAGCCTCAGCCCAATCCCCAACCACAACCTCAACCTCAGCCCGAGCCGGAGCCAGAACCATCCACTATTCAAATCACCCAAACACCGTCTACACCTGAGACCCAATCTGTCATCATTCAAACAGTCACCGTAACTCAGACATCTTCAACAAGCGAAAGCTGGTTGGCGACTCAAGTCCCAGAGAGCACTGCAGCTCCTTCTTCAGACTCCCCAGTGGCACCTATCCCACCTCAAGAAACCTTTGTCCCCAACCCTACCAGTAACGAGGATGAATCCTGGTCTTCTATCACGACACCCTACGAGCCCCCAGTCGTGCCCACGACCCTTCTCACATCTTGCATCACTACCACAACTACCTCAGACTACCAACACGTCACCCCTGAGCCAGCCCCTTCTTTGAAGACACACGATGATGGAGCATGGCATACTACGTACCCGGCCTGGAACGGCAATGATCTGGCCATGTGATTTTACACATATTGCAGAGGAGGATAAACTTTGAGTTTCTAATGAGGGATACATGTTCGCGAGAAGGAAGAAAGAAGAAAGGTACACAAAGCATTATAGCGAAAGTCATTAGGCACGGCATGACATGGCATTCCGAAATCCCCCTTTTGTTTTAGAGATCGGGCGCAGGACATATAGACCAAGCAAGCGATGGAGGCGACGGACCAAGCGCTGGACGTATTGCCATATGTAATGAGTAATAATCAATCAATTCACATGAATCTCCTTATTTTCAGGCTACTGGTGAACAAAGCGCGAGGCTTAGATGTTTTTTTATTTATTTAATTAAATGAGACCCTGCTTTAATGATATCAACTTGACATAAAATATGACAATTCGTTAGAGCGTAGTAGTTTTGACTATCAAAATGATATATCACACAATAACTTGTAGAAGAAGTGGCGTCAACAAAGCAGCCCAGTTTTGCTAATGTAGTTTGATACAGGCACAAACAAAGACTCATGCAGCCACGAGAGAACAATACCCACGTTTTGATAGATGATATTAGAAAAAGGATATCCAGAGAGTGCCGCCACGAGTGGTATCTCGAGATAAATACCTGGCACTTCCATGAGAGTAAATGCTCAACTCAGTATTCATTTCGTTCTCATGAACTGTAAGCCTGGTGCAAGCAGTCTAGCAAGTTAAATTTGCAAGTTTATCACTTTGCTTTCGATCTTTCCTCCTGAGTTGTATCTCTACTGAACTATTCGATTCGATCTCAATGTTTGATCAACTCTCCACAAACTCAAAACTGTTCGTATGGCTCTATCCTAGGACCTGGCGGCTACTAAAATATCTGTAGAAACATTTCAAACAACACACTTCACGCATTCAAAGCTCCAGCCATGGACTCCTCCATCAACCCCTTCACTGGCGCGGCCAACGACCCCAACAGCCACTCCGACTTTTTGGCCAACAAGGAAACCAACCGCAATGAGGCTGTCATCATGGGCGGAGTTATGATCGGTGCCGTACTTTTCGTCGCGCTCGTTGGTGTGGGCTGCATGTTTTATAGGCAGCGGGTCCGGAAGATGAAGGCTCAGCAGAGCAAGGACGTTGACGATGATGGGCGGTCTGTTTAAATTGGGTCTTGAAGGGTCCATTTTATGAGTCTGGATACCAGCTTTACTTAATGGCGCTGTGGAGGTCGAGGTTGAGGATGCTAAGTTGGAGCTTCTGTTTGTCCAGACCGGACAACTATTACATTTCCTTCCTGAGGCGGCGGGCTTGTTTTGGAAACTTTTAAATCCACACTCCTTTATTCTCTTTTGATTTTTAATTGTTAAGTACTTGCTTGGCATTGAGTTCTTGTTGGATGGAATGCCGTAGTTGTCTTGTTCAACAAATGGTTTCCAACTTGTTATACAGGGGTGCAATACAAGGTACCGAACCATGATAATTGGTCAATCGGGTCATTGGATCTCAGACATGCATATACCTCGAAGTCGGTATATATGGTTTGCCTTGTTCTTGATTGGCTTATAAGCTGCCACAAGCTGTAGCCAAGCTCGTAATGTACGCACACAAGTCGCAACATTGAATCACACATAATAAGTAGAGCCCAACCTGACTTGACTCGACTCAAATCAATTCGTCAAGTTTCCTCACCGTGCAAGCCTCATCACAATTACCGTTTAGTGTGACAAGGGGCCTCGAGCCTCGTTCCTGCAGAATCCATCTCCCCCCCCCATCCAATTCTCGCTTCCATCGTCTTGCTCCAATAAGACTGATACACGTCCAGAACATGACCCACGCTGGGCAGCGATACTTGACTGCGCCAAGTGAAGTGATACGATGCGAGGTGAGGCGGTATGTGAAAAAGAAACGAGAAGTAAGTTTATAAATATTGGTATATCAGAACAAAGTGTAACTATTCAAAGCTCTATTCTCTACAGTTAAATTCTCTTGGACACTATAAGAGCCCGCTTCTCCACAATACCGGCCCATCTCCGTCTGTCTCCGGCTCCGATCCCGAAAGATCCATTTCAACGGGAGATCAACATCAAAATGCGTACTTCATTCGTTCTCCAACTACCCACAACAATAGCGATAGCTATTATGCTCTTCTCATGTCTAGTACTGGCATCGCCAAACTCGGACAACAAGTTAATTCAACGTGACGAAGAAGAAGGCTCAGGATGCAGCACAGAAGGCCAATGGCACTGCATGACCAATTCATTTCAAAGATGCGCCGAGGGCCACTGGTCCATGAAAATGAACATGGCTGAAGGGACAAAATGTGTTCCAGCAGGTTATACAGATGACTTTAATTTTCGTATTGAGCATGAAGGAAATGACCACGACAATAAGGAGGACCGAAATGATGAGAACCGGAGTAACGGCGGTGCAAGCCTTGGAGCACGGAATTCAAACAGTATTACTGCAATCGCGGTTATTTCCTCTTTATGGGCTGTTTTGGGAGTTATGTCATAGTCTAGGGAACAAGGTTTATTGGCACTTTAGACGACGACATCCAGTTGACGAGAGATTTGGTTACACGTATGTCATGATGGAGTGTATGTATACACCGTGAGAAATACAAAGGAACTGCTACCACGCCGAAGTCTACCAGATGAACGGCCCGACGTTCAGAGGTCATAGCCCTGATCTCTACTGAACGATACTGGACCGTTCAAGTTCCCACTACCCCGAGTCCATCATGTTACCGCACCCGAAGATGAAATTCCTATTGCGACCTTGCCCAGAGTCGTTCACTCACTCGCCGTCTTGTGGTTTCTCGAAAGCCCTCTTGTCAGGTTAGTCATTGACCTAGTTTAGGGAAGACCTAAGCTTGAATACAGAAGAAGAAAAACAGCCTAAGGGCAGGTCTAAGATGCTATAAAGTGGCTGCATTATTTCATCTCCCAGGCAAGTAAAGGAGTATCAAGTTATGTGCAACCCCAACCGAGACTTGTCTAATTGTATTCTCCGCGATTACCAGAAAAGGAAATAATTAATACTATTTCCGCTCCGAAGGTAATTATCAGTTTCAAGGGTCATGTCGTTTCTTAGTTTCTCCTCCAATCATCAGCTCTGTTTCATATATCTGAGGTTGCAAGGACCAACTCCAAAGCCTATCATTACTGGTCACAAATACGCTAATACTACTCTACTTGCACATGAATTGGTAACTTCTTCTTGACCTTGGCTCGCATTTATTTCCTTCATAGTCACTCCTTTATTCTATATCCTTTTTCTGTTGTCCTTGGCCTCTCGATCTGGTTATCGCAAAAATGGTCAGCTTCAAGTACTTCGGCGCTCTTGTCAGCGCTGCTCCGGCTCTGGCAGCCTTTGGTGTCACCACCAGTGGGAATAACCTCATCGTTGACTCTGGCAACTCCAACGGCTTTTCAGTCTCTGTCAGCAAGTCTGACTGTTCAATCAACTCCATCAAGTACCGTGGTAGCGAGTATCAGTACAAGTCTCAGACTTCTCATATCGCGTCAGGCCTTGGATCTGCTACTGTTCAGTCCACCGTGCTTAACAGTGAGTATTCCTAGCCTTGTAATAGACACAGTCCTAATAAAAAAACAGATAAGTACGTCAAGGTCACTTGTACCACCAAGTCTGGTGACTTTGACCTGACTCACTACTACGTTGTTCAGAACGGCCAGAGCAATGTCTACATGGCCACCGACACAAAGTCCCAGCCCAAGATCGGAGAGCTTCGCTACATTGCTCGCCTAGATCGATCTCTACTGCCCAATGAGATCCCCTTTGGCGAGGTCTCCAACACATCTGGCGGTTCAGCCATCGAAGGCTCTGATGTCTTCAACGTCAACGGCCAGACCCGCGCCAAATTCTACTCGTCTCAGCGCTTCATCGACAACGACGTCTGGTGTTTCCAAAGCAGCGGAAAGGACGTTCATGCTTGCATGGTCACTCATGCTTCGCGCTCGTACGAGAAGAGCTCTGGCGGTCCTTTCTTCCGCGATATCAACAGCAACAACAACGGTGACTTCAGTGCTCTCACCTTTTACATGAACTCGGGCCATGTCCAAACCGAAGATTTCCGCCAGGGCTTCCACGGTCCCTACGCCTTATCCTTCTCTCGCTCTGGTGTCCCCAAGGCTAAAGACTTTGACATGGCCTTCTTCAATGACCTCTCTATCCCTGGATATACTGCCGACTCGTCTCGTGGTCGAGTCAGTGGCACCGCTACTGGTGTCCAGTCTGGCTTCCAGGGCGTTGTTCACTGGTTCAACAAGGATTTCCAATACTGGGCTTACACTTCCTCCAACGGTGCTTTCACTTCTCCTTTCATGGTCCCCGGTACTTACACCCAGGTTCTATACCAGGGAGAGCTCAAGGTTGCTTCCAAGAGCGTGAGTGTCTCTGCTGGTGGCACTGCCTCGTCTTCTATCGCTGCCTCCTCCGACATCACCACTGGAAAGCACACCTCTGTCTTCCGCATTGGCAACTGGGACGGCCAGCCCACGGATTTCCGCAATGCCGATAAGCAGCTGCGCATGCATCCCAGCGACAAGCGCATGTCCAGCTGGGGTCCTCTGACATACACCGTCGGCTCCAGCTCGGTCGGAGACTTCCCCATGGCTATCTTCAAGGCCGTCAACAACCCCGTGACTATCAAATTCAATCTTCCTTCTGCTATCTCAGGCCAGGCAACCCTTCGCATTGGTACTACCCTTGCTTTTGCCAGCGGTCGACCTCAAGTCACCATCGGCAGCTTCAAGAAGGCCTTTGATGCGCCAACCAAGATTGATTCGCGAGGTGTCACTCGTGGGGCGTACCGTGGTCATGGCGAGGTGTATGATGCTGTCATTCCTGCTGGCACGCTGAAGCAGGGTTCCAACACCATCACTATCGAAGTCATTTCTGGCAGTTCTGGTGCTGACTTCCTGAGCCCCAACTTTATCTTTGACGCCGTTGAGCTCTTTTACTAGATTGCCTTGTTATCTAGGAACAAAGCAATCGTCAACAACTCCGGCCACTTGAATCTGTTCACGTAAATACTACAAAACAAGAGACTGCACATACAAAGACATGTCAATGAATTTTTAGTCCATATATTTATTTTATCCATACTTGTTCCCCCATGTCGTGAGAATGAGATGTCCACGTTACATAACCACCCAGCAAAGAATCAAAACTTTTAAGCTTAACACTAGTAGCATGTAAGATCAAGTTTACTATGCCGAATTAATCATGAGGTCGGACTTAATAGACGCGGAGTTTGTGCTGGTTGTGCATTCCAGTGGCTGATATCAGCCAGTTTTGTTAGTACTAAACTCTAGTTATCTTGGCAACGATACTATGTAAACTGAGTACCACTAACAAAAGTGGACTGAAGACATTCTCCGGACATTAGAGCTACCTCCGCAAAGTTATGGTATAAGTACAACGTTCGCCGAAGGATTAAAGTCTTGCGCACTCCTCGTTCTGTTATTCTTCGCCAAGAAATTCACTACCACAGCAATCATGTCAACTTCTCAAGGCAGTATACTGGTTACTGGGACCAATGGGGGACTTGGCTCAGCCATTGTCACCGATATACTTCGCAAGCCCGAGTTAGCTAGTAACTATACGGGATTGTACACTGTCAGAAAAGCAGCAACGGCAACTCGGCTTCAAAATATCTTGAGCGCAGCACCAAAGTCTCACAAACACAATATTATCGATATGGATCTCGGTTCACTGGCCAGCGTCAGAACAACGGCAGCTGAGATCAACCGTCAAGTAGCTGCTGGCGACTTGCCTTCCATCAAGGTCCTTATCCTCAATGCTGGATATCAAGATCACGAACAAATTGTAAGCAACGCCCCTCATGTTTTAAGATTTCGAGATGCTCACTATTCTAGACCATGACGGATGATGGTTATGAAACTAGTTGGCAAGTGAATTTCTTAGCCAATCAACTCCTGGCTCTCCTGCTACTTCAGAGTCTGGATAAAGAGAAGAGCAGGATACTCATCATCGGAAGTTGGTCTCATGAGTGAGTTGATCCAATCGGGTAGGTTTTCACAAGCTGACGAGAATCACAGTATCGATGATCCACGTAACAACCTTGGTGGTTCGGCCTGTTACGAGGGCTACGATAGCCTCTTTCCTGGCCCAGATGAGCTCGCCAAGGGTAAATGGAGCAGACCAGACACTGGTGGAGGGTGGCTCACCGGCTTTCGACGGTATGGAGCAAGCAAGCTATGCGCTGTGATGCTCATGTAAGTCACTTATCTACTTGTTAACTGAGCATTGAACTGACTCGTCGATTCCTAGGCATGAACTAGTGAACCGTCTCGCTCAAGATCCGCAACTGTCCAATGTCACAGTAACTGGTCTAGACCCAGGTGCTATGGGGTCTGACCTCGTGCGACGAGGTAGTTCTGTCATGTATAATACCATCAAGTTAGCCCTTCCGATTGTTTCCCCTCTTCTTGTCTGGTATAACCCCAACGGGCCATATCGTCCCCTATATAAGAGTGCTGCGGATGCAGTCCACCTGGCCTTTGAGACGGAGGCCCCAAAGGGCAGACTGCTGTATTTGAACGGCACGGAAGAATTTGAGACAGGAAAGGAAGCAAGAGATGGTGTCAAGAGAAAAGCCTTATGGGCCTACGGACTGGAAGCGGCTCAGATCAAGCGAGGAGATACGATTCTACAAGACTGGCAGTAATCAGACAAGTCAGAGAAGTCAACAGGTCATGACCAAGTACAGGTCTAGACTTAAGTATTGCCAGATGTTGGCTACTTATGATTATTTACTTTGGGTCAGAAATCAAGTCGTGGTGAGGAACTATACTCTGTCTAACATGGCATATTGCTTTTTCCTTACATGGGTCATAAGCCGGAATCACTCTTGAGAATGGAAACACTCTCCGGCATATGTACTATATATATAGTGGTAGCGTACGGATACCCGGATCGGGACATGGATTTAACGCATTGATGTACTAAGAAGAGTCCAAAGTTTATTGTTATTACGATCTGTTGACCCGATGCGACTCGGATAACTCAAAATCTCCTGATGGCTTTCTATTAGGAACAATAGAACAATTTACGCGAACAGCGGTAACAGCGGTAGAATACGGGTCTAACGGGATTATCAACAGGGGAATGCTGTCAAGGTCTGGGATCAGGGTTGTTCATAGGGCTTCAACTTTGGCAGAGGAAAGAATGCCGCTGCTCAATTTAGGCGGCCTCACTACGAGAAGGAGAAACAAATTCCTGACAGGACAAGTTACAGAAAATATACAGCACCCAATTAGAGAAAATTAACGTCATGACCTGTCAAATATTTAGTTCTTGCCCGAACGAACTCATGGCTTTGCAGACTAAAAAGGCAGGAAACGACTGGGCTGTTGTTTCTTTTTCTGCTTTGGAGGGACCCACTTAGCGTTGAACGTTGAAAGGCACGGGAGGTAGCTCCAAGTTTCATCCAAATAGAAGATACGTACCTGCTCTACTTTGAGAGGCCGTCCCCATCCGTAGTGGTCCCCTGAAAACATCTGAAACAGGCTGGAGTCAGGCACAGTATCCCAAACGGGAAAGATCTCTTTCAAGGTCCAGTCGATCCTGCCAAGATACAAGTTTTTGGAAATGGGAGCTTTTGCCATCCGACAGGTGATACAGTAGCTTGAACTTTAGCCTGTGGTAGAATGAAGATCACTCCTGATTCTAGTAAACGAACAGGGTATCTTTCATCTGATCTTTTCTCTTTCCTTGGATCAGTCACTCACTCACTATGCGCAATTGAGCAACTTATTTTACTCATTTAATTGTAGAGACCTACAAATTAAAACAAACATTTAGAAAATATTAGTTCATTGGGTAGATAGTTAGTCTTGGCCACCGCCTTCTCTAACTTACTACCTTTTTAGTAAAAATAGGACAAACTGGCGCTTGACGAGCGACTAATGCTATTGTCAGTAGTAGGCAGCTTGCTCGCGGCTCATCTGAACCAGTCATACTACATGCCCCTACTCTAATCGCCACAACTCCGGCGCCTGTACATCCAACAACTTTGTTCAACCTCCATATTTTACGCCACAGACCCAGACAAGACCACATTCAGTATCAAAACAAAAAAAAAACACGAACGAGCGAGTAGTCGGTTCTCTTATAGTGTCGGTCACAAGACCAGCCTAATGATGCTCGTTCGGTTGGTCGTCTGTCGAGGACCACAAATCTGTCGAGGCCGTTGTATTGTCGTATCCCTGTCTCATTTCATCTAGAGGCGCCAACAAGCCAAATTGGTTGGCGCTGAATTGAATGCAAGCACCGGGCCTGAAATTAATACACCACCCGAGCGAGTACAGTGGACTCCAACGAACTGGAGACCTGGCCAACTGTTAGCCAACCGTCATCGTTGTGAAGATTCTCATTAAAGAACCCCCAGCTCAGCTTCTTCCTTGTTAACAAGGAATCATATCCCCGTTGGTCTTTTTCTCTCTCTCTCTCTTATCTGTCGAGCTTGCTTCTCTCTTTTCTTCTTTTTCCTCCTACTCTTCTTCTTCTCACTTTAGTCCACATTCCTTTGTTTGCTTGCTTGCTTGCTTGCTTGCCCGTTTGATCGTGCGTTCGCGCAATTCATCATTCTCTTGCTCGACCTTCGACTTGGCTTGGAGCTGGACTCGTGCCTCCAGTACACGACTTCTCAATTCTTTTTCTTATACTCATCCCTTCCAATAAGCACACGGGCCTTCCCTACATTCATTCAGCCCCGGTTTCTTAAAGGCCTCCGTCTGATTCAGGTCCCCACTATCCGCACCGTCAGCACTTATACTGCTCAGCGTTCCCAGACCAGATCTCGTGCTCAAGCTAAAGCCGAAGCTGAAGGCATTTGGATGGATATTGGAGGACTACGCCAAAAATAATCGCCAAACTAACTATAAACAACCACACTACAGTAGCGCCCAGCACGAGGCACTCTCTGGCCACTCATTCCCCACGAACGTCTCAATATCAGTCAAAGCCAACAGTGGCTGACACTGCACTGCACGACAAACATGCCTGCCATGTGGGACACCTTCAAAACTGGCACTGGCCCCAGTCTGCACCAGCTGCCACCTCAAGAGCTCAAGAACCGACCATTCCTTCGCCAGAATCGAAGCTCATCCAGCGGACTGCCACAGAGCCGATCTACTACCAGCGCCCACAGTAATCAAACTACCACTTCAAACAAGTCCCGCGACGACATTTACGACAACCAAACTCATCTTCACGACGATTTCGAAAACCGACTCAACGGACTTGGCATTCAAAACGGCCCTTTCAGATACGAGATTCGCCGTGGTAAGACAGTCCGAACACCAGACATCTCGGGTCCACCACGTCTGTAAGTGCTAGCTTGATTTCATATACTTGCTTCTTTTTTTCCCGAATTTATTGCGCATTACCTATTCAACAACTGCATTGCCCGATTCGAATAAACCGTTCCCTCCGTCAGCCACGTCAGACAGACCGTTAGACTTTTAGCCGACTCAGCCGTTGGCGCAGCGATGTTACCTGCATCCACATGCCATGCCCTGTACACATGTACTGGGTAACAAAGCGACAAAGGCATTCAGTCTTCCCTCAACAGTCGACGATCGGCAACTACTGGAGTCGTTCGTCATGCAATACGTGTGCTCGAGATCGACAATTCTGCGCTGCAGTCAAGTGCACGATACCAAGCCAATTTGGGGTTTCAGTCACGCCAAATATTCGAGCCGACTACGCACGCAACCTCAAGTGATGAGTTGATATGCACGTTTTCTGCCGGCTCCAAGGCATCTCACCAGCAATGCCTCCTTCCTGGCTCCATAGTCGCTGACGCTTTTTCGTACCTTTTTTCTCTCGCGCTTTCCATTCACGACATAAAATCTCGAATGGCAATAACAACGAGGTATCCGCACCTGACTAACATGTTTCTTCTTTCCTTCACAGTTCCCCTGTCCTCGGATCTGACGATATCCGAGTGAAACCTCCTCCTCGAAACCCGCGACGACTTCAAGGCGAGGACGACTCTCCCTGGCGTCCTGCCTCCTCCATCTACACTAACGAAGACGACGACGAAAACCGAAGGGGCAGTCGTCACTCTCATCATTTGCAATATTTGAAGCCATCTCACTTAAAGGTTCCTGCCAAAGACATGTATGGACGTCCTATGGGCGTCGAGATCTCGCCCCCAAGCTCTCCCGAGTTTGATGCTAGGCAATACAAGTGAGTCCATCTCCTGATTTCGTGCCTTCTTTTTGCAATCACTGCATATTCTGGGGCACGCTGTTCGCTGCGATGTACCAACTTTGGTTTTTGTTCTCTTCAAAGTACTGTCGACTTCGAGATTTGAGTACCACGAAAACTCTCGATTCTCAGAACCAAGATTAGACACACCCTCTGTGTCCATTTCTGCTTGATTCACACCACTATCGCACACCGTGCTTTCACGCAATATGAGAGTCTTTCGATTCAGAATCAAATCGCTAATCCGATGCCTTGCTTGCAGACCAAACTCACAGGACGTCTCGCCAATCGACGATTCTCCTAACTTATCTCAGCTAGACCTTCTTGGGGAACGCCGACTGACGCCTACTCAAGCCCAAGCTCAAGCACAGGCGCAGCTTCGCAGCCAGATACCGCAGATGCGTCGTGATAAACCAACGAGTCCTGGCCTTTCTTCACAACTTCGAACCACCAAATCCACTGATGAACTTACGGATGTCAGTAAGCCATGGGAAAACATGCACCCATCATATTATGGGACCCAGAAACCCTTCGGTTCCACAACTATTGTCACTGGTGGGCAGCAAAGCAACACTTCTCCGTCGCTTGGACAGCGGATCCGAAAGTTTGCCAGAGCAAAACCCGAGCCTCTCGAAACTAGACCACCGTGGAATGGAGCAAGTGGACGTGCACCCATGGTTGATCCAGTCCGGGACGATCCCTCTGTTGCTCCATTGAGCTTGCAGCGCAAGGCCAGCAAGCGGGTTGGACTTGGTGGTGGTGCCAATCCTGAAACACATAGTGGCAATGCTGGAACAGCTCGACAACAGCTCCCCTCACGGCCCGCCCAGAGGTCCAACGAGACTTATAAAACACCATCACCCGAACTTGTTTCGCACTCTTATCCTAGCCCTCCAAATACAGGCTCGCCGCCGCCGTCTCAGCCCGTCATGTCACAAGCCGCGACATCCATGCTCATGCCAAACATGGTGCCTGATCAGAAGAAGGCCATAAGAAGAAAACCTTCCCCCTCAACGCACAACCCTCATTCTTCTTGGTCAAGTTCCGTCTACTCGGCAATCACGGAGAATACGACTATCGGCGACAAACCACTCCTCAACCTGATTGAGCCAGCAAGACTATCCACACCAGAAGATCCTTGGGCGCAGCCTGCATCTCGTTTCAGTGTTACAACTTGCAACACAGCCGCTATCAAGTCACCAGTTGTGCCTGATGAAGAAGAGCGACCAGATACACCGAAGCAGACCTCCTCAGTCATGGATCGTAGGAGACCAGTCCCAGGCGGAGATAACTTCAGAAGAGCATCCAACGTACCAATCGTCATCTCAATGAAGTCGGCTTCGCCATCGAATGAGAATTTTGACTCCAACGTTTCCACCGACAAGGCGCTTCCGCCTGCTCCGCCCGAGCTTCAATCAGCACATGACCGTGTAGCGTACCTCAGTGCTCGACTTGATAGTCTAGCTCACAGACGCAACAACATCAACAAGAGCATCAAGCAGATGACAGAGTTGATGCCCACCGACAGAATTTTATCGAGCACGGAAGTGATGCGTAAGCGCGAGATTGAGAAGAAGAAGGTTGAGGGGCTCAAGGAAGAGTTGGCAGAAATTCAAAGGGAGGAGCATGACTTGGGTCTGAAGCTCTACAGAGCTAACAAGCGTGCTGAGAGAGAGGCAGCCTTTGAGCCTTCCACTCTTTGGGTCAGGCGAGTCACATCTTAGGGATCTTTTAAGGGATATAGATCATGGGTTTGGGAGATGGCATCTCTGGTGAATAAGCAAGGCGTTGATGAGACATGCATAGCAGATGGAGTCGGATTCTTTTGTTTCTATTCGGTTTTTCTTCTTCTTTTTTCTAACAACCTCTAGTTACTGGTTTTGGACTGGTTATTATTGTACGAAGAACATGTTCCTTAATTGTTTCGGGACCTATTACAACTCGGACAAATAGATCGTTGTCGAATGACACAATACATAAAACTCACTTATGTTCTTTTCTTTGTTCCCTTGGCATGTTTGGACATGGTGAAACCCCACCAAATGATTTGTTGTCATCGTAGGCTACTGGGCAGCAGAAAAATTGACCCTAAGTCTTTGGTATACAAATAAATAGTTCAAGCAGTGTGATCTAAGTATCATAAACCGACCTACTGATTCGTCTCTTATGCTTCTCGCGACCAATATTTCTGATACCCTGAGGGTAAGATAAGTCCGTTTGTTGATTAACTATAGCAACCTGCCTTGTTCAAACAGGTAAAGAACGAACAGCTTGAATTGGTCTACGTTCTCAACGCTCCATCAGACAAACGAAAATGATCATTCTCTCTACCAAGAATTACTCTTGCAAACACTTGCGCGATCCACATAATTGCATCAATCGGGCTGGTTGTTTTTCACGTTGGCCTGCAGTGCCATACGGCTGCCAGTCTGTTGTATGCGAGCTTCATGCCTAAATCCAAGTTATAATTCAAATAACATATCACAACTTCACAGAAAATATCAACACCATCATACTACACCAAAGATTATGGAAGGCCATCTTCGAGAATCGGTCTGGGACCGAGTGTAAGTGGTCAAGAACGTAACTCATCACCATCACTAACCGCCATGAAGCGCTCGAGAGATGGGCGTGTTTGCAACTCCCAGAGCAGATGCTGAATCTGCCAAGGCTCGCACTCTATTCATCTACTCCGCATTCAACCGCGGCCCTCCAAAGGATTTCAAAGAGCCCATGGCCGAATACGACTTCGAGAACCACGAAGGGCTCTATGCTGGCACGCGATGCATCCTGGTTGAGACGCTCATTAAGGACATCCCCACCACAGAGTATTCTATCTACATCTTCAACGACGTCGATGCAGTGGATAATACCAAGATCAAAATGACAAAGCTTCCTGAATGGACCGACGAACATGGGATGCAGAACATCTTCTTCCCTCATCACTCTCCCGCTGCCCAACGGGTGAACCACTACCATGCTGTTGTCGGTACAGGATTCCCCAAGTCGAACATCGCGCCCTGCGCGAGTACTACCGTCAATCTTCGCATCGGCCCTGGCGGCTACGAACACCAGTGGCATACCGCCTACGGCTGCTACGGACAAGACGTGTTCCCTTTCAAAGAGATAACCCGGAGTCATCAAGTCGCCTACGGCACTGCGACTTGCATCAAACTCAAATTCGAAATCGAAAATACGAGCCACAACCCAGTGGTTTTCGGCCCGGAGGATAACGTGGTCAACGGTCGCGAAGTAGACCCGGAGGACTGGCATGACACCACTCGCGTTCTCATCGGACAGCCGAACCACCCGTTCAAGATCTCGCTCAACCTTCGCTTCGTCGAAACCCAACACCCAGACCCTAAAGTTCTCAGTCAGACTGATGTTGAGATGTTCAACATGCGTCGCATTAGATCGTCGGGCCCCGTCATTTCTTCCGTCAAGGGGAGGACTGTGAATACATACACGTACCTCATCACACTCATGCACAGTTGACGGCTAGAGACCAAAGGTTGAAGGGAAGAAACAAGTTCTCTGATCCACGGCTGCTGGGTCATCACTGTGTTCTGTAGGACAGGATCCTAGACGAAACAAACAAATGTCTTGTAGCACAACCTCCATGTTTGCCTTTTTCAGTGACTGACACTCCCTTGTGAACGACCGAAATAAACACAGCGAACCACTGACGTTACCACTATTACATCCGAACATGCCCTTCCGGCCTTGCTCCCTGCTTTATTTACTCTTCTCCTCTGTTACAGCGGAACTGAGCGAGCGCTTGTTCTCGTGGCCCCTGTCCTTGTCCCATCAAAGACCTCACCCTCACATAGCACAAAAAGAACACCCATTCAGTTACCACACCCTATATTCAGCGAAACAATGCACTTGACCGACAAATCAACTATCCAAACTCCCATTCGCGATGCTGCTATCATCTGGCTGAAATCAACATATAAAATACTCTACTGTCCGAGTCAGACTCCCTCTCCCCTTTCTCGTCAAGGACACACGAGTTCCCTTGTCAAAAGAAAAACACTCTACATTAGTGGTAACGTAACTTGTACCACGAGATAGCTTCTCGTGATCAATTCTTTAACTTTTGGTCAACTACCGAAAGACATTTGCACAACAAAGGGGAGTGAGAAACAAAAACAATCGGCCTTCTTTCACGAAGAGGTTAAGACAGAGACAACAAAAGGGTAAGTTTTCCCTGGCCCCGATCGTAGGAACTAATAGAGAGGAATAGCCTCCCTAAAGAGCAACCATGGTTCATAGGCGCACCACAAGTGCGTCGCATGTCCAGGCTGGATACGACACCGATGTCGATACTCGTAGATATGCGTCTTCTACGAGCGGAATTGCATACACTCGCGGTTCAGTCCTCCCGGGAAATGGCTCCATCGCAGACTCGGACGAGTTCAAGGAAGAAAGCTCCTGTGATTTCAGCGATTACGAGCTCGAAGGCCCTAGTCCCCACGGCACGTATTACACCACGGCTAATCATCAACATGATTCTTCGCAACCCAGGTCTATCGCTTCGAATCAAGGGGGGTCCCATACTCACGCCGATGAATCTGCAAGAAGAGGCTTCCAGTCCGGGAATGATCTTCCCAGAAGCTCTCCCTATCAGCACCAAAGGAGCTCCTACTCTGGGAACTTCAGCCAGCCAGGTCGCTATGCCACCAGCTACCAAAACCGTAGGACATACTCTGCTTCACACGGTGGACGCAGTCTTCGCCAGACTTATCCGTCAGACCACTACGACGAAGTAGGGAACTACATCGGTCCGCCGGCAGTAGACGCCAATCCGGGCGATCTCGTCTCGTTCCCTCGCCTTCCCGACTCGGATCCCTCTTCACTAGAAGGCGAGCAGGAGAACATGGGGTCTCAACGACACATTCCCATATCTGAAACCAGTAAACGGTCTTTCTCGGAGCAGCTCGTCAGCGGTGTGCGCAGCTTTTTGACTTCGGAATCGAACGAAGATCAAGTCCCCCCACAGCCACCTCGTACTGGGACCTACCTTTTCTGCCGGCACTATCTCATCGAAGAGTGTGCTTGTATCACCGCTCTAGAAGAAGACGGAGTTGGGGACTACTGTCAAAAGTGTTGGGAAGGGCGTTGCAATGGGCCAAGGCCACCACGATCAGGGGTTAGAAGGTCACTGTGGTAAGAAGGATGGGGAATATTGATTTTGAGACTGTGCAAATGCAGCTTGATAGAGTGAGTGGACATGATACCAGGCGGAGGATATATCCAGACATGATTTCGGGTGATGGATATTTGCTTTTACAATTAATTATACAGAGAAGAAACAATATTTGTACAAGACACTCACATTTCCAAAATCTAAACTAATACAGACTTCTTCCCTCACTCGCACTAAGGCTTTAGGGTACAAAAATTAATGAACTAAAATCATATGCTAAATAGCATAAGGTGCCTGCAAATTTCGTCCCTTAGGCCAACTTTTCTGATAGTTACCCTAGGGCCTGACAATAAATTAGTATTATTGAGCGACCTAAGAGCAAAGCTACGACTCGATCAGCCTCAACTGTAACTGACCCAGTATAGCCCTACTGGGTATCCTATCTATCCCCTGTTAGCTGATATGGAACTATTTGGTTCCGTGTTTGACACATCTGACAGCAGCTCCATCCCTAGATACTGTAATCTCCTTATCATAGGTATTCTATTATTTTCTCCGCTCTTCTCTTGTCACAAAATAAGCATGTACTGTAATTTGTAGATCTATAAACAAATCGGCGCCTCCGGGTTGACGGACCTGACAATGATGAACCTGATGTGACAGGCCTGATGTGGGGAGTGGGAGCGGGAGTGGAGAAAAGATGCAAGGGAGGGTATCATTGAGTGCTGAAAGCAGCAACTTCAGCGAATTTGTGTTGGCCATTCTATACGATCAAGTACTGCATCTCGGCTGGTTTCAAGAGAGAGTATGTGTTGTACTATCCGATAGAGTCTGTTCCAGAAGTATTCTTCCGTTACATCTTTCGAAAGAATTGCCAAATGTGAACATTACAGTTAGTGCAGTAAAAAGATGCATGCATTTCTGATGATCTACGTTACATGCATTTACATGCCACATCTTGCAGGAATATGGCATGTAAGCAACCAACAAAAGCTGAGCGAAATAGCGTAAGGAACCGAAAACTTGGTTTCTGGAAATCTGTCAAATTTTAGTTAGGTAGATCCTTACTTTTCTTCTTCTTCCTTTGTCCTAATTTTTATTTGATCGATTTCTCAGATTTCGATCGATCTCGCTACCAAGTGTTCTGCTGATCTGTTGCGTTGTACTGAATGTGTTTGCTTTTCCCTGGAGCTTTGTCTCTGGATCCTGGTACTCAGCACTCAGCTGTAACAGCCAGCAGGAGGAATGTCTCACTTGGAGGCTGCAAAAAAAGAAAGCGCAAGTCACGATTGGTCAGGATCCTAGGCAGTCTGATGGATACTGCAGTTCCTGCATACATGGTGTAAATGAGAAAGAGAGCCTTTCGCATGAAATCATTGAGTGAGCTGCAGAGAAAAAAGAAATATATTCACACTCAATATTGATACCATAGTAACGCGCTGCCGGCTGTAATAAATGCCGTCACTGAATAGGTAAGACGCTAAAATTTAATTCGCTCAGGAACCTATTCTTTCAATTACCAAACTTATACCATCTTGTTCAGGGCTCAATACACCGTCATGGCTTACATATGATATCCATATCAACTACCACTCTTCAACAAAACAAAAACAAAACAATTCCACGGGCATACCGATACAGCATGTTTTACTGTACCACACAACTCGTCCGTCATCCCAGCCCAGTCCAGCCCGTCAAATTTATAATTGGGTATTCTTAATCTATCGTGGACCGTATCAACCCCCCTGCACAAAAGCAACGAGCATACAGAATTTCATCCCAACAAGCCAAGCCAGGCCTTGCGGATCCTCTCAGAGAGCCTCCCTTCCTTTACTTACTTATATGTAATGTGCATCTCCAGATCTGTCTCGACTCTCAAACTTGGTGTCTTGCAATGTTACATGTCACTATATAATTATTACACAACACACACTACACACCCATCACATTCCTTTAATCGTATTCATTACCTTAATTGCCCACGATGGCTTCGGAGTTTACATCAACCGAGAGCAGCGCAATGCAGATTTATGCTCCAAGCATTGTTTTCTTTCTTGTTACACCTCTATTCATAGCCTTCCGATTCTGGAGTCGCATAACACGGAGAACGGGACTAGGCTGGGATGACATGACCATTATAATATCTTTTGTAAGTGTTTGTCCACTAGAATTCTTCACAGAAGATTATACTAACAATAACATAGTCATGTGCTGTGGTTGTTCAGGCAATCATGATGGTCGCATGTAGTTATGGCTTTGGCCAACATATCAAGGCGTTGACCACAAGCAACAAGATAATATCACTCAAGGTACATATCATACTCAAGCAAAGAATACGTCTCCAAATATACTAATTGGCATTAGCTATACTATATTGCCCAGATCTTTTACAAACTCACCATGAACCTGGCCAAGATCTCAATGCTCCTGCTCTACCTCCGCATCTTCGTCCACAGATGGTTTCGCAGGTGCTGCTTTACCCTCATGGGTCTTGTCACTTGTTACATGATAACCGCAGTGACCCTGTCTATCTTGCAATGCTACCCCATCAGCGGCGCCTGGGATAGGTCGATACCCCCAACTTGCATCGATCTGGAAAGGTTCTGGCTTGCAAACGCGAGCTTCTCTATCGCGACAGACACTTTGATACTGATGCTTCCCATGCATCCTATCTGTACTAGCAATCTCTCAGTCGCTCAAAAGCGAGGACTCATTATGCTTCTTGCTACAGGCGGTGGTCTGTAAGTGAAACTCCAAGACTAAAAACCATAAAAGTCAGGTCATTCAGCTAACGCCTGTCTCCTAAGTGTCATAACAACGTCTATCGTGCGCATGACAACTCTTACATTCTCGGCCAAAACTCCCGACACAACTTGTATGTTCCTCCCTCATCGCAACACATGCTTTACCAGTACTGACACTCTTCCTAGTCGACATCAGTTCCATCATGTGGTCTATCATCGAGCAAAATCTGGCCATCATCTGCACATGCCTACCAATGTGTCGCCTACCCATCGCCACACGCTTCCCACTTTGGGTCTCAGAGTCAGAGTTGACAACACCTGATACCTCTGAACCTGCCGACCCATCTAAACGTCAGACTAGACGGTGGAGTCCTTACACGGGGCCCAGGAACGTACAAGGGATCACGCGAAGCATAGTCATCACCAACGACGAAACGAGTGACGAACTCGCATTGGATCCAGCGGAGAGAACATTTACCATGTCGACAATGTCGAGCGACATTGGTGCGATACGGAAGATTGTTGAGTATGAAATCACATTTGAGACTGCATCCGATGCCAACTCCTAGTTGCATTTTACATGGTTAGGGTCTTACTGGTTTAAGGACCGATTCCATCCAGACATACTGCTAGACGCAGAGCATTTTCTTTGTTCAACTGTTTGATTGTTTAATGGGTTATGCATGTTGATTTAAAAGCGAAGCGAGGCGTGTACCAAGGATTCATTACAAGGCATTTAGACTTCAAAATCTCTTTTGTACAGATATGACATACATTTAGATAGGTAGCCAAGGGCAATGTAGGATTAGCTCATGCCCTCCATGAATTCAACACGATCAAGAATCATCTGGCGGTATCCCATGTACTCCTTGAGACCCTCCCACTCAGGCCCAGACTCCTCTCCGTGCCTCCAAGGTTCCTTGAATCCCCAGGCACATGCAATTTTGTCCATTGCCGCTCGCTCCTCTTCTCTCATCCAACGGGTCCGTAGCGGTGTACCTGGTGCCCATGTCACACGCTTCATCTGGTCCTTGTTACTCAGCTTGGCAATCATTCCCATTGATCCCACAACCATGAAGTATCCGGAAATACCAGCAATACCAATTCCCGTTGCTGTCGACATGTCCATTGTGTTTTGCCAGTATGTGGCATATGCGGTTGCAAGGCCGAAGATGCCAAACGGGAGGGTACCCAGGGCGAGGGCAGGAGTAGTGGCGTTCTTGATAAGTTTCTGACGCTTAAAGGCGGGAAGACTGAATGAGGCCTCTACAATACCCAGAGCTGCGTCCAGATGCTTGGAATCAATGGCAGTCTGCAAAGCCATGTCGGCAACGTCCTTCTCAATGGCCTTGACTGCAGCATTGGGATTTGATGCCACGTACTGAACTACACCATTCTTCACCACAGGCTTCTTCTTGGTCGCATACATCTCAAACACAGCGGGGAGCGACTCGGGTCGACCAAGCGAGGATTGGATGGCAACGTAAAGCTCAAGGAAAGCGGGTGTGATCTCAACATTGGGTTGCGAAATGATAGCGTACGCCGAGTATGAAATCTTCTTGACGCTGTCGGCCAGCCCCGCATCCATGGTGTTCGGTCTCTGACCAGTTCGCTCTGCTCCCAATTCCATAAGCTTTGACGTTGATGCTCTCGATTGAGCCTCGGCTCTGTGGATCTGCGGCTGAAGAGCCTGAGCAGCCTTGAGGCATGTCTCGAGGGCCGCAGTCGTCAATTGCTTCGCCGGGATACCATCTGTCGCAAGAAACTTCTTCTTTGTGCTTTCCACGATGTTTGCCAGTTGTGTTGGATCGGTCAGTTGCCTGGGGACTTTCTCCGCATTGGCGGGCTGGATGTTGAGATCAGGATATGTCGAAGATGTCGCAGCCCATCGTGTACTCGTTCCTCTAATCGCAGACTTTCGGCTGTGGCGGACAGTGGCTAGGAGAGTTCCGCTGACAAAGGCTTGGTTGGCAATTATAGGCGCTGGCGTGGATGCGCATCGTAAGCAGACATTGCCAATTTGGCGAGCGGGTAGGCGAGACATTGTGAGTAATCCAGAGCGGTGATGTCGATAATCGTGCGCTTTTAACTCAAGTTATTACCCTTTCCCTGATTGCCTGCCTGCGTCGTTCCCTCAAGCAAATTTTCTCCCCACCTCAATTGTCGTTGATGCTATTCAGAAACTAGCCGACTCTGAATTTCGCAAGTCATGATACGCGAGCGGGAGGACCCACATGTCCATGAGTGACACACGTTGATAGGCCTGTCCCTCGATAAGAGCTGGGAAGTCAGATTGAACGACTTGGTAATGATATAGTTAATTTCTCAATTATGCGTTGGCCATTAACTTCAACTATAACTTCAAGGAGTATCCATGGATATCAGAACACCTGAATAGACTGATCATGCGTACCAAGCATGGATCCTGACAGAAACCAGTCGTTGTGACTCTTTAAGCTGTATCTTCAAGGAACTTGGGCACTAGAACAAAGCGGGGCGCAGCCCAGCGTGTCCACTGTAAGGGAAGTAGCGGTGCTGCCTTCCATCTTCTGCGGGCAGCGTCAGCGTTCCATTGGCCATGACGAAACATGATGTGGCTCTTGCCTTTGGATATCCGATCTCAACTGATTCAGCATTCCAAGGTATAACTTCAACCTCTTTATATCTGATCTTTACCTGGGGTTTATTTATCACTGTTGCCTCGCCTGGCTGCGTTGCGCTGTAGACTCTTATACATCACCCAGGATCTGGACACTCCACCGTTTTAGTCCGAGGTCCCCGAATCGCCTAGCTCTCATTCATCCTACCGACGACATCTGAACTTATTCGCGACACCACACTCGAGGTTTCCGACGTCACAAACCACTTTCACGATGCCTCCTCCTCCTCCTCCGCCCCCTCCGCCACCGCCTGGTGGTATGGGCGGTCCTCCTCCTCCGCCTCCTCCTCCCCCAGGAGGTCTTCCTGGACGTCCATCAGGAGGAGCAGGTAACAGGGTATGTCCATTCATGGTGAGGAACTGCGCCAGCTTGAATAGAAACTGACAACTCATCCTAGGGCGCTCTTCTATCAGATATTCACAAAGGCAGAGCCCTCAAGAAAGCTACCACCAACGATCGTTCAGCACCAGTAGTTGGGAAAGTGTCTGACTCCTCCGCTGGCCCCCCTATTGGTGGCGCGCCTCCTGTCCCGAAAATAGGTGGTGCTCCTCCTGTTCCCGGCCTGGCACCATCAGTTCCTGGAAACCGGGCAAGAAGTAACAGCGACCAAGGATCTCGCGACTCTACCGCAACTACCGATGCCGTGCCACAGCTGGGTGGACTGTTCGCAGGGGGGATGCCCAAGCTGAAGAAGAGAGGAGGAGGTGTAGACACAGGCGCCAATTCCGAGTCTTCTTATCGATCCGATTCCGAAACCATCACCTCTGTTCCCAGGCCTCCTGCTGCTTCAGCGCCAAGACCGCCTTCAGCTGCTGCGCCAGCAATCCCTGGACGAGGACCTCCAGTACCGCCTCCAGGAGGAGCAGCAGGCTTGAGGAAGACAACGCCGATGGGATCCAAGCCTCCACCTCCTCCTATAGGGAAGAAACCGCCTCCGCTGCCGACATCGCGGAAACCCTCGTCTATGTCGCTGCCACCCTCTGCATCCTCACCAAACTTGGTACCTTCAGCTCCCCCTCCTCCACCGCCTTCGAGTCACGCACCAGCTGCTCCTCCTCCACCTCCTCCATCTGCGGCACCTCCGCCCCCTAGTCAATCCCCAGGATCTTGGTCCTCGGTACCACCTCCGCCGCCTCCTCCTCCGCCTGGAGCAAACCATGCAACATCATCCCTTGCTGCGCAGGCTACCATTCGTGCTGCTGGTCAAGCATCACCAAACGCCGCACCTCCTCCCCCTCCAGCGAGTGCGCCTTCACCTCCGCCACCAACAACACGTTCTCGAGGCTCCTCTCTCCGCCACTCCATGTTGGATCCAAGTATGTTTACTTTGACCGCAAACGGAGGAAAGTCACCAAGTCCTACGCATTCGCCTTCGCAACCACCTAGTGGTGGACACATTGAGATCCATGACCCCAGGTGGCAGTTCAAGGATGAGGGTCTGTTCCCAAAGCCCAGGGATTTTGTAGGAGGAACAAGAAGATACCGGGCAGGAAGAGGAAGTAGTATCCCCCTGGATCTGAGTGCTCTCTGAAAAATGGAAGAGATTAAAAATGGAATTCGCGACCTTAAGCAGTTTATCCACCAAGCTGTGTTCATGATTAGACGAGCAGCATGACAGTTCAGAATGGGTTGGGTATGCTAAACTACATATAACCAATATAAATAAATATTATATCGTTGAATTATGCTGAATATGAAATAAGCTGGATAAAAGGGACAGCCACTCATGATAATATGTGATGTATGGTCTAGTGGTCTCATTGATATTCAGAATACCATATACACAAATATAGTACACTCGAGTTAAGTACTCTTCCAAATATTGTACATTTATGGATAGCCATTTCAAGCTTACATAGACTTAAGGTAGTTGGTCTCCTTAATCTTGGCCTTTCTCTCCTTTCGCATCGCCCTCTTGAGCTCTTCTCGCTTTTGTGCGGCCTCAACGTTGTGTTCAACACCCTTGTTCTCCTCGCCAAGAATGTTGATAGACTGCTGCTGGATAGGGATCTTGGGAGCTAAGGCTTCAAGGTTGCCTTCGGCCAATAGCTTGGCCTCATGAGCCTTTTGACGCTTTGCTGCCAGTTTTCTTTGCTTCTTGGATTTTGCTGTAGAGGATGTTAGCACAATTGTTTGGCACAGATCAGGCATTGTGAAAACGTACAGAATTCGTCTCCAGCGTCTGCGTCCGCCGCATCAGCGTCCTTCTTCTTCACATCCAAGCACCTCCACAACCACTCTGGGTACTCGTCGTCATGTTTCGCAACAGGGTCCTGCCCAGTCTTGGTGTAGTTCAGTCCGCTGAGAACAGTTCCGGGTGCACATGATGATCGTGGGGCAGGAGCATCCTTGAGGGTCTCGCCAGGTGCCGTAACGGGGGTCGAAAGCGTGGGCTCGGCATATCGGAAAGGCGTCGTCGTCGTGAACTGACGAAAGATGGGCTGTGACCGCCGCAGGGCAGTGGCGCGCAGGCACCGAGTGCAAAACATGATGATTGCCGGTGGATGTTGGTAGTTGGAGTGTGACAAGGCTCGAGGTTCTGGAGAAATTTTGGAGGTGCTAGATGTGGAGAGCCAATGGGAAGTCAAACAACCTCTAATTGTCAGCCTTGCCCCAAAAGCCCGCGCAAGCTCGAACGACTTATATAATTGGATCCAATATGCAGAGATTGTGCAGTTTCTTTATGGGTTCTTTTCATTTCATTTTTCCCTGATATATACACAGTCATACAAGGCCAAGGTGGTCATTACACCTTTAATAGCAAGCCGAGCTGGTCACAATCATGTTGTGATATCAAGGCTAAAAGGTCCCTCCCGTTTAGATAACCAAATCCCGCTCACTTCCATCCCAAGCCATGACTTAAAATCATTTCCCTTTTACGAAGAGAATCGGTCATGGTTCATCTTGGCGATCTTGTCGCTTGTGTGGACCTTGGCCGCCAGGTCAAGATCTTGTTCCTTCTGGTCGACATAGTTTTGTTGCAAGAACTTGGTGCCCTTGATCTTGTTTGTCTTGAGCAATTGAAGATATCGCTCTAGATTTAATTGTTAGTTGATACTCCAGCGCGCAGTTTCAAGACCTCAGTAGTGCTCCATATGCGGCCAAACTAACCTCGGAGGTGGCCGCAGTTCTCGAGGTGGTTGACACCCTCACGAACGTAGCACTTGTTCAGCTCCTCACCAACAAGTCGGGTCATCATGGCGCCGACCCATTGTTCCCGAATGAGGGCATCCTCGGCGGCCTTGAAGGCCTTGGTATCATCGTAGTCGACGCCGTTAAAGGTGGGAGCGACGGTAGGCTTCTGGGCCTTGAATTGCTCGGACTCGGGAGTAGGCATTGTGAACTGAATTGAGCTTCGTCGGCTTATGAACTCGTTTGTTAAAATGGGGCGTGGGACGGCGCGCAAAACTGACAATGGACTCAATCGATATCGGCGACTTGATAATTACGTCCGAGTAGCTTGAAGCTCAACCTAAGTGAATGGGATGTCCAATGACAGGCGACCTGATTTCTCAGGCAAGCACGGACCCGCTTACACCACCACCACCTTCCCTGTAAGTCGCAGACTTGTCACCGCCTTTAGTTGACCCACCATTTTGACGGCAAAATAAAAAAAAAACTCTGTCGCGCATACCTGAGCCAGCCTCCAGCTTAAAACCCAGTGCCGGTCGCAATAGAATTCCTCTTTCTACATCCGCCCTCTTCCCATCATTCTTCCCGTCTATTCATTCCGCTTAGACACTACTTCTTCCTTATCCCCATTCTACATTAATACATAATCACAATGGCTAAGTCTACCACAAAGGAGAGCAAGAAGACCAAGGTCGCTGAGCCTCTCAGCACCGTCAAGGCCGGAAAGGTTTCCAAGTCTTCCAAGTCCAAGGACGTCAAGCCCGTCGCCAAGAAGGTCACCAAGGAGAAGGACTCTAAGAAGAGCAAGAAGAAGGCCGAGCCCGAGTCTTCTTCCGAGTCCGAGTCTGAGAGCGAGTCTGAGGCTTCCGCCTCTGACTCCGACTCCGACTCTTCTGAGGAGGAGAAGCCTGCCCCCAAGAAGGCCGCTAAGGCCAAGGCTGCCCCCGCCAAGAAGGCTGAGTCTTCTGACTCTTCCGACTCCGAGTCCGACTCCAAGTCTGACTCTGGTTCCGACTCTGACAGCGACAGCGAGTCCGAGGAGGAGAAGCCCAAGCCCAAGGCTGCCAAGACCAACGGCATTGCTAAGGCTGCTCCCGCTAAGAAGGCTGAGTCTTCTGAATCTGACTCCGATTCTGACTCTGACTCTGAGAGCGAGGAGGAGAAGCCTGCTGCTAAGGCTGCCGAGAAGGTTCGTTTATATAAACTTTATCTCAGCATACTACATTATACTAATACTTTACATAGAAGGCCGATTCTTCTGACTCCGACTCTGACGACTCCGACAACGACTCTGACTCCGACAGCAGCGACTCCGATGAGGAGGCTGGTGCCAAGGTCGAGAAGACTGAGGAGGCTCCCTCCAAGAAGCGCAAGGCTGAGGATGATGGTGATGCCGATGCCAAGAAGCCCAAGTCTGATGAGCCCACTACCCTCTTCGCCGGCAGCCTGTCCTGGTCTATCGATGACAACGCTCTCTACGAGGCCTTCAAGCACATTGAGGGTCTTGCCAACGCTCGTGTCATGACTGAGAAGGGTACTGGCCGCAGCCGTGGCTTTGGTTACGTTGACTTCAACGATGCCGCCTCTTGCACCAAGGCTTACGAGACCATGAACGGTACCGAGCTTGAGGGTCGTGCCATCAACCTCGACTACGCCAACGCCCGCCCTGCTGAGGCCAACCCTGCCGCTCGCGCTGCCGACCGTGCTCAGCGCCATGGTGACACCGTCAGCCCCGAGAGCGACACCCTCTTCGTCGGTAACCTTCCTTTCGACGTTGACCAGGACAGCGTCCGCGCTTTCTTCGAGGAGGTTGCTGCTGTTGCCAGCGTTCGCCTTCCTACCGACCCGTAAGTTACCTTACTCTTATCAACATGCTTATCGTACTAACTCTCAACAGTGACAGCGGTAACCTCAAGGGTTTCGGTTATGTCAGCTTCAACTCCGTTGAGGATGCTAAGCAGGTCTTCGACGCCAAGAACGGTGCCCCTATCGGCAACGGTCGCATGTCCCGTGCCGTCCGTCTGGACTACGCCAGCAGCAAGCCTCAACAGGGCGGTGGCGGCGGCGGTGGCTTCGGCGGTGGCCGTGGTGGTGGCCGAGGTGGCGGTCGCGGTGGTTTCGGAGGACGTGGTGGCGGTGGCCGCGGTGGCCGCGGTCGTGGTGGTTTCGGAGGACGTGGTGGTGGCCGCGGCGGTGGACGTGGTGGCTTCGGCACTGGAGCTAACAGCACTCCTACTGCCTTCTCTGGCTCCAAGATCTCTTTCGATTAAACGTGGGTTGATGCGCAACAGTTGCGGACCGAGGGCTTCTGGCGGGGTTTCCAACAAGTGGGCTTTTGTGGGCTGTCGATTCAACATAAGTTAAAACTCCATCGTGGGGTAGTGGGCTTTGAGAATACGCTTCACGCGTAAGCATTGATAGACCTGGGGGCTATTACACTTGGGACCGTGGGCTCGTGGCATCTTGCAAAGGCACTCTCGCTGGTGCTTGTGGCTTTTTGACGTTGGCTTTTGATCGTTCGTCTTCACGGCGGACACCACGTGGGCTTCTGAGGGATTTGTTGACGGCTCTTTGGGAAGAGGCTCCCTCTGTCTGCTTGCAGACATTGCGGAGTGGACCAAGTCGGTTCTTGCGAATACTCTGAGGGTCCTGGGGGCTTTTCGAAACACGACCACTACGATGCCATTGCCTGTCCTTAGGCTTCAGCTGGTGATGATCTCCTGCCTCTAATGTCTAGACCACCTTGATTTGTTATACCATGTATTTTGTACTCGGACTTGTTTTCATCGTTTGATGTTGGTGAGTATACCACTGCCGTTATTCTTTCGATTATGTAGCATCGGGATATGTCCACTTCCCAGGTATAGGGGCGCAATAAAAGTTAGATCATGATTTCTTTCATATCAAAATTATTTAATCTGTTTGTGCCTATGATCGTGAATGTTGTGATTGAACATAGTAGTCAACCAATATGACTTGGCACATCTGAGGACAAAAGATAGTCTACTTATGACGTCGAGTTGGAAATCTATATGTGGCGTGTGATACGACTCAGCCCGAGACTGCGTGTGTGAAGAGGCCAGTCTTACGGGAAGCTGCTCGCGCGTGAGCAAATTGACATGATTGTGCTACACTGGTGGTCCCTGGATTTGTTGGGGAAAGGTGACATGTCATGGACGACAGGTCCAGAAAGGTCAGTCATAAGAGTCAGCTGGTATAGTCTATTTCATGAAATTTCTCAGTACATTATTAGGTTTCTCTGTTGGACATCTTCAGAATAAGAAGCCCCAGAACATGATTTTTTTTTTTAGAAATATATCGAAAATCAACAAGGAATAAAGTGTCAAAAGTTTCACTTCAAGAAGTTGTCTGGGTTCAACGTTACACGCATGATAGAGACCCATTAAAGTCGACAGATCGATAAGGATGAAGTTTAAAGGGTCTTGGTGATTGACCCACGTATTGTTACAAACATGGGCAGACAATCATATTATGGAAATAATAGATATGACGCCAGATGAGTGAGATTGTACGATACAATGGGATGGTCAGCAGCTTCAGTCAGCCCCCTTTCTTTACTGAGTGTTTCGGTGTAAGTTTTGATAACGCGAAAACTTTAACCACAGTATAGAAAACGTTGGGATAGATAGATCTGGCTGTTTGATCGACTGTCTAGGTTGTTTTTGTGAGCTTGTTTGACTTGGGACAACCCAACCCCGCCTTGTACCCATGACCGGTATGTTCGTACTGCGTGCTCATAAAGAGAGGCGGGGATTTAAGTATAGATACTTGGTGAGGACTACTTCACCGCTCACGATGCTACCAGATGGACAGTGTGCGATAGAAACAGCGTCATCGTTACGGCGTTAGTGAAGATGCATACATCTGGTTCATATCTGGGGTTGCTAGAGCGATTGTCTCACAGGTGCGCGTGATGTGTTCGCACTGTCTTCCCGCACTCTTCCTCATGTACCTCTACTTTTAAGTCGTTATCAATAGCCGTCGAAACGTGCTCTCGTGCCTGTAACAAAGGAGAGCAGTAGCCAGCCATTTATCCATCATTCAAAGCCCAAGCAAGACCCAGAACCCCGGCTTCGCTGTCAAGAAGCAACCTCTTCTATCTTTTTTTTTTCTCTACCCTCTCTTTGCGCCTAATCATTTTCATCAACCATCTTTCAAATCTCCTCTCGAACAAAGGCTACCCCGGACCTCAGATAAGCCCAGATAAAGCTAGTGGTCCGGTCGATCTTACACCCTGCAAGTAGGCTTGAGCCGTCACGCCCCGTACTCCGCCCCTAGAACTCGACTCGACTGCCAAGTTTCCAGTTAAACTCGACTTTCAACCAAACCATCGGTGTATTTGAAGCGAAAAGGAATCAACATGGACGGACAGGCAAACCAGAGTTGGCAGGGAGATAGGACGTCCCCTAATCCTGCAAGATCGAGTCCTGGGCTTCCTCAACAAAGACGTTATGACGGTTAGTTTCCATTAACTCTTTTAGACTTATCGCACGTCAACTAAATGAGCCTTAGAATCATGGGTAGAAGTCGCATCTCAACCTTCGTCTTCGTCTCTATCAAGCATCGGCGATGAGATAGTTACAACTGGATTACGCGTTGGGAACCCCTATGTACGCCGACGCCGCTTACAACCTGCGAGATCGCTTCCCCAACAAAATACGGCCATCCACAACGTGTCTGCCGCCGATATGAGTAGCCAGGAAGAGTACGACGAGAGCGACAGTGAGGATGACCGTCTACTTACAAGCTCAACCGAGAACACCCATCGGTCGGAAGAGGAGATGGACATTGATTCTGAGGCCGAATCAGATGGTGATAACGTCACCGCGCTTGGGGGAGTGTCTGACCGACCTACAGACCAACCCGTCTTTCGACCTCAGCCCAACGCCTTCACTCATCCGTCAACACAAAGACGAGATTCTGCTCCAGCTATCCCAACTGCGCCTCCTCCTCACCCTCATAATGGTCTTACACGACCGTCTTTTACTCAAAGATCACAAACACGGCCCCACCGTGCGGGTCCAAGCTTTATGTCTCCAGCGGTCCGCGAAGAGAATGATGCAGCTCTGCGCGCATCTCTAACCACTCTTCTTTCTTGTGCGCATGCAGCTAGAGGCTTACCGAAATCAAAGGAGGAAGCTGAAGCTCAGCGAGCGGCCAGCGCAGGCGTGGGACCCAGCAATCAGCCGATGGAGCTGCGACTTGTGCCGGAGTCGGAGCTGTCACAGGAACAACCAAGACCAAGAAGGGTCCAACGCCCCGCCGCGCCATCTCCACCCCGCAAACGGGCCGGGGGATCAGGATCTCCTTCAAGAACCTCCAAGAACAGCTCTGGGTTGCCAACGACCCCACGGGCTACCAAGAAGAAGAAGGTGACGGAAGAGCCTACCACTATCTCACCAACTCTCCTCACATGGGTTGTCAGCGCCGGCGTTGTCATTGTTGTGTCTGTGGTGGGGTTTGGTGCAGGGTATGTTATCGGCCGTGAAGCTGGTAGACAAGAGGCGCTGGCGGCCAGTGTTGGCAGTGTCAACGATACCACATCTTGCGGTCAGGAAGTCATCCGATCCTCAGGCAGTGGACTACGAAAACTTCGATGGGGTGCTGTCGGCAAGAGCATCGTTGCTTAGAAAATCTAGCGATGTGACGCTAGTCATGCCTCGTTCTGGTCTTGGATGACAAGAGCAGACTGGTCGTACGTTCCGGTGAGGTTCAAGACAGCTGTATTTTTTATCTGTGCAACTTCGAGGATTTGGTGAGATATATTGGTGGCTAAAGTTACGACGTACGGAAAGTTGCTCATGAAGTCGACGTTCATGCTATTAACGACTCATCACGTACAGGCGAGAATACCTTTGTGCATTTTTGCGCATTGTTTTATGGGATACACGGTGAATTTGGCATGTTTTCTACTTTTACTTATTTTAGCCTGGCGAGTCTATTCTTTTTACCGTGTAGATAGTCTTCGTTTTAGGCGTCGGTAATATTCCCCTCATGATTTAATAGTATAGGGTATAGGAATAAAATTATTACTTGCAAATATACGGACTGGCCACTGAGTCGAAGGGATCGGCTGAGGTGTAACTACTAAACTAACTTTGGTACCTATTCCGATATAAGTAGTCAGTTGGTTTCGAGCGGCTGACTTACCCTAGTGTCTCGGCTACTGATCCCGTGAAGAGTGAGATTTGGAATAGGAATAGAGGTAGTGTTGATAACGTGCCTCATAGGCTTTCTCATGGGTAGTCCCAATAGGCTTAAGCATAAGCACCCCACGTTCGACACATCCTGAACATAAGAACTTGATACTGCAGTAATACTGCAGGCAACGAGTTGGTTGCTTGGATCGACATCCCCCGGGACCGGCGCTTTTACAGGCCCCGGTCCGGGCCGTCGCCAAGTCCCAGCGCTGACAGGACGGGACAGACAACACGGAACGGAACGGCCATATCAACGTCCACCGGTTTGCCTTGGAAATACGGAAAGGACACGGTCTACGTGCTAGATCCTCTACAATGTTAACCCCTGGGAAGCGTCAGCCCATATTAAGTGGGGCATTGGAGACGAGGTGGTTTAAGTGATCGGAGTGATCCGGGGCTCTAGGATCAGATATAGGATGTTTTCTTGATGTTTATTGTTACCATTTCAGGGGTGGTAACTGGGGATCTGGACAATATTTCCGGCGGTATCGTAGCTTCAAATTCATCATATAATGAGTTTTGCCGTTGAGTATTATTACTATAAGCGACAAGATAAAGGTTCTGCTGACAGGAATCATATTAAGTAAAACTGAAGTCTTGGTATCACAGACACTAGGATGATCGTCCTCCAACAGCTTACATGAGCTATCAACGAGTAATTAGCATGTGAATACTGATGATGTTTGACTATGTATGTTGCGACCCTGGATATGTCAAAATAAAACCAACTAGATGGACCAATTACCGACATGGCCTTATTCATCAAGGACCCTGAAAATGATTCGAGGAATCGTCACATCAATGAATAGCCGATAATTGAGAACAACTTATGGAGGGCATATCGGTTTCTTATTCGGACCATGCCTTGGCCCCAAAGGCTTTTTATCAGCCCATTTCTAATATGCTTTAGAATTTGGCTAAGCAACAACAAGTCTAAGCATAGGTCTATGATATGATGTGAGAATGAGAATCCTCTTTATCTCAGAAGGATTGCTGTTGTCAGCAGTGAGATCAAAGGTTGAGATAGGTAGTACTAAAATATTGTTGATTTTGAGATTTCCTTATATAGGTTTTTAATTCATCATGATGAACCACCACTTGGCATTTCTTATATGCAGTACGTACTGCAACCCATTAATGTCACGGCAAAAAGTAATTCGATTGGCGGGGCCGATAAGAATGCGAAAAAGGAGGGCAGAGGGTCCCTGTTCAGATCTGGCACCACCAGAGCTCTACAAGTAGATGCGAATACGAATTCGGGACTTGACACCCAATCATATCACACCCTTTCAGTTAAAGTCCCCATTATTTCCAGGCACCGTCCATCGTGGTTGGACCATATTGGGATCCGTTTTACAGGACAACGGGAAGTAAACTGTTAATTGAACCACTAAATCTCGAAAGAGTGCAGGCGGTGTGGTGCGCTATTGCTGGAAAGTGAGTGGGGTCTTGCATACGGTACGGTACCTAACTAAAAGGACACCCCGGTCCGAAAAAAAGACGTTCGGGGTTGTCGCAATTACATATCAGTTAATCTCCTTCGCCATTTACTTCCAGTTTGATTTCCTGTCAGTCTCTACTCTTCTCTACTTTCCACAGGCTCGCCATTGGAAACTCTTTTTCTTCCTGGCGTTGACTACGGTGAAGATTCTCTCTTGATCTTTCTTTCTTCTTCCTAATCATACTTCCTATTTCAAGAGTCGAACCGAAACATCGCATCTCCTCCCTACAACACCCAACCATGGGTCTCCTTCAAGATCTGGCGGGCCACCCGCTCGCCCAACAATTCCAGGAACTTCCCCTGGGTCAGCAAGTAGGAATTGGCTTTGGAGCCTTCCTCTTCCTCTCCGTCGTCCTCAATGTCCTCAACCAGGTCCTCTTCCGAAACCCCAATGAGCCCCCTATGGTCTTCCACTGGTTCCCCTTTGTTGGAAGCACCATTACATACGGAATGGATCCCCCCAAGTTCTTCAGAGAGAACCGTGCCAAGGTACGTTTGACACAGCCGAACTGAGCTGGGAATGCAGTTTCAACCCCGTGAGCGTAGAAACTCTCGAGGCTACGATGCCGGAAATCAAAACCAAAACCAGGATGACCAAAGCTAACTTTGTAACAGCACGGCGATGTCTTCACCTTTATCCTCCTCGGAAAGAAAACCACCGTCGCTGTTGGCCCTGCTGGAAACGACTTCATCCTCAACGGCAAGCTCAAGGATGTTTGTGCTGAGGAGATTTACACCGTTCTCACCACTCCTGTCTTTGGCAAGGATGTCGTCTATGACTGCCCCAACGCCAAGCTCATGGAACAGAAGAAGGTGAGGAATACTGGCCGTCAGACCGCTTGAATTATATACTGATAAACTCGCTCCTAGTTCATGAAGATTGCTCTTACCACCGAGGCCTTCCGATCCTACGTCCCCATCATCTCCTCCGAGGTCCGCGATTACTTCAAGAGAAGCCCTGACTTCAAGGGCAAGTCCGGCATTGCCGACATTCCCAAGAAGATGGCTGAGATCACTATCTTTACTGCCTCCCACGCCCTCCAGGGCAGCGCCATCCGTAGCAAGTTTGACGAGTCTCTGGCCGCTCTCTACCACGACCTCGATATGGGTTTCACCCCCATCAACTTCATGCTTCACTGGGCTCCTCTCCCCTGGAACCGTAAGCGCGACCACGCACAGCGCACCGTTGCCAAGATCTACATGGACACCATCAAGGAGCGCCGCGCCAAGGGCAACGACGAGTCTGAGCACGACATGATGAAGCACCTTATGAACTCTACCTACAAGAACGGTACCCGCGTCCCTGACCACGAGGTTGCCCACATGATGATTGCTCTCCTTATGGCTGGCCAGCACTCTTCTTCTTCTACCAGCTCTTGGATCATGCTCCGTCTCGCTCAGTACCCTCACATCATGGAAGAGCTCTACCAGGAGCAGGTCAAGAACCTCGGTGCTGATCTGCCTCCCCTGACTTACGAAGACCTCGCCAAGCTGCCCCTTAACCAGGCTATCGTCAAGGAGACCCTTCGTCTCCACGCTCCTATCCACTCCATCATGCGCGCCGTCAAGTCTCCCATGCCCGTCCCTGGCACCAAGTATGTCATTCCCACTTCGCACACTCTTCTCGCTGCTCCCGGTGTCAGCGCCACCGATTCTACCTTCTTCCCCAACCCTGATGAGTGGGACCCTCACCGATGGGAGGCCGACTCTCCCAACTTCCCCCGAATGGCTTCCAAGAATGAGGACGAGGAGAAGATCGACTACGGTTATGGCCTTGTCAGCAAGGGCTCAGCTTCTCCCTACCTGCCTTTTGGTGCCGGTCGTCACCGATGCATTGGTGAGCACTTTGCCAACGCCCAGCTGCAAACCATTGTTGCCGAGGTTGTTCGTGAGTTCAAGTTCCGCAATGTTGATGGCGGTCACACCCTGATCGATACCGACTATGCCTCGCTTTTCTCCCGACCTCAGGAGCCCGCCAACATTCACTGGGAGCGACGCCAGTAAATTTATGCCTGACGGCAATGATGCGAAGACACGAAATCAGTTGTATATATGCAGCAAATGCAACGGGCATGCTATGGAGTTGAATGTTTTGTAATGGCTGGGCTGGTATTATTTCCAAAAAGAGAAGTTAATTGTCATGCCATGCCAGCAAAGTCTGGCGATAGAATATACATTTTTAATTAGCAACGATCAAAATATGAATTATTGGTTCAGTTTTCGGAATTAAATTCGCTGTGTCTGTATGCGCTTTGTTGATTTGATCTGATATGCAAGTGAGGCGATCTCATGAGGCTTTAGGTGAAGTGAAGTGAAGTGAAGTTGGAAGTTGGCAGAACAAACCCCACTGAGGCGAGCGCCATCAATGACGACGGTACTACATTCTTGCCAGCTTTGACTGCAGCTTCAGTTTTGTTGTTCTACTGACTTGAATTGAAGCGCATAATTTTTATAAATCAGTTTTGTTAATTGCTATCTACTTTTTATACAACTGCGAGCAGTATCCGTCAAATTGTTGATTTAGCCCAAGGACCGTCTATCAATACCTATCTGGAACAGTATCCTTGACCAAGTTAGGGACCAGACCCAGTCAGTACTATATCAGAGCACCTCATCAAGACATCATGAGCGAGTCATACGGTCCTATTGTCCGTCTCTGGGGCATTCATCCCTCCAAGCTTCCGGCTGCAGGATCACAGTCTGAAGAGCTCAAAGTACTCCTCGCTTCAATCCTTCTCGAGGCCGTGCCTTTTATACAAACCGTCCCTTCAGAGATCCCCTCAGTGGAGCCTGCCACAGAGCTCCGCTCCACAGGCGATCTATGGAAGCACAAAGCAGTCAAGACATATGACGGTTCTACAGCCCCCGTTCATGTGTTTGAGCGTACAGTAGACGCCGAGACGCTGGGTATCGTCGCTCAGAAGAACCCTGGCCTCGGTGTTTCTCCCAGCAATGCCCAGTCGGAGCTCTGGGCACTACGACGAAGTACTCATGAACCAAAGAAGGAAAAGGGAACGGCAGACTGGGATGAGTTTGTGAGATGTTTCAAGGAGAAGCATGCTGAAGCAGAAAAGCTCTTTACTCCAAGTGTCACGAGCTCTAAGAGGCTGCAAGAGTGGGATTGCTCGGGTATCGAGGTCCAGCTCGAAGGCGAGACGTGGGTTGACTGGACACTTCATCGCGAAGAGTCTGTCCATAACCTCCCTGGCCCGCTTTCCAAGCGCGTGTTTCCAGTTCTTCAAGCCACGGCTGCTGTGCGTGGCCGCAAGGAGTTCATGGTTATCCAGATCGCTATTCGGGCCAGTGACGAAGCTACAGACATGACTGTGCACGATGGCCCTGTTCGAGCGGCCTTTTCTAGCATTGAGAGGGTGCGGGAGTTGGAGGATGGCAACTTGGAGTGGGTGATGGGGACGGTGTCCGATGCGAAGGGGTTGGTGCCCATGTGGGCGCAGAAGTTGGGCTTGTCTGCAGCGATCGCCAAGGACGTGGGTATGTTTATGAGATGGATCGGAGAGGAGAGACTAAAGGGCAAAGATGCTCAGGTCATTGGCGATCTGGAATAGAAGTATGAGTTGTAGTGTTTTATGTGCCTGCCCAAGTTCTTGTGGAGATTCTAATTGAGTGAATGAAAGTATCTCTGAATACAAAGAACAGCCAATTACTGTATCATTCAAATTTCTCTGGGTACGTAGTCTATTCAAAACTTGTCCATCCATGTCTCTGATATACTTCACCTACGGACTGACGGTTGCATGAGGAAGAAACAGCTACTGTGCGTACAGCTTAGAGTACAGAAAACATAAAATTCTTGGCCTTTCTCAATATGGAGGTTATTGAAAGTCAATGCAATGTTTACGCGGAAAAATATTTCATGCCGGATAGGTTGATCAGGGGTAGCGAGCAGCGGTCTTTAACAGTGATGTTGTTCGGTGCTCGGTGGTTGACGAACTGGCGATATTCACCCTGAGCTAGGTTGTAAAGCAGCATATCTTGGAGTCTCCCCGAGATGTTATGGAACAAGAGCAGGCTAAGTATGTCATACGGCACCTCTCCCTCTAAGGCTGGGCAATGAAACTCCGAGAGGTAGGTGTTGAAGTCTTGGTTGTTCTGCTTCCTCAGCCGAAGAGGCCTCATAACAGGCAGGCTACCTTGTTGACAGAGGCATAGGGTGACATTCAAGTCAAGGATCTCTGGTTGCTTTTTGAAAGATCTAGAAATGTCAATACACTTACAACAGTGGTTTATTGGGACAAACTGCCAGGCGGGTAAAAGTGGGCCCACTCTATCTATATAATGCCCTTCAACATCGCGCTTGATTCCTCCTCACTCTTCAACCTCTCCATCGCAAACATGTCGGCACCTGAGCCTGCGAAACCTCGCCTTAAGATCAACGTGAGCCGATCCTCCTCCTTCGTCGCTGATGTAAACACAAGTGCGACACCATCAGCGACCGAAGGAGGACGGAAAGTGAAACTGAAGATAGGCAAACCCTCAACGCCTGCTGAACAACCTCCCACGAAGACCAAGGCTGGACGGCAACCGAAGCCTACCCAGAAGCTCGTCGAGAGTAAGAAGCGCGCAAACGATGACCTCGACGAGGAGTTAGGGTCGGCGCATCCTACCACGAAAATAAAACTGAAGGCGACCAAGTCAGGCCTCACACCAACGGTAGTGGTGAAACCCAAGGGGCGCGCACCGGTTCACCCGCCTGGAGATGGCTACGACTCAGAGGCGAGCGACAGAGAAAAGGACCCATCGATCGAGGAACAATTCGTACTGAGGATGATGCCAGGAGAGCACTGCGATTATGTCCGATGGTGTATGGAGAATGGAAAGATGGGCATTCCCCGGAGCTCAGGAGGAGCAGACATCCAACTCAGATTCTTCGAAGAGGACAGTCGACGAGCGGTCGTGACAGTAAAGGGCCAACCCTTTGCTGCTGTCATGGTAGACTTACCCACGATTACTGAGGCGATGAAGACCTGGGACCGAAAGTCGTTCCTCAAATCTGCCGATATTTGCCAAATGCTTCTGGTCTACGCCAAGATTTCCAGCGAAGCCGAGGCTAGGGAAGCGACTCTGCCGAGCATGATCGACCAGCATTTCAGATGGCCACACGGCCTGACGCCACCCATGCACGATTGTGCAAACCGACGATTCGCAAAGACTATCAGTCGTAAGGAGATTGAGGACAAGGAAGCGGAAGTCGAACGCCTGCTTGCTGAGGACGCTAAGGCTGGTTCGACGCGCTGGGAATGGGTCGACGAGACCAAGGACGATGACGATGACGGCGCCGACGAGGATGCAGACGGTGAGATTGACGACACTATGGACTACTTCCAGAGCCAGGATGGATTGTTCGGCGGCGAAGGTGAAGGTGACGACGACCTAGAAGCCGACCTGGAGGCCGCTTTCGCTGGAGAAGTCAGCGCCGAGACTCCTGTCACAGGTCCGGATGCGCCTACGCCTATGACCACCACCCAAGTGAACACACCTGCGCCCCTACAGGACAGTATCGAGTCAGACGAATCAGAAGAAGTTTCGGACGACGATGATGATGACGACGAAGATTTGGACGACGATGCTCGTGCCCAGCGTGACGAGGAACAGGGTGTCAAGGATATTATCAATGACCTCAAGAAACAGCTGGGTAACAAGCAAGCTGAGCTGGCACGCACTACGAACAAGATCCTGCGAACTCGCATTGAGCAAACTATCAAACAGCTCAAGGCAGAAATCGAGCTCAAGAACTCGTCTATTGGTATTGAGACAGATGATTAAACGCCATGCGATGGGGTGAAAATCGCAATGGTTGCAGATTACACATAATACGGAAGAAAATGCTCATAGCAAGGGAACGGCGTTAAGGTGTGGCCTAGGACTCAGGGAGGCATGGCTTAGATATGAAATCAGACTAAATACCCCATTGAATTATTACAAACAATCTGTCCAGTGACACTTAAAGACATGCTTCATATGTCCCTCCCTAAGGTGTCGTTCCTCCACGAGATCTGTCAAAGTCAAACTTCTATCAAAGCCCCTAAAACTCTGTACATTCGGTTCATACTCAACTCAATAACTGCGCAGTCTTTTTTGCGTTGACAACTAGAACTTCTGTTGCCGTATTTATAACATCTGACCATATGGCATGACGGTTGAGCTCTTCCAGGCTTTGAGAATCAAATCTAACCTTGGCCCTGTGTGCCACACGTCTCTGAAGTGTTCGTTGGAGTATTCCACCTAGCTCGGGATCTCGTTGTGTCTGCTTCCTAAAATATGAAACGATGAAACGACTGTCTCTCACCCCCGTGGTCTTATGCTCGCGATTCCATCGTTTTGTGGATTCAATAGCTTCTTGAATGCGTGACTCGGGAGTTGACAAACGGGAGGAAGCTTTGTAAGGTTAGCGCTTGTTGAAGTAAACATATCAACTTGGAGATCACCCACTTTGTTGTTTTGGAATGCTTGGTTGGGCCTCTGCCTTTGCTTTCTTCATCGTACGTGTCTCTCTACCCGTAGTATCAGGTGTAATCGGATCTGAGTTGGCCGTCTTCGTGACAACTGGTCTTGGCGGCTGTCTCGTCCCCCTCGAGAGCGCATCCATTTTGACCTCTATATCTTCGACTTGATTGTGCCACTTGCTTGAGGTTTCTCTCATCTCCTGCTGTAATCTGTCGATATCGGCTCGGGTGGCTGGCGGCTGGCCTTGCAGTGGAGCCATAAACGACTTGACCGTCTGAATTTCGTACATTATTCTAGTCATTCTTTCTTCGTTCTTACGTCTGAAGTCTTGATCATCAGAAGTTCGCAGCACAAGTTTCTTGACGACATCATGGAGTTTGTATGCAAGTGTCGAGAGAGCGCGGAGATTCACTTCAACACTCATGTTTGCAAGTGCCTCTGCTTGCTTGAGGAGTTTTGCACCTTCAACGTCCCCATGGTCTATATTTCTCGTCGTGGATGTGCCTAGCTGAGAACCAGCAGCGGTAGTAGATATACTCGGGATTGTGTTGTTTATATTCTGACTTGCTGGTGGTGAGAGGGGAGGCGCAGCCCGGATTGGACCTCGGCGAGGTTGACGGTGAGTATTGGTTGTCTTGGGCATGTCGGAGCAGAAGAAGCTCCTATTGAGGCTTGGTATTTGTTCCCTTCGATGTAATAGGAGCTTATGTTGGAAAACAGTGTCGTTGTTTCTTCAGAAGGGAACAAAAAAGTGCTTCAAGAGTTGCAGCACAATCATGATCTCCCATAGGATAATTTGCGTGACTGTGATGTAATATAGGCAGAAGAACGAGTAGTAAAAAGAAGAAGTGGTGGAGTAACAAAAACAGAGCAGTGGATGAACCAGTTGAGGCAGGAGAGAGGCATGTGAGCAAGTGGCAGGCGAAAGTAGGTCGTAGGCAGGAGCTATCTTGCCTACCTGCCTACCTACCCACACCTGCCGAGTTTAGGAGATGTATGAAAACAACGCTATTACCTGCTATTATTTAGGTAAATCGTCTTACCTACCTAATTTATGATAAGGTGAAAATGTGTAAAGACAAATAAAGGGTTGTTGTGTGTACCTGAAGAAGCTATGTTTGAATGCTACCATGAAGACGGTCTTTACGATGATTTCTTTATGCCTCAAAGTTAGGACCGTAATGTGTGCCCTTGAATTCATAGTGTGTTAGATGTCCACCAAGTCTATGGCGCGTCAAGTGTCATGGTTGGAACTGAGGAAAAGAAAGATTGGTATCTTGTATGCTATTTAGAAACAACGCCGCCCAACATCACTGGTGCCTTATCGGATATTTTGCCATAACGTTACGGACTATGATAATCCAAGAAAATAAAATAGATGCAGTTGGTAGATAATTCGCTTGGCTATTTACCAGTCGATCCCTGTCCAGCCATAGGTACCGTCCACGTTGTGCCAGCCACCATTTTCCATACTATCCTCCCAGCCCATCATCACAGCCAGCAACCGGCAGCCCATTGAGCTTACAGTGCATACTATTTTGTCACTTGACTCGGCGAGCACAGCAAGATCCATCATATAAGCTCGACCAACAAGGCCACGAAGCCTCAGCGTTTCTTGTGACGGCGGTGCCATGTGCCTGGCTTCCTCGTTAACGTCTTTAACGTGCACTCCCGCAGGCGCTTCGGCGGCATTGTTCTGGCTGTTGACGCCAAGGTTCCAAAAGAGGGGAGCAAAGAAGCCACCCTCCCAGCCAAATGTGTTCTCGACAAAGTTGTTGGTCTGATGCTGATTACCGCCAGCTCTAGCAATGGCGCCCTTGGAGGCGAGACGGATTCGGTCTTGAGAAAGAATCGTGTGAGCAAACTCAGGTTCTTCATGGACTGTAGGATCGTCCGAAGCCAGAAGAGTGAGGGAGTGACGTTTAATGGGGCCCTCGACCCCAGTTGCGTTGTAGTATTCTTCGACGTAATGACTAGCCTGCTTGAGGTAGACATCGGCTGGGATATAAGTCTCGCTGTACTGCAACTCGAGTGGGTGTTGGTCACCATGGCGAACATGGAGTCCGACAATAGGCGCATGTGCCGTAAGACTGTCCTCAGCCTTTGCCTTTGCTTGAAGACCAGTGATGCGGTTGTCGACGTAGGTTTGATCCTCCTCGTTGAGGAAAAAAAGGTCTTCAAACCCTATGCGAGCCAGCTCAAAGAGATCTCGCAAGCCATTATCCGTTCCAGCAACGCGATGGTTCTGAGCCAGTAGGGCTGGGAACACTTCCTTTGCCGTTGCAGCAGAGACGACTAAATGGCGAGCTTGGAAGGGGCAAGGAACCATATGATGCCTTGGGGGCGGGCGGCATTCTGGTACAGGGGGGATATCGAATATTTGGTCCCAAGCACCGTAAGCCCATCGCTTATCTACGATGAAGAAGTCACGGCCAAGCTGCTTAGACAGTCCGTAAAAGGTCCACAGCATCATGAGAGTGTTGCCAAGACCGGCATCCGTGGATTCCAACACAAACGTCATGGTGTTTTCGCAGACAGGCTTATGCTTCAAGTGTTTCTTATCCACTCCAACGAACTTGCCCTTGTTTATGGCACGAAGCCCCTTTGCAGGAGTAAGAAGGCCCGATCTTTCGGCCTCGTAGACGTCGACATAGTATTCGTCTTGAGCGTCGTAGTTGATGATGGCTGTTTCGGTGATGGGACCCTTGTTGTGGATATCCCTTGCTCGCGATGACACCTCTCGACACTGACTTCCCATTTCAGCATACTGTTCCATTGTCAAAGGGAAATCTCCGTTCGGTGGGATGAAGACAGTCCACTTCGAGCGGCCCTTGTTGTCATTGACAATGATTGGCGTAGGGAAGTCTGGGAAGGCATCTTGGCCAACCATCTCAAATTCCTCTTGTTCAAAGTAAGGCCACACAGCTGCTGGGATCACATTTGGGTTCTGAAAAGCCATGGCCGCGAGATAGGAGATCGATAATAGGATGCCGAGGAGAAAAAGGCGCCGGAACACTCGACTTGGTCGGGTGACCAGGATCTGACTCGATCTTCTTTTCGGAGGTCGAGGTACAAGCGCTGGGAGAGCTGGCGAGGCAGGTGGTGAGAAGAAGAGGTGATTGAAGTTGAATCGTGATGAGGTTGAGGAGATTGGGCCTCGATCCTGGGCGTTATAAGAGCTGGCTCGACGCAGATTGAGTGCAGGTGGCACCACAAGCATCTTGGTTTGAGTATGGCCCGACATTGTGAGATCTTGGATAAAGATTGTGATGTAAATGAAGCAGTCAAGTCAAAAAGGTGAAATGAACCAGAACCAGCAATCGAAGAATTCTTTTGATCGGCTGGTTATACAATGGTAAGAAGAAGTCCAACAGAAGGTAAAATCGGCCCTACTCGATAAACGAGTTGGTTATAAGGAATGTCAAGAATAGAATGTGTTGGCTTTGACCCGATGCTGTAACACAAGCAGCAATGTGGTGTTTCTTTAAGCAGTGTACAGGAACACTCTGGACCGGGGCGAGTTCCCTTCCCAATGGTCAGGCAAACGTCCTAATTGTAAACACGAATGTGATTTTCTTCACAATTTGTCTCTAGAGATTCCAACGGTAGAAAAATGGCCGAAATGAATGAATGAATGTGTGCAAAGAATCGAATGGTTAGTAGTTCAAGTTGAAAGTAAAGGCATCAAGCCTGTGCGTCCTGCACTGAAGAGAAAAAGAAAAGAAGAGAAGATAAATGGTAACCAAAAAGTCCACGGGACATAAAACAGAAGAAGAAGAAACAAAAGGTTCTAGGATCAGAAGGAGTCAGTATGTTAAATTTCTCCGGATCTTGGCCTGGAATATCTAAAGACGTCCGTTGTTCTATGGGCCCAGACCCATGACAGGGTACACCCTGGATGGGAAGGAAGTCCGAAGCAACACTTGCTTCGGGATACTCAAGCACGGATGAAATTTCGTATGAGGGAGGCACGACCTACAGCGTGATTGCACTGGACGAAATTCCAATGTGACCAATTAGTGGCCTTTGGTCGCTTATTTGCGCCTGCCAGACGAAGCTAAGGTTATCCTCAATGCTCCTTCCAATCCTATCAATTTCACTTCACATTATACAGCAAACCTTTCCTAGACCCAAGCTACTAACCTAACAACTTAGTCAAGCAGCATAGATGCCACATCACGTTGCGGGGGACTCTATTCTATTCTAGAGGAACATCAAACAGATAAGCGTCAGGCGGGGGTTGACCATGGTTGGTCTATCCGTAAGCTCTGCCTCAGAATAATTGTGCAAGGGGTACATACAAGAAGCACAAATGCTCTGCGTCTGCGCCACGCATAACGTCAACAGGAAACATATCGTGTTCCGGTTACCGACGATCATCCCACAAATATCACCAGATCATCTACAATTAAAGTTGAGAGCTGTTACAGAAGTTCAACGGCTGACCTATTACATGCTCATACTTCTCTCATGCCATGGATAGGCGAGATGGTGATGATCTTCCATGTCGTCACATACCACTAGTTAAAAGTCGTCGGGATGTGGCATAAAACACGGAAGCCGAACTTCGCTACTCTAGTCCATCTATGTTATCTCTTTGAGTTGTGACTCGTTGAACATCTCCTACTCTCTTCAGTCGAGTCCGAGAACCTCGCCCTAGTTCGCGCTTCTGCAAGGTACGGGCTCCTTGCTAATCTCGACAGGGATGTTTGGAAAAAGCAAAGAAAGGCCGGGCTTCTTGCTTCTCACAAGTTCCAGCCCTGTTTCAGATTTTAGCAACTCTTTGACAACCATAGCCAATCAAAGACGTTTACTGCTCTAGCCTCTCCAGACACGGTCCTGTTGGGAATATCAAGGATCGCATCCAGAAAACCAATACCATCAGTCTTCTTGAGCTTGAACGTTTCTACTACCAAGGCAAAAAAGAAACAAATGCTCTCCATCGTTTCGGAAAGTACAGGCATTCGTCATGGGGCTAGGAGAAGGGATCCCTGAGCAAACAGATCATAACAAATTCGGAACGGAAGCTGGCAGAGAAACAAATCGCTCTGGTTAATCTACCGCGGATGCTTCTTCCCCCGCGCGTTTGATGTTTGATTGACGAAACATCCGTCCTCGGATCCGAGCATGAGCCCTGTGAACTGCAGTCTGATTCGATCATTACACCACTGCTGAGCATTGGGCAATATAAGATTTCATGCAAAGCCTTACCACCCTGCTTTGGTCTTATTCGCGTTCCAATGGCCCCAGCAGTAATGAAGTGATCGTAAATTGCCAATAGAAACAAGAATGAGTGATGGGTTAAGGAACTTCAAGGCCCAGCTGGCACGGGTTGATCGCTATTTCGGATAATGGCAGAGCTCAACTGCCACAGACAATCTAGTTCTTTGACCAATAGGCCATGGCCAAAGGACAGGCGAGACGACAAGTCCCTCTGAGGGTCTGCGATACATCACAATTGATTGATATGGGATAAGGGTTTATGCTTCAACTGTCTCTCATTCTTTCATTCCTGATCTTCTTCTATTTCTTCCTCGTTCTCCATGATTAACTGAGTGCAACAGCCAAGTGTCGTAGCTGCCGCTGAATGTTTCCGCCTTGGACTCGTCATGATATATAACACATAACTGAAAATAAAATAAA